TTTGTCACAACTTCCATTTCTATTCTCACTATAATTGCATCTAGAAAAATTAGTAAATCTATATATTTGTCTTGATATTGATGATACTATATTTTTTATGCCTTCCTTGCCTCGGCAACTTTAAAAGTGTTCATATGTGCTCGAGAGATATTAAATGAAACAATGAGTCATAGAAATGTTCATATAATAACACAGACTCAACCATTATGCTGCTTATTTTAATAATGAATGATGAACTGAGCTCTTGACACAAACAAAATGCTAGCTTTACTAATTGCATCACCAATGCCAAGACTGTCAAGAATGTCAAGAATGTTTAAGACTGGATATTTGTCAACCAGTGTCTGAACGGAGGATCGTGTAATTCTTTCCCAGCTTTCAACCCTCCATACTTCTGTAGTCGATTAGAGATTGGTGGACAGTTCTGCCAAACAGGTTTGCTTCTTCGCATTTTTCAGTCCAGTGCACGCAAAAACTTGGCATGTCGGAGTAAGAATAAAACAGACATTTGAAATACCAAACGAGAGATGTAACAAATGTTATTTGGTCATGTATACTTTAAAGGTAGTATGTACATGTTACTTCATTTTCTTCTCCAGACAATGAAAATAAACCCTACAAGTACTTCTTGAGAGTATATAATTTATTGTGTTGTGTGATAACTTTCTTTGGTGTGTCCTAACTCTAAATATTCTTTTCAGTTGTAGATCCATGTGCTGGTAGCCAATGTCAGAACGGAGGGACTTGTAACCCTTCTCCGGGACCAAGTCTACCCTACATGTGTAACTGCCTAGCTGGGTACACAGGCCAGCTCTGTCAAACAGGTAGGTCTTTCAGATTTGAATCCATGAATCAAATGATTGTTGTACCTTTTAAAAGGATCATTATACATCATGTGTTACAACGCTGGTATATCAGTGTATTTCAGACTTCACCGTTGTTTAGCGGTTAGAGAGAACATTGACTGTTCATATTCACGTTGTTATATTAATTTCTTTGTTAGTGGATTTTGTTTTCTTTTAAATTATCTGCTTACGGTGAAAGTTGTAAAGTGCTTTTTTACTACAAAGAAAAGACGCTACACGCCCTATCTTCTGTTGATTGGATTGGAATTGATATGCACGCTTCTAATTATAGTGCATGTATTCGTTAAACTTATGGATCTACAAACTGCAATTGCATGTTCAGAATTGAAGACATATCACATTTGCAGACGCTACTTTAAAAACAGATTTAGTGTATGAGCTCACAATAGTATAGTCATTCAATTCTCCTTTGCTTTCCTTTCTCAGCTCTGGATCTATGTACTGATAACCAGTGTCAGAACGGAGGATCTTGCAGTCCTTTTCCTGGTTCCAACCCTCCATATTTCTGTGCTTGCCAACCTGAGTATACCGGCCAATTCTGTCAAACAGGTGTGATATTTGAAAATTATAAGCATGTTAATGAAGGGTAGAATTTATAAAACATTTTACAAAAGGTTTCAAGAGCTGGGAAGCAACTACGTCATTGATATAGTATTATACGATTAAAATTAAGGTTATATGATTCAAATTTGCAAATATTCAAAAACATCAAATTTATCGAACTTGTACCGTGACCGCTATTTATACTGAAAAAGCAGGATTGCTATATGTTATTGTTTTTCTCGCGTAGATGGTCTTTTTAAAGTGGATTATTATTGAGTGGCCCGTATATTGCAATCAATTTTCCTGAATATTATGAAACGCTATGATTAACCCGTAGTGCAAGCTCGGAATGGACGACATATCACCTTTGCAGACGTCACTTTTTCAACAACTATATAGGTTGTGTTCTCACCATCATTTTCAATTCTTTTTACGTTCTATCTTCTATTACCAGCTCTGGATCTCTGTGCCAATAACCAGTGTCAGAACGGAGGATCTTGCAGTCCATTTCCAGGTTCCAACCCACCATACTTCTGTAATTGTCAGCCTGGGTATACCGGCCAGTTCTGCCAAACAGGTTTGCTTCTTCAAAATTTGACCCAATTAGAGATAGCTTTCGCAAAATTAAACAAATGCGTAAAAATTAAATAATAAGCGTATCGAATTTAAAGGCATTATTTCCTTCTTTGATCGAAGACTTAAATATCTTGAATATAAAGAATCATCCTTAAACATCATATTTTCAGGAAAATACGTGTATTTCTAAAGCAGTCAAAATACTTTTTTTTTCATAATGAGAAATAAACAACATGGCTCGATCTGTTAAGGCATTTGTCGCACAGAGCCAGAGACCCGACTTTGATTCCAGGCGTTATTTCTGCGAAAAGGAAGGCAGAAAGCAGGAGCAATGAATTTAAAGCTATGCATATAATATTTCCCTCATCCAATCTATGTTTCCACATCCTATACGTGTGCGTGTATGTGCGTATGTTTGTGTGTAATAGTTTATATCATGAATATCAATTTGCTTGATTTAATCTATACCCTCTTCTCATGTAAATCATCTCAGGTACTGATCTGTGTGGTAATAACCAATGTCAGAATGGAGGAACTTGTAACCCTTTTCCGGGATCCGATCCTCCCTACATTTGTAACTGTCTATCTGGGTATACCGGCCAGTTCTGTCAACCAGGTTTGTCACACTTTGATCTATATATTGATTGTAATGAGCATCAGTCGGATATCTGTATAGAGATTCATTTATGCATACTGAAAATCTTTAATGTTAAGAAATCTTGAAGCAATTTCCTTTAGTTAAAATAAGCTTCTTCAAAATATTTCCCTTTAAACTCTTTGATATACAAAAAATGAAGGGTTTATTAAGAGTTTGAAAGAATCTGTATTATATCCATGTGATCAGTTCTGTGCTGTCTCATTTCGAGACACATACAAAACAGCTCAGTAGAAAACTGTTACTTTATCAGTAGGTTAGTAGAATTAGGATAAAAATTGTATTAACGTGATATAACATGATCCTAAATAATTGCAATAGATAAACCAAGTGCAATATTGCAATCCTATTGTATAGCCTATATAAATCATGTTCGGTCATGTAATATGGTATTGAAAAGATTCAAATGACGGACAAGGCTATGGTGTCTTAAATGGTCTTTGGGATCGTTGTTTATGACTACGTGAAAATAACTTTCCTTGACTTTACTTTTATCTCGTCATTTACTTATCTCTTCTATCTACAGATCCATGTGCTAGTAGCCCATGTCAGAACGGGGGAACCTGTAACCCTTCTTCGGAACCAAGTCTTCCCTTCACATGTAACTGCCAAGTTGGGTACACAGGCCAGCTGTGTCAATCAGGTCGGATATCGGTTCTACCACATTCACTCCGGGGTGAAGGGTTAGGGTTGGAAGTGCAATCGGGTTAAAGGATAGGATAAGGGTTACCGTTAGGATTAGGAATATAGTGTTGGGTCAAGGCTTGAAGTTAGGAACTCGGTTTGTTTATGGATTTACCGCGTTAGCCGGATTATAACTATGGTGTTGGGTCCTGGGTTGGGTCGACTTATCTACTCTTAAGTCCTTTGGGGGCAATTGAGAGTGTGTTTGAAATTGCAATATCTTTGTATAGAAATAAAATAGGATCTCTTCTCTACAATTAAGCATACAGAGCAATTTTGTGGCCCAAAAAATCGACCCCTACTGGGGGTCGATTAGTACACTTTATATATAGCCTGCACCTCACGGTTACTTCTGTCACATGTTCACGCTTATCTTTAGCCATACCGTCGTGAAATTTAAAGATAAACCACTCAAAATCGCGATTTCATAATAGAAGCCGTTTCATCGATGAAAGACAGTTATTATAACTGTATTTTTTACAATGAAAAAAAAACCCTGAGTTGTGACTGATAATCATACTACTTTTCATCCATTACTATTTTTAGATCTATGCGCTGATAACCAGTGTCAGAACGGAGGATTTTGCATTCCTTTCCCAGGTTCCAGCCCTCCATACTTCTGTAACTGTCCAGGAGGGTATAACGGCCAGTTCTGTCAAACAGGTAATATAAATGTCGCCACATTGCATTCTATTACAATATCAATATTCAGCCAACTGAACCATTATAATTAAGACAGTTTACAACAGAAAATCATTTCTTGATATCAAAAAATAGGAATAAATGTTAAAACGGTTTGCCACGGACACGCATGATAAGTGGACGTTCATGCCGTTCTCGTCCACTCAATCTAAAAGTCCGTAATATTGCTGATACAAGGATTTGAAACCTGTACATTGTGGCTCATATAGTCCGAAGACTGGACCACAACGCCCCTACATTCATTTCTGTATGGATATAAGAATACCACGCACATCCCTTTCTATACTATCTACCACCTGGTTATAGCGGCCAATACTGCCAAACAGGTTTGCTCCTTCATACTTCAATATAGTGATTCAATAGCAGATTTTCATCATGGATCTGTTCAAAAATACCACACACACGACCACACGCGCACCCACACACGCACTCACACACACACACACACACCCACGCACACAAACACACAAACACACAAACATTATCATCATCTCCTGCATCTATCACTCTGACTCCAAAAATATACTGTAATAACTTTTATTTGATGATGAAACAGAGACACTGTGATTTAAATCACTTTTTCAATACCGTACGTACGACACCATGCATAGCAAAGGATTCATGATAGGTGGCACATTAGTCATGAAATCCAGGTGTTGGATTTTGTTTTTCTAGTTCTATCGAACTACTAGTGAAACTCGTTTAATATGGAGAAGAAAAGTTTTTAAAAAAAATTATTTTCGAATCATTTTAATTCAGGCCAATCAGAGATAGCAAAAAAATGAAATATGTTCACGATATTGAGTACGTACATGTGTGTGTCAAGGGATGTAGACCTACTTTAATTTGAATACACAGACTTAACCCTCTAAACAGCAGAATAATAAATTCATTTATATAAATGTTACGAATTACGAATGTTAATTTATTGAATTTAAAGCCCCACTGTCCTACTTTAAACTCTTTAATATAAAACAAATTAAGGGTTTATTAAGAGTTTGAAAGAACCCGTACAATATCCATGTGATCAGTTTTGTGCTGTCTCATTTCGAGACACATACAAAACAGCTCAGTAGAGAAATATTACTTTATCAGATAAAAACCAATAGGTTAATAGAAAGTATTAACATGATATAACATAATCCTAAATAATTGCAATAGATCAACTAAGTGCAATATCGCTTCCATATTACATAGCCTATATAAATCATGTTCCAAATATAATATGCTATTAAAAAGTTAGCACATTTCAAATGACGGACAAGGCTATGATGTCTTGAATGGTCTATGGGATCGTTGTTTATGATTACGTGAAAATAACTTTCCTTGGTTTAACTTCTATTTCGTCGTTTACTTAACTCTTCCAGCTTTAGATCCATGTGCCAGTAGCCCATGTCAAAACGGGGGAACTTGTAATTCTCCGGGACCAAGTCTTCCCTTCACCTGTAACTGCCCAGTCGGGTACACAGGCCAGCTGTGTCAATCAGGTCGGATATCTCAATCACTTGAATTCAGGTCAATCAGAGATAGCGAAAAAATGAAATATGTTCACGTTGTTGAGTACGTACATGTGTGTGTCAAGGGATGGAGACCTACTTTAATTTGAATACACAGATTTCACCCTCTAAACAGCAGAATAATAAATTCATTTATATAAATGTTACGAATTACGAATGTTAATTTATTGAATTTAAAGCCCCACTGTCCTACTTTAAACTCTTTAATATAAAACAAATTAAGGGTTTATTAAGAGTTTGAAAGAACCCGTACAATATCCATGTGATCAGTTTTGTGCTGTCTCATTTCGAGACACATACAAAACAGCTCAGTAGAGAAATATTACTTTATCAGATAAAAACCAATAGGTTAATAGAAAGTATTAACATGATATAACATAATCCTAAATAATTGCAATAGATCAACTAAGTGCAATATCGCTTCCATATTACATAGCCTATATAAATCATGTTCCAAATATAATATGCTATTAAAAAGTTAGCACATTTCAAATGACGGACAAGGCTATGATGTCTTGAATGGTCTATGGGATCGTTGTTTATGATTACGTGAAAATAACTTTCCTTCGTTTAACTTCTATTTCGTCGTTTACTTAACTCTTCCAGCTTTAGATCCATGTGCCAGTAGCCCATGTCAAAACGGGGGAACTTGTAATTCTCCGGGACCAAGTCTTCCCTTCACCTGTAACTGCCCAGTCGGGTACACAGGCCAGCTGTGTCAATCAGGTCGGATATCTCAATCACTTGAATTCAGGTCAATCAGAGATAGCGAAAAAAATGAAATATGTTCACGTTGTTGAGTACGTACATGTGTGTGTCAAGGGATGGAGACCTACTTTAATTTGAATACACAGATTTCACCCTCTAAACAGCAGGATAATAAATTCATTTATATAAATGTTACGAATTACGAATGTTAATTTATTGAATTTAAAGCCCCACTGTCCTACTTTAAACTCTTTAATATAAAACAAATTAAGGGTTTATTAAGAGTTTGAAAGAACCCGTACAATATCCATGTGACCAGTTTTGTGCTGTCTCATTTCGAGACACATTCAAAACAGCTCAGTAGAAAAATATTACTTTATCAGATGAAAACCAATAGGTTAATAGAAAGTATTAACATGATATAACATAATCCTAAATAATTGCAATAGATCAACCAAGTGCAATATCGCTACCCTATTACATAGCCTATGTAAATCATGTTCCGATTATATAATATGCTATTAAAAAGTTAGCACATTTCAAATGACGGACAAGGCTATGATGTCGTGAATAGTCTGTGGGATCGTTATTTATGATTACGTGAAAATAACTTTCCTTGGTTTAACTTCTATTTCGTCGTTTACTTAACTCTTCCAGCTTTAGATCCATGTGCCAGTAGCCCATGTCAGAACGGGGGAACCTGTAATTCTCCGGGACCAAGTCTTCCCTTCACCTGTAACTGCCCAGTCGGGTACACGGGCCAGCTGTGTCAATCAGGTTGGATATCTCAATCACTTGAATTCATGCCAATCAGAGATAGCGAAAAAATGAAATATGTTCACGTTGTTGAGTACGTACATGTGTGTGTCAAGGGATGTCGACCTACTTTAATTTGAACACACAGACTTCACCCTCTAAACAGCAGAATAATAAATTCATTTATATAAATATAAACTCACAGAGTTTCCACTATTTTGCCCCAAACAAATACAATTGCATCTTTATTTATGTGTTAAAGCAGCAACGTCATCAGATATTTTATAGCTCAAAGTCAAACCAAACATGTCAAAAAGTATAGTTTTTCATTGCCTAGATTATCAATCCTAGGTTAAGGATTTGAATTCCAGCCCGTAACTGAAATGCTTTGGCGAGACATTAATCCACATTCGCCTCTCTATATCCATGTGTAAATGGGTACCTGGCAGCTACTGGGGTAAAAATGATTGCAGCACGGTCCTCGGGAAGGGCTGCATTGAGGCTGATAAGACGTCCCTGGGTATAAAAACAAACTTCGTATTTATTATCAATATTTTGGTATTACTTTTATTATCATTATTATCATTAATATCGTTACCATTTTATTTGTTTTGAATTATCAGCTGTGGACCAGTGTTTAAGTAACCCATGTCAGAATGGTGGCTCCTGTCAGTCTTCTCCAAGTGAAAACCCTCCTTTCTCCTGCGATTGTTCATCTGGGTATACCGGCCAATTCTGTGAAACAAATCCGATTACAATAGGTATGTCCTAATTCACTTTGATCTCACCCCCCCCCCCCCCCAAAAAAAAAAATAAATAAATAAATAAATAAATAAATAAATAAATAAATAAAAAAACAATCAAGAAATAAATTTTAAGTTCCGATTGATTTGATTCAATCACAACTCTTTATAATACAACAGGGCCCTAGTATATTACCCAAACGATCACCTGTGTGTATTTTATCTTATCTAAGAGATAAACATAATGCAAGAATAATTAATTTCCATGCTCATGAATACGATATAGAGACATAAACAAAAGTTATAGATAAATGAATATTCTCAGAAACGTTATGAATATTTAGCTCTAGTATGTTCCGAGCACTTCTATTTAAATACTTTTTGTTTCAGCACCCGATGGTCTCTGTTCTCCCGGCCAGTGCATGAATGGGGGAACTTGTGTTTCTGTAGTCGGTTTATCCTACTGCGACTGTACCGTTGGATTTGAGGGAGAATATTGTGAACAACCAATCACAAGTAAGTATACTCCTTCTTTAAGTAGAATATTTACAGTTTATTTCACCCTTTCTCTCCCGATTGTCTCTAATCCACCGTTCTCGTTAGTTATCTTGAATCCTCTTTCGACGGCTCAATTTTCATTTTCGTGTTCAAAACCCTTTACAGTATCTTCTGTGTCTACAAGTACCCGAAACAATTAACTATCTAGCTTGGTGATTTTTCTTTCATGTATCCTGTCAACATGACTGCAAATTCTAAATACACGCACGACCTTTACTGCAGTTTGTTGACAAACTACAAAACATGTTTGATTTTGTTGTTGTAGGGGGGGGGGGGGGGACTTGTCAGGAATATTTATTTCACCCCCATTCGAGTTGCATATCGGTGCTTTTTGCAAAGGATCATCAATTCAAATCAATTCAAATTTTATTGATTTAAATCCGAACAAATAGGATCATGTTCATGTTTTTTTTTTTGTATAACATTGGATAACAAATTTCAAAATTATAGTGTAACATAGATAATTGAGTGTGAGAGTAAAAATTACAATAACCAGGAATGACAACAAATTCACGTACTATTATAGCACGACCTTATTCCAAACTCGTGGGAGACATTGATCATGGGATGACAATAAATAATGATCTTTACAATACTAAGGATCATCATGAATACATTTGCTAATACCCTCTTAAAAGGGGGCCCCCTTAATCAATTTTCTTTTCTATATTATGATTTAGACATTATATTTTGTTAATTTTCTTTATTTTAGCAACAAACGCATGTGCCTCTATGCCTTGTTTGTATGGTGGAAGTTGTATTATTGGATTAGATTCCTTTATTAGCTGCATGTGCCAGAGTGGGTTTACTGGATCAATGTGTGAAGAAGGTACACTGTTTCACTTTAAACTATATTTTTGAGTCAAATCGCATAAGGAATATAGAAATAATAATAATACAATATTTATAAAGCGCATAATAAACAGAAGTTTTTCTATGCGCTGTAAATTGCGGGGGGTGGGAGAAGGGGTCAGGATCACTAAACGACCCTTTTGGCAATGCGGTCATGTGTAATGACATGGAGAACTCTCCCTTGTTAATAGCTTATATCCACATTTCAGTGTAGCAGGTGTTTATTTTTCACTCCTAATGATGAAACAGACATATTTCCGCAGGAGAACATGTTTATATATATATATATATATATATGTTCCATAACACGTTTGAGAATCCCCGTACCACTAGTAATGGGACTTTAAAAAATGCATAACATCTGCTGTTCGAATTTACTTACTTTTAATTCTTGGTTTTACTTCTACTCTCTAGGAAGGGTATCTTCGTATTTAAACGTTGTCTGCTTCGATCGGCTCATAGTATACGTCAAAAAGTTATTGCACGATTGGATTGCATAATTATGTAGTTAATTTCGCCTTTATCTGTGTCTTCACTTAAATAGTGGGGATATCAGTAATGTATTACATAATTATATTGAATTCTTCATCTATGTAAACCCTTAGTGATAATTTAACAGATAAATTATCCAAAGTTAAAAATGTTAAACTGCCTAGTACAAACTTGATTATTGCTATACTAAAACGGAGTTATTTAATTGGTAGAAAATTAGGTGTTGCTTTTGAAAGGTATATATTGCTTTTTTTACATCTCTCGGAGCATAAAAATCATACGCAAAATAGTCTTTTCTTTACCAAATATAAAGCACTTTCTGTTTCTTTTAGCAATAAACGAATGTACTTCGAACCCTTGTCTCAACGGAGGAACGTGTATTGACGGACAAGCTTTATTTATCTGTTTGTGTTCAAATGAGTATAACGGAACTAGGTGTGAAGAGTTAGGTAAGTCTAAATATCCATATAGGCCTACAGCTTATTATAGCTCTTGCGGAGAGAGGAAATACATTGTGGAAGGAAACGAGTCTCTATTTGCAGCAAAGTCTAATGAAAGTACTCCATTTCAACTCCCCCCCCCCCTATTTTGTTTTATTATTGGCAAAGGTCAAAGAAAAAAGTCTGTCTCGGCAATCAAACAAGGGGTCTCTGAACCCCTTGATCCACTAAAGGAGAACATCGTCCCCATCTCTCTTTTCAAAATGAAATATTAATCACTATACACGCCGGGGAGGGATCCAGGAGTCTAAGCTAAAAAATAAAATTATTCAATTCCCAGTGCCATTTGGGGTCTGAAATTTTGAGGCAAATCTGTTAATGAGTACTTAAGATATTCCAGAGAAGATACTACCCTGATCACACACTCTACTAATCATCTTATCTTTTACAGGGCAGAGCAACCCTCCTACCACAACTAAATCACCAACCGTGGCAACTGAAATGCCATCATCTAGGTCAACAACCCGCATCAACGGTCCTTCTCCTCCTGAAATATCTGGAATTACTTTAGGTAGGTTACATCCCTCTAGTTCTAGCCCCTCTCTTTATTCTCTCTTTTATTTAATGAACGAAAAGGTGTAGACCTACATTGAAATTAAAATCTACCAACTGCAGTGCCATGTTTTTGTTCGTTTTGTCTAGAGAATGTGTATATTCCCAGTAGTTTTTTTTAAATAATGAAACGTATTGCCCTTCAAGAGGGATTGGTCTAGCTCCTTTTTCTCTTTCTTCTCCTCCTACTCTCTTTCTGTTTCTTCTTCTTGTCCTGCATTCCCCCCCCCCCCCCCGCTTATTGCCTCTCTTGCTCCGCATCGTCCTTCTTCTTCTTCTTCTGCTACAGGACAAATAGCTGCCATTTCATCAGGTTTGGCAGTACTCATACTATTCACAGCAGTCGTTTGGATAGCAGTATGTATTCGACTCCAGTAAGTGGTCACAGTGCATCAGTAAACTTTATTGTGTCTTGAGCTCCAGTTACGTTGATCTTTTTGTAATTGATCACAAAGAAAATAACAAAAAATATGAGATTATTCTCATAAACTTGACTTACAAATGTGCTCCCTTCCACAAATATAAAGTGTATTGGCATAGCTTTAGTCATGCAATAATCCCATATTTCTATAGCAATTTAAAAGGAAACGTGTGCCTAAATACAAACTTGTTAGTAAAGACGTAAGATGTACATTGTAATTAATTGATAAAAATGTGTGTGCGAATTTAGCGTGCAAACATTGTATGACCATCAAATCAATTGCGAGAAGGTCCATTGGTATGAAAGAAAACACCCATTTGAAATAAAATGTTTTGTAACATAATCCTAATTTTTTAAACTATCAGAATAGACAAGAACCTGTGAATATCATTAATATGTGTAATCTTTGATTCCTTGTCTCAATCTCTTGTCTCATTCTAGAAAAGAAAGTGGCAAAAAGCCAGAGAGGCCACTGTCGATGATCTCCCAGCCACACAGCTTCAAAGACCCGCCAACGTTAGACCTAGAGATGCAGGAAATAAACCAATCCAGGGGAAACGAAATTCATGTCCTATCCTAAAGACAAAGAATCTAGATTATATTGTCATTGTTTAGAAATATATATCTATGTAAAGCTATCTTAGGGGCATTGTGCCTGGGGCAATCTTAATACAATTACCGAGGAGTATATTTATATTATATAGCAATATTAGTATTATTATTTGTTTTTTGTAGTTGTTATTGTTATCACATCAGACGCTACATGCATCATCTCCACTCCATGGGGATAATTATGTTCACTATGAGGTTGAAAGTGAATTTCAATCACAATGGCTTTCGTAATTCTATGATATCCCCTGTGAAAAAAAGTTGTTGAATGCATATAAATGTCGTGGCAAAATACATTAAATGTATTGATGCATACTATACATGTATACTTTGGGGGCATAGGGGTGTTATTGTATAAATGTATATAAATTGCAATACCAAATTTCTTCCACTTGACTTTGGAAGTAGGTTGTAAACATATTGGCTTAATGTAAGTAAATGATGTGATCATATATATATATATATATATATATAGTTGTTTTATATGAAGAGTATAACAAATTCATTTATTGTCTAATATCCCACTCCGGTAAAAACAGTTTCTAAATATAAATAATAACTCTTAGAAACACTTACAAATGCAAAAGCGTTATATCCTCAAATCAAATACAAGTGTTGCTAAAACAAAGGTTTATCATGTAAACATGTTACAAATTTTCACGGACTTACAAGGGCGTAAGTCCATTAAAAAAATTGTGATACAGTCATCAACGTAGAAAGTAATCAATTCATGGATCTCTTGCTATAGAATCAAAAAGCCAGGTTTGTTTCAATCACACTGACGACCATGACATATACAAGAACTGCACACTTGATGACATTATTCATTATTGTTGTTTTTTTACTGTTTATTTTAAAAAGATATCACAAATATGAAAATACTCTTCAATCGTATGTTATAATACTGATTTGTTACAATAAGCCTCTCAAATTGATGTATCCAATTCAAAAACTAAAATGCAGCATGAATTACATTCATGCAAAGAAATGGTAGATTCAAGCTTTAAATTAGGAGATTTAAGCTTATGGAGTACACACAGAGCAGGAAAATATATATCTCTCTCTCTTTTCCTTGCAAAGAGCATAGTCCATAGATTAACATTAAACTGATAGCAACGATAACTAATTGCAGCCACATTTGTTTTTCTTGATCAGTTTGTCTAACCCACAAAATCAATTTGAAATGCGTCCTTAGATAAGAGGCAGGTCGAAAAGATTATATAAAAATAATTAAAAGCTCAGTTCTGTCTGATTGTTTTCTTTTTGTGTACGTGTGTGTGTGTGTGTGTAATAAAGTGCACATACCAGTCCTTGAGTTACGCCAGAAACGTATGGGTGGATGCATGTGAACTTTCTTTCACTGAAAAAAAACAGTTACCACCTCTCTCCGCAGGGAGTGTGATGGAACCTGGAAATATGATCAGCCTAAATAACCAAGAATATCAAGTCAAATTGACACATTTCTCTCCAAAGTGGACTTTTCAAGGCAATACTGGCCTATTTAATGCTCGTTCAGATACGGAGTGGTAAACAACAGCATTTTTTTCTAAATGATGACAAAAAATGTAAAACACTTTACATTATTGTATTTCATAATTGTATACATGTATGTATATTATGAATATGTGCACAACTCTTGCTACGAGCAGTTGCCATTCATTTACATTTCCTTGAAAACGTGACTAATTTTTGCAGGGCTTACAGTGCCATATATCTGAAACGGCCTTTACACAGAGAAGTTTGTTTGTATGTTAATGCACTACGAATACAAAGAAAATCAAATTTTCTATTAAACACAATGAAACAATGAATTTTTAGCTCTATCATTCCATTTTTTCAAGAAGTTTAGATGTATTCACAGTTAACAGTATTCACTTCTCTTAAATCCTCTCTATTTCAATACATTTTTAGCACATTTTAAAGGAATATCACCAGATGTGTAACACTAATTTCATTCTGAAATAGCTGAATTTTTTAAAGTCACTCTTGGTGAAATGGTCGGCTTGCTTAAACATAAAATGTTATATCTCAGACCTAGCATTGCCTTGAATAGGGGTTATCAAGGGATGGAGAAATGGTCTATAATTAAATCTCCCCATTTAACGACAAAGTAAGGATACATAAAACATGGCAAGAATTTTTCAGCTTTCCATTTTGGAGAAATAAATTTCAAATTTCAAAAAAAGGGAATCAAATGTTGAGGAATATGGCCCAGTTTTAGGCTTGTATATTGATGGAAGCTTAGTTTTGATAACAACAGAAATTGTGTCGATGGTACTTCAATCTTACCTTTTTGTTAATGCCATGATTAAGAAGTCTATCATATCATTTTATAGAATATTTACAACATACACTCATGGATAGGGGAGTGGGCAAGAAGGGTAAAAGTTATTGGGTTAAGCAATCAAAAATGAGAGTGAAATGATCGTCTTATATCAAACGACCCCATAAAATTCAAAAGCATTAGCCTACTGAGCAATCTATATATAGAGATCTGTGGTGATGATGAGGAAAAACCTGCATACATACAAGAATGAATCCAACATACCCATTCTTGTTGAAAATAATTTCCCAGCGTACATAGTTGTCTAAGGTGTTTTTGTAATAAATCTAGGTACAGGTATCATGTCTAAATCATGGAGAGATTCCCTACTAAATACCAAATAGTACATATAATGATGATGGAAAGCATATTTAACTCAAAGCTTGTAATCGATCATTTTATGATGAAATGTATAATGTTCATCATTAAGTTTTATTTCTTAATCTTTTAACATGACCTTTCTGCTATTGTGCAGATAAGCAAACTTGACATGCTAAGAATTGATTTGAAGAGTACCTTTCATTGACAAGACTTGTCAATCTTTTACACATTTACACGAGTCAAAAATAATGCTTGAATATGTTTAGTGTAGGACATTGACCGCGGAGCTATTGTCTCCCGAGCATGTGTCGTGCAATCGACGGGTTGCATACCCATGTCGTGTTTGGCGGAATGTGGATCACTAGGCAGCATTAAACAGCTGAAGACCTGTCTTAACATAGATGAACACCAGCTCCCTGGCCTTGTGCTCCTGATGATAGAATGAAGAAAGGATGGAATAATATTTGGACATTACAAAAATAACTACCAGAATAAAGTCTCAAATCTTGAATTTGTGTGTGTGTGTGTATGTGTGAAATCTGTAATTTTAGATTAAATACTTTTTATTGAAATGTAACAATAATCAAAAGAAAATCAGAAACATCTTTTACAAAAGTATCAACTTTATCCCCCTACCATCCCCCCCCCCCCCCCCCCCCCCCCGCCAATTTGCTCCTCTGTTAGAATTGTAATTGTTAATTTTGAGCCTCAGGAAATAAGAAAAACAGCACGGAGGGATATTGTGAAGAAGGGTTTGCATAAATAAATGAATGAGAGCATGTATTACTTTAGAATTGTTTCAAAAGTACCTAGGTAACCTTTTTTATATTATTAGTTGGTAACTTTAACCTAAATTTTTCCACAATAAATAGCATATATTGGCCTACACATATTGTGTGAAGATGAAGATACTCACTTAACACACTGCTGAAGAAAGAGACATAGGTAGCATTACTGGTGACTGCTTTGTAGCTTGCTGGGCTTTTTCTTGTCGTAGAGACCGTGAAAGCTTTCCCTGCACTCGCATCCCCGGGGCCTATCACGTCAATCTGAATTAGATGATACTCCCGAGCACTGAGAAGGAGGCAGAAAAAGCAATAATTTCAAACACATAGTACAAATGGAAAATGGTACTTTTGTAAAAGCCAATGAGGCATGACAATTGAATGCACCAGGCACACAAGTAATATTAAACAAAATGTAATATTTATTTCCTATCATAAAGGCAGTTCAAATGTATGATAATTTGTGAGCTTTCTCATTTTAAAATATGTTTGTTTAGAGAGGTATCATAGAAGGAGCCTCCCTGGAAAGCATTGTTCTTCAAATACCCCCAAATTAAAAATACAATGAGAAATAGCTGAAAAGTTTGTACCAAACTATCATGCCACATGTTGTTTAGTCCCATATAAAATTGTCTGTATGCAGTAACCTACATGTGATTTTCAACAAGACTATGTCAATTGTTATCATGTTGATACATCCAAAACCTCAGAGTATACAGCAATTCTTATGTTCTACATAATCCTTGTTCTCCTATGAATTCCAGATAGTTTCTTTCACAATTCAATCATAGGTAGCGCTGTCGTGGTCTAGTAAATATGTTGTCGGACTGTGGATCACAGGGTTCACAGCTCGAGTGCTGCTGCGGCACTAATGTCCTTTGGCAAGACATTAATCTACCTCCATTCCCGGTGGTAGATGGGTAGCGGTAAGAAGAAAATCCTTGAAGGTTGTGAGCACCAAAACCGGTAGCCTAGCAGAGCCGGAATAATATTAGAGCATCTTGATAGATACAACTAGTGTGCGCTTTCAAAATATCCAATATTTACTATCATACACAGTGGTCAGTAACATACAAATAAACTCGCTGTTTTGCAATTGACCACTATGTACGATCAAGTAAGCATACAATCAATTGCTAAGCTTTGTGTTAGGGGCCCCTGAACTTAAAGATAAACTTTAGTACTGGTAATGCGATTGCATTGTGAAAGAAAAGGTGTGGAAAGGATCAGAAACAGTTGATCATGTAGCATGTAAGTATTGGTGTGCACTGCAAGGTTCTGGAGTCATCAAAATCATAATAAATTTGACCAAGTCTTGGTAAAGTAACAAGCACTCACATAGAAAGCTATATGTGGGACAACACACATGGTGTCGGGGCTAGTACTGGCTTGATTTCCTTGTCTTTCTATGCTCATTACTCAGCCAGTATACATTTTCTTCCAAAATTGTTCGGCACATGTCATTTATTTGTAATCTTGAACATTTAGTGTAAGTTTCGTTTGATTCTGTGAGAATTTTTTTTTTTTTTTTACCAGTACTGGAGTTTATCTTTAATGAGCTCTGTCTTTAATCTTACTTAGGATCTGAGGCGATGCATCCTTGGACCTTTTCAAAGCCTAAGTTGTGTGCCATCATACACGCAGCAGCCATTGTGTTGACATTGTTAGGTGCTAGTGGACATAGGTCTTTCACAGGGCCTAGCGGAATATCAAAAGGAAAAAAAAAGAGCATTGATTTATAGAAAAAAGTAATTATACATGGAGGACAATTGCAACCTCCGATATATATCTTTCACTAGCCCCTCACCTCTGACACCTTACCTTACGATTACTCCAGAAAGCATTCAATAGTACTGCAAATAACATCATCTTCTGTGCCTTGTTAGAAACAGAAGGCCCAGGTAGTGTTACGCTCAAGGAGGTAAATGTCTGTATATATGCTGAAATCACTCATACAAGTGCATAGTAACCTATAGGATAATCTTGTACCCCAAACTACTGCACCACAGCAATTGCTGACACGCAACAAATCCATGTCAGCATGGTTTATCTAATTTGTGTGAGATTTTCATAGGAGAAAGATCATCAGATACAAGGCACGAATTTAAAATAACCTGAAAATTCAACTTGATTAAGGTGAAAGATCCAATCGATGGAATTATATTGAAATTATATGTTTGATCATCCAACACTGTAAAAGGCATATTTTTTAATTGGCTGATTATTTCAGTTGAAATATAATAAAAATAGGTCCATTTATATAGTGCAGCTGAAACTAAGAGGTCAACTGCAGCTTAAATTCAGACAGCACTTCACATGTACAGTTCTGTGGGTGGCACCAGTACAAAAAACATATGGGCCCATATAAAAACATATTTCTATATACTACAGGAAACAACTACAGCTATTCATCCACTGCAGTACTGCATTTGAGGCTTAACCACAAGTGGATAAAGTTGAGAAGGCATTGCCTATTTTCTTGCTTTCTTGCAATCTTACAATTCCTACCTTAAGACAAGATTATTCAATCATAGAGTCCTTTATCCAGATCACATCTCAAAATTATTTGTATGAAAAGATGATATGGACAATGAATTAATCTATCAAATGAGTTATTGATCATATTCCACTCACCATCATACAGCACAGTTGGCTCTAGTACTGTTTCATTGACCTCCTTCAGAGGACTTTCTAAGCGGAAAGCATCAGGATGCTTTGTCATGGTGATCTTCAATCCCTACAAAGTGAAAAAATTCAGATCACAAATCAAGTGTTTATTTTATACATATATATTTTGTATAGTTCTTTTACAAAGCTGTGCTTTTCTTTGTGTGTTTGTGTGTGTTTGAGTAATTCCTGGTGTTTGACATCAGCAGTGCAATCTGTATTTGAATAAAAATAAGCTAGATCTATATTAACCTTTCTTTGATTATGATAGATAGAACTATTTATTCCCTATTAAGCAATGACATATCAAATGATGTTTACTTCCAAAAATATATGCCTTCTAAACATATGAAGGTAGAATTTAAGATGAAACAAATATCTCAATTATTTTTAATTGCTTTAATGAAAAAAAAGACAAAAAGAGTTGCTCCTAACAGGCATCTACCTGCAATGTCCCTCGATCGGCCATCTTCTGAATATCTTGCCCTCCCCATAATGCACCACTTGGAATGTAGAGGCCGTGTTTAATGGCACCATCCCTAAGTTTCTTTTCAACATGTGCATCTGCCAAGGCTGTGGGAGAACCAACCTGATAGGGAAAAAAATGAAATCATGTTTAGGTTTCAAAAGATATACAAGTATCTACATATCCCTAAAAGTATAAGCTTAAACCTCTGTATTTGCTATTGATCAAAGCCTGAGACTGCCGCTTTGTTAGGAGCATATGGTTCTTATGACAAAAATCAAATGTGGCAGCTCATTTCAGTGTGTGTTCCATCAGTCGACCAAAGCAGCGAAAGAGTTAACCTACGAAAAACACGTTTTTCGAGTCAAAGAATAAGCTTTAAAAATTGTATCACAAAAAAAGTCTTAAATATGAACAAAACTATCCTATGATAAGTATGATGTGGTACAGGGAGTTTATTTGTGTGAGATATAAAGAGTTAATTCTTTTGGTGGAACTGACACTGCCATCATCAATGAAATTATTTCTTCATCCGTAACTGCACAACGCCAAATTCAAGAGTAACCCACTAGCGGACACCAAGGGGCAAATAAGTTTTGTATAACTTTATGCCTACTTCCAATGTATGATATCCAAGGTATGATATTTATACTTACAAAGTAATCTGCACTTGAAATAAAGTCTGCTCCATATTGATCTGATATACAAGGATGAGCAACTTCAATTATCAGGTCTGCATTTCTATGAAGAGGACATACAAAATAAATTTGTTTTAAGTATATTGTGGTATGAAAGGTTTACATGGAGTCTGGATTGTCATTTTGTGGTATGTTCGCAAAGGCATTTCAAATTTGTACGGTTGAGAGATATAATTCAGGGGCTGGTATGAATTGAATCACTATATTGGCTAGTTCTGCCTGTCACATGACAAGATTTTATAACAGGAAAAATTGGTATGCTGTATTCAAATAGAGAGTAAGAATATTAAAGCATTCAAAACTGAGAAATATCAGCCCAAAGAAGGAGAAAGAAAAAAAATAGTTAAAAAAAAAAGATTTCTGACTGACAGACCCATGTTTTGGCACCTCAAAGGTGATACAACATCTGTTTTTTTAGGTCTTACGCAGATATTCTGTTTCATACTGTTGTTTCCCGATATTGCTTATAAAAGATATGACTGACTAAAAAACCAGAAAGAGGGGGGTCTTTGTTGGGTGGGGTAGTGAGCAGGAGAGAAAGGGAATATGTTTACCTTGAAGCAAATTTACTTAAATCATCCAGAACTAGGTTTGGCGGAACAATCCCATCCATTGCTGATGTTGAACGGTTCCACACAAACACAATCTCAAAGTCATCTCTGTCCTTGATGTTTTCGAATAGATATTTTCCTAGAAGAATAAAAGAAATAGCAAAAATAAGTAAACTGTGAAAAACACTTCTAAAAGTAAGAACATACAAGACTGGTATTACAATCATTTTTGTGTATAGAAAGCTTGCTTCCAAGTATGATTTCAATGAAAGACATATCGGCAGAGTCTAGTGTATCTAAGGTGTTTTTGCTATGTACAGCATTGTCATTTGGTGCATGCATCTTGAGGAATATTAGCTCTTCACAACTTGACAGTTTTCCCAAGCAGCTAAACGTAGCAACAAAAAAAAGGTATGTAAGTTTGATGATACCTGTAGGCATGATTTGTATAACATGTACAAACTACTTTTTAAGGGTCAAATGGATGTTTTCAAACTATAATCAGAAGAAATGAAAAAAAAGGTGATATTTCTTTTTCTAGATATCTTTGTTAGTTAAACCAGGGCTCAAAATTAAAAAGGTTTACACTATTTGGTACATTGCTCTTCTATCACTGATTTCTTTTCACTGAATGCTACAATAGTAAAATTGTTTAAAGAAATTATTTGTTACCAACCCAAGGGTAGGATGTATGGATACTAATGACAAGTTTGTTCCAAAAGATTGGTGGGATTTTGTTTTAATTGGTTGATACATTAAAAACAAAGCAACTCTTTGCAAGTCTTGTACTGGAAATAAAGGATCTACATGTAGGTAATGATAAACAATTATTACACTTATATGGAGTCATAATGATGATGTTAACAGAGGCAGTTTATCTTTAGATACAACACTAGAAATTAAGTTATAAACATTAGCATGCACACACAAATTCATTTCTTCTTCTTCTTCTTCTTTGGTCTACCTCCTTACCAATTTTGCCAAATCCAACAATGCCAATTCTTCTCTGTGTTGCCATGGTAGCTTAATATCCACCGACCAGATCGTCTATAATTTCTTTGTTGCAATACAAAAGGAAACCCTGATGACAAAAAAACAAGGATTTAAATGTGGGAAAAGCATAGATTCCCTAAATATTTTTGAGGAGAAAACAAAATAAAGTGAAATAATACAGACATAAATTTTACAACATGTACAAATCCAATGGATCAATATTTTGCTAGGACACGATGTAATCGTTGACCAGTACGTTTGTAATGTAAGCCTAAGCCTAACAGTAACACTTTTAAATCTTTAGCCTAAAGTTTAGGCATTCCAAGTTGTGTGACAGTTTAATGCTTGTGACATGTGGAGACAGAAACAACCGTCTTGTAGTTAATTGTACAGTAGGCCTTATGCATATGATAGGAGATCGATTGTCATAACATAAAACTAACATTTGTAAACCTTTTTTGGTAAGAGTTCCTTTTGTACCCCCCCCCCCCCCCCCCCCCCCGAAACCACCGTTTCGTTAAATTGCTCCTCACCCCGGCCCCCCCCCCCCACTCTGTGAACGGAGGGATACCATGCGTGTTCCAAAACTCTCCGGCTCGTAACAAAAGAAAAAGGTCGACCCGTATTGACTTTACACACCGGGGCAGCGTCTCACGAAACCGTCATAAGTACAAGTTCAGCGACATCCCATTGAAATGCGTGTATTAAGTTTAACACGCCTTTCAATGGGATGTCGGTGAACTTGTACTTATGACGGTTTCATGAAACGCTGCCCGGACTTTTGCTGAAAAGAGGGGGGGGGGGGGTCGCTTGGAACACGCATATGGGTACCCTATATAACACTGAGTGGGGGCCGTGGGCTCCTCACAAATGCAACAAATAAAAGCATGAATAAAATAGTCTAGATCTAGTGCTTCATTTTATCATACGAATCTCTTTTCCACTCGACTATACCGGTACACACAAGACTGTGAATACCTGTGCAGGCGAATGAGTGGTTTAAAAAACCACGATATAGCCAAACAATGCAGAACTATTGTCAAATGACCAGACAATTTGAAACGAGTGCCATCTATCCCCTTAAACTGCTTAGTCCCGTGTGTACATTTATTGGACGTTCGCACCGAAATAAATTTTAAACAATTTAAATTAAAAAAACAGTGATATGTGAATTGGCTTCGACTAATATTCGAAAATTATCTATAGACAGATAAATCTTTACAAAATGGTGAGTTATTTTACCTCTTATTTGGATATATCAATGTTTAGTTGATACAAGAGAGTACACATATGGGCAAACGGGAACGTACAGGATGTGCTCAAACACTGAAATAAGCAAATGGTTTATGGAGCTCGCAGGGTAAAAGATATGGCCAATTTGATATACGTAACACAGAACAACAATACTGGATGTAGTAATGTACTGGCCCTTGTGCCCTATCTAGCTATAATTTCTGCCATTTGAGAGCATTCATTTAAGTCACTGAATTTTAAAATAAAGTCTAAGATTATTCATTTTCGTTCAATCAAAATTCTACGAAAATCCTGCTACCCTTTTTAAGCTAAATTTAACAAAGGGGATCGGCAGGGTGTAATAATAGCGGCTGCCACTGAGTATTATTGCTTTCGCTTTCGGTGCCTGATTCTTGCTTCCCTTTCCTTGTTAACGTGCCAATAAAATTTGAAAATTCGAGGGAAAATGTGTTAAAGAAATAAATTTACAACTAATGTGGATTCAACGAATGATCTTCAAATTGTTTACGCTGTGATTAGAATGGTTTCAAACTTCAGTTACCAGATGCACGCAGAAGATTGCGATATCGTCGTTGATCGATATTTTGCGTAAACAACGTTGTTGCTATGCCGTTTGTACCGTCTGGAACTCCTGCCGTAAAATACTTGTTTATTGTATGAAATTTCAATAATCTATCATTTAATCTCCCAGGAAAGATACCCATTGTGACCGACATTAATGTGAGTATTCTATTTGTAGAATGAGATAGTTAGTTAAGAATTACTAATCAAACGTGTTCCAGAGGCAGAGCTGAGTCGGTGTCTCGCCTCGCCTCGCTGCATGCGCCTCATAAGCTCACCGCGCGCTACGCTGCCCCCGTCCGCCTCGGCCTCTGCTCAGCTCAGGATTCTGACACTGCCATGCAATGCAGTGCTAAATCCTAAAATAACATTGTCATAATTGCATTGTGCACTGAATGATTCTTTTTCTTCTTCATGCATAATTAACAGCCTCGCTTACTCTACCTAGATCTATTTGATATTTGGAGTACACATGGAATATGGATGGGAGTTGGCCGTTGGCGTTGCAAGAAAGTTGCACTTTTTAGTTTTGAGTTGACTTTGCCACTTAATTTGGATGACTTGCGCTTGCAATCAATTGAAAACCCCCCAAGCTAGTCTTGGCTGTCTTGCGATTAATTGCAAATTGTTTTCAACTTTCTTTTAACTTTCCATTATTAGAGAGAGAGAGAGAGAGAGAAGGGGGGAGAATAACAACTATTTTTTACTCTGTTTTGATTTTGTTTTAGTGATTATTTTTACTCTTAGTTACTGGGGGTGGGTGGTCCACACTGCACTGCCACTGGCAGATTGCCTACACAACTTATATAGTTCAAGCTACTGCTAGAGTCTCATTAAATGACCATATTGCACAACAATCACAAGCCAGACTCCAGAATAAGAAGTTCATTTAATGAAGTGTTAATTAATTAAATTTCCTACTGCCTTCTACATTGCAGCAATTTAAAATAGATCTAGATCTAGATCTACAATTTTCCTTCACCTCATGCAAAAATTGTCATAGTATTTCACCTTCAGATAATTATCAAAGATATATTTGAAAGTTCAATTTGTCACATGATGCTCTGAGTTTGAGTCAGACTTAGATAGATCTACCTGCCAGTTGCCTTTGTAAATTGCTGCAGGCAGTTCGATATGGGTACATACAGTTTGCTGAATGCACAGGGTTGATAAAAACCTGATAAAACTTGAAATTTTGTTGCACTTGGGATAAAGGTACAAAATATTGACATTGACCTCTAGTGGGAATGTAAAAAGATATAAACTATTAAGGTACATAATATGTACAGGTGTATATGTATCTGTTTATTGTACGAAAAATAGATATCATCCTGAAAAATGAAAAGAAAACTCAAAACTCTGTACGCCTTAGCATTTGAATTTATTTAGTTTCTATTCTGTTCACTTGGCATTACCACTGTGCAGCGTACCAATGTAGAACTTTAAAATTCTACAATTATACATTTTTCAATTACTACTGAAGTTTAAGCACTGTGAAGCTATTTTAAAGTTCATGTATATTTTTCGGTTTCGCTTTTGATTCAGAAATCACATTGATTAGAAACCAAGAACATGGCACCCAAGAAGAAAGGAAAGTCTGCCAAGAAGGGCAAGATGGCCAAGATGACAGAGGAAGAAAGAATTTTATATCTGGAACAGAAGGAGTTAGCAGAGAAAGAGATGCAGAAAAAGAAAGAGGACATGCTTAATCAATTTTTAAAGGTAAGATTTGAAATTGTTTTCTCTCCTTTATTTATTTATATTTTTTTTAGCAGATGATTCATTTTGTGTTAGATAACAGAAGTTTTACACAAGTAGGCGCATGTTTTCTGTTCCTATCATGTACATGTAGGTCACAGAGTGATGTCACAAAGGTTAAATGTCAAGGCTACATTTCCATATGCTCCATGCATATACTTACATATTCTATTCAATTGTGCCAGTTAGAAGGAATACCTGTTATATATTTTTTGTTTGTTTAATACCTGTATAATTTAATATAACATCATGTAAGATGTGATCCCATATATGGGAAAATGGAAAATGGCAGACGGAATTTGATGGAGGGTGTATTTCATTTCCCAGGATAAACTAGTGAAAGAGGAGAGGAATACCCGCTTCAACATGTACAAGATCACCCACCAGTGGAGGAACATCATGCGTGCTTCCAAGTCGAGAGAGCTGAAGAACGACATTGAGATCCTGAGCCAGACCTTTGAGCGTGTGGTGGACAGGAAGGACAGTGTCATCAAGTCTCTGGTCAAAGACTTGCAGGAAGCAGAGGAACAGTATGCCATGGGGCTCAGGAGTCATCTACAGAATATGGATGGACTTGTGGGTAAGTCGTCTTTCAGTGATGGTCTGCCAAGCTACGCATCGTCCGCTGTCCCAAGAAGCCTGCAAGACCTAAGTATTGACAATGGCAGGAGAAGGGCGTTCTTATGGACAGCTGATGACATACTGTGTTTTACAAAATGTTTTTCAGAGTATCTGATCACAATTGTGCATATTTTGTGAACAAAGGTTACTGCTAGGATACTCAATTTTTTTGTATTTTCCAGACCTCTAGGCAAGTAATGCCTGCAAAGTGTTTTCTGGACATATTGGCCCGTATTCACAAAGCAAGGTTTGAGCTCAAACCTCCTTTTGTTTCGCCAAACCTCCATTTGTTCTTTACAAACCAGGTTTGTAAAAAAACACATAAAACGCGTCATATGACGTACGAAAACCAAGGTTTGTCGACAAACCTCCTTTGTGAATTCGGGCCTTCATTTTTATAACAACTATAGGAGTTGTCATTGAGTAGGAAAATAATGTTTTAAAAAATCTTTACTTTTACCTCATATGAGTCATAACCAGTCTTTCCATGTGATTTTTAACACAGTTATGTATATGTAAGTGTAAGAAGCTGATTTTAAAGCTATGTAACTTGACATTTCTGTATGGTTTACCAGTGCCAGACAAATCCCTTAATCATACAGCACATGTTTATTGAAGGATGCAGTCAGTATTGTTTCAAGAAGATGCAAATTCAGATCACATTGTGACATTTAATTGAAGAAATAACATATTCTTTCTGGCCTTTCACTTCCGTACAGACCTCCAAAAGAGCAGACTGCAAATCGTCAAGTCAGAATACCTGGATGAGCTGGAGATACTGAAGAAAGAGTTTGACACCGAGAGGGCGCTGATCATCGAGCAACACAAGCAGGAGCTGAATGATCTTCAGGACATTCTCTTTGCCATGGAGCAGAACACGACCGAGAGGGAGAATGATGCAAGACAGGATTTCCAGAGTCTCAGGGATGAGATCAAGAATAAGGTAATAAATAGTTGTATAATGATTTTATTTTGCGCAGTTCAACCCAAAATGGGTTCTCAAAGGGCTTAACAAACAGAGTTTATATACATGAATAATTATAAACACAGAGCAGATCAATGAGCTAATTACAACTGTATGTATATAAAATATTCTAAGAAGTTCTACATATCTACATTAATTATAAATAATATTCAGAGAGCAGGATTAGATTTTTAAAAAATTGATCGTAAAAACAAGGTAAGACATGGTAGGTTGTTTGACACTCCCTCTTGTGACAATTGCTTGGGGGTTATTTTCTACACTGACCAAAATCCTAACTTCAACCTTGGACCCAACACTATAATACCTCCCTCAACCCTAGCCTCAAAACCCAGTTGCAATCCTTATCCTAACTTTATTCTTTTGACAAAATAAAGCCAGAGCAAACGTCGGAGCACCCTTGTGGTGATCATACAGTTTCTAGGGAGACACTTGCCCACCAAAATTTGAACACCTAACTGTTTTAAGGATCTTTGCAGAACCTTGAGGAGAAGCATGAACTGAATCTATAGCATTAGCTGGATGTTTTGATGGAAGACCTCTTGTCTCAGAAATTCAGAAAGCCCTCAAAAACGTCCTAGACCCAGCTAAACATTATTTTGGACACATCTTCATTCCTTAAATGTTCAGACATTTTCTGGGGTGACACTTGCTCCACTGACATTTTGAACACCTCATTGTGTTGATGTTCATTGCAGAACCATTAGAAGAAGCATGAACTGCATCCATAGCTGGAGTGTCAGATGGAAGACCTCAAAAACTTCCTAGACTCAGCTAAACATTAGTTTGAACACATCTTCTTTTCTTGAATGTTCATTGCAGAACTTGGAGGAGAAGCATGCCCTGCGCCTACAGCTGGAGGGTCAGGTGGAAGACCTCTGGGCCCAGTTTCAGCAAGCCCTCAAGAGCTACCAGGAATCAACGGAAGAAAGGAAGGCTGCCTTTGAAACCCTCAAGGACAAAGACGAGAAGAGTGCGAAGGAGATCGAGATGCAGATGCGCAAACTACAGAGAATATCAGTATGTTCTAGCCTATATACTTATGTTTTTTATTCATCATTTAACCCTCGTTCACGCATGAGATAGTAAATTGCCTCTAAAACAATTGCTGTACTAAATTGCTATCAATAAGGTACAGAAAGTGCATTTGCCTTTTAAAAAAATACTTAGGCACTGTCTGTTTCCATGAATTTGGTAAGATGGGATAAAAGGGATGACAATTTCTTTAAAGTTCTACAATTATGTATTTGTTTTGTTGTTGTTGTTTTTGTTAATGTCAGTATTCATTGATTGGCGTAAAGTGATGTTTCAGTATTGGTACCAGATGGAACCCAAATTTGTTTTACTTTTTCAATGAATTCTAATGAATTCAAATCAGGGTTTTGTTTTGTGCTCTCATGAAAATTTGTAATTAAGGGTCATTGTTAGTCCCATCATTTCATGGCGTGAGCAAGCCACCTCTATTTAGATGATAGAGTGGGGTGCCAAAACTTAGAATGAAGATATTGATGTAATAATGAAGCTCTTTTTTTTTTTTTGCAGGACAACATTGCGTCCCTCAAAGCCAAGATGTCTCAGAACTCAAGGGAAAGTGAGGAGAGGAATCGAGACTTGAGGGAGCAGAGGGAGGTCATCGCTCAGCACTTCCATGAACTCAAAAGTCAGATGAATAACTTTCGGGAAAATGAAAGATCGCGGCTGACCAAGCTGACACTAGAAAGCAATGCATCCATCAAAGAAGTTAAAAGGAAACTGGACATGGTAAGCATTAAATACATTTTTTACATTTCTTATTTCTATAACACACACATTTATGTTTATTATCATATTACATGTATATCCATTTCTTATAATGCACCAACATTTCTTGCGCTTCGGAAATTATAGGTCTTGTAAGTCTGGGAAGCTTTAAAATAAATATCCAGTATCCAAAGAAAATATGAATACAGCAAAACAGAGATGAAGACTCTCATACTCTTTATATTTGGTCATGCTTCATTTATCTTGGTCAAAGTAGTGTAGGAATGAAAATCTTCCCTCTCAAATGTTTAGCGTATTTACCATTCATGGCAAAATGCATGTGCAGCTGATTTCATATTGCATGAATACATAAATAGCATGATTTTCCCTTTAAAGATACTATGTCCCTTTTGCAGACAACCTCAAATTCTGTAGAACTTTGCAGGAATTATGAATATGTCATGTATGTCCTATCTGTGAAATTTAAATGTTAGTGCTGTCCTAATATTTAAATTATGCAAGGAAACCCGTTTACTTGCTAGACTTCACTGTCAGACACTATTGAGTGACTGACAGGCTTTTTTCTTCTTTGGTAATAACATACATAATATGAGCTGTAAAGGATTTGTCTACATCCATAATCCACTTCTTGTGATGGCCAAGATTAAACTGATTGAATCTTTGCGCAGCATAAAACGTATGACCATTCGGTACAATTGTCTGAAAATCAAGACTATTACTTTTGGGCTCTATAGCCCTAAAGTCGATTTGACAACTAATAGTCGTTATTTTCCCACTTGAAGACATTTTCAAGCCCCACCTTTTTTAGGGAAGTTCTAAATTAGTATTATCTTTCAAATGCAGTTGGAATTTAACTTTTTCATTTTTTTGGCCTGCAAATGGGACATAGTACCTTTAACATACATAGAAGTTGATAGTACTTGTTTTAAGGCAAAAATTGAAAGCTGCAGTAATGTATAACTATTCATCTCCACAAATTTTTAATCTCCTTCTGGTCACTACCATAGGGTGAGAGGATATTGAAACTGGCAGAGATGAGTCGTAAACTGGAAACAGAAGAGGAGAAGGTTCTACCCTTCTATGCATCCAGTTTAACAGCAGAGGAACAGGAGGATGTAGCAGCTGCAGTAGCAGAACCACCATCAGAACAACTGGCAGAGGTACACTATCTTAAATGTTGCTTTTAAATATTTTAATGTGGTTATTGTTTGATAGTAACTGGCCTTGAGGGAGTTATCAGAATATATTGCCTGTCATAGAATCATACTTCTTTAATTAGTATACAAGGCAATATGATACTGTGAAAGGCAAAATATTTTGTATCTTACAAAAGTAGATCCAGATAATGTTATTACTTGTATTGTCTGTAGAGATGATTACTTGTTGTGTGTTGGTTTGCAATGTATTTCAGCATTATACATACCATAGTCATTTATTTACGTATTAAATCATTTCCTTTTACAAATGTTTTTTATTATGGTTGCCTCATCAGTTAGTAAATCAAGGGGCCTTGCATAAATGTAACATATACAAATCTAAAATACTACATGAATATGTACATAATATTACACATTAACAACAATAATATTGACATAAATCAGGGAGTTATAACAATTTCCCTCATCAAGTTAAAAGGTCTTTTTTTTCTAGTGGATATGTCACCAGACATGGATGATAATTATTCTTATTCTTTTGTTCTTGTTGTTGTTGTTTTTATAATAATTTTTATCGTCATCGTCTTCATTATCAGATCATGCATGAATACCAATCCCTGGAGAACTTCTGGAAGCGCTACAACAAGTCCCTCTTGGACAAGGTGGCCCTGGACAAGGAGCGCTCCACCCTGATGATGGAGAACGGGCGCCTCAGGACAGTCCTTAAGCAGTACCTTGATGGTATCTCAGTCAACGATGAGATCCTCAGCCAAGTCAACCCGCTCTTTGTCGTCAACCAGAAGACCAATGCTCCGTAAGTATCCTATCCCTACCTACCCCTTGCATAGTTTCATCGTGTCACTATCCTACCACGCCTTGACTTCTTATTTCATTATTCGAAAAAAGTTAAAGATTAAAATCATTGATTTAAATCAGATTTGTCAAAGGAATTTGTATAGAAAACCTCTAATCTGTACAGGCTATTGGCTATTGGTACTTTTGATTACCAGCAATATACTCTAATGCAATGCAATGAAAGTTTCCTTCTAGAATTTGTGGCGATGTTCAGTTAATACATGTAGTACTTTTTAGATATGCAATATGCCAATACGTTATAACTAGCTCTTTCATTGCGGGAGGTATCATAGTCAAAATTAAAGTATGTTTTGCACACTGATGTTTATGCATATCTCTTCTTTTTTACCTCATACTCTCTTTTTTTTTTTCTCTCTCTCTCTCTCTCTCTCTCTCTATTTATCTCTTCCTCTCCACAGAATGGCTGTACCTATCATGGACCCAAGAGTGCAACGACCTACACAGACTGTAGTGGAGGCCGCACACATTGTCAAGCAGTACGCAATCTAGAAAGATGCGTTGTCGTGACATTCAAAGCGCAGTGGAAATAGTAATGTAAAATGATAATTAAGGATGAATTAAGATCTCTACCATCTTTCTGACGTGGTTGGATATTTGTGTAAGTTGACTCTGGGTTTACATGAAGAGAAATCAAATCTTGAAACGCAACTTTTGATCCTGGTTGTGCGCAGTCATTTACTGATTTGACATTGCTGTGTTTCTCCAAATATTTCATTGAAAACATGCGGGATGTAATGAATATTCATCATTGACATTCCTTTAGTTATGGGCTGTGGTGTTATAGTCATGGATTGCTTTCTTGAACCCTAATTAGATGCATATCAGACAAATTGATGCTTATCACTTCACGTGTTGGGCCATGGTGTTGTAGGATACAATATTCCACATGTCTACTGGTAATAGGGACATAACATTAGTGTGAAATAATGATTTATAATAATTATTATAATTTGAATAATAATAAGAAGAAGGGAAAAATATCAGATGTGCCTGGTAAATCAAAAAAGTTGGTCAGTACAAGATGTAAAGAGAACTATGTATAGAAATTATCATCAATATATCTTAAAAATGAAGAGGGGAAAAAAAATGCTTTATTTTCAAGTAAAATTCTTCCCTAGTTGTATAGAAAAACTTACAATTGAAGAATATATACATGTACATGAGAAGTAACACACCTCTGTAATCAGACGTTAACACTTTAAAAGAACTATGTTTCTGTAAATAGATGTATATTTGTATCAATGGACAAATCCAGTATGGTGTTAAAATGTGGTTTTCACACCAAAAATACATTATTAGTACTCTTCATATTCTTCTGATCCAAGCTTAGCACTGAGGTGTGGTGTCGTGTTCAAACTTTGATAGTAACTTTAGCCCACCATCAAAAATATTAGTGTTTTTCAGTTTCTTGAAACCGTCTTAAGTCTAACTTCTAACATCCCATTGAAATGTGTGTTATAGAATGAACACACGTTTCTATGGGATGTCCATGAACTTAGACTTATGATGGTTTCATGAAACTGGCCCCAGGACTCATGGTAAACCTGTACAATGTTTCAAGCACTTACAACACAATCACAACTACTTTTAAAAAAATCAGCCAAAGGCAATTTCTATAGCATTGTGCATCACTTGTTGAAATGTGCAAACATGAGAATGATGTATTACCTTGTCCAAACAATATTTCTATGGTATCTACAAAAGGGTATTGAATTTGCCCCAATTCGATTTTTTTTCGAAAATAGTTGTGATCATGTTTTACTAAGTAAAGTTGAATTCACGATACTGTTCTAGCTGTTTATTGTAATGCATATTTTAATCTGGTTGAATACTGAATAAATTTTGATTTCTACCAAATCTGAAAAACATCAATAATAGAAAGGAATAAATAAGTGACGGAATTTTAGAATAATATATGTATCTACATGTATGTGTAAATAAAAAAGTGACATTTAAGAAGCCTTTATTGATTTATTGATCAATTTATTGGTTGTTTGTTTGATTAATTGATTGATTCAATTCATTGTTACTTTGGACAAATTTATTATTAGGTGATTAATATTCTAAGTAACATGGATGATTTCAGTTTGTCATCTTAACCATGTGTGAGAGGCTGGTTAGTTTAAATGATTGTTTGATACTTCAGTCAAATTGAAAAAGTGATTGATACTTTTGAGAGATCGTGTAAAATTATATAAATATGGATGACATCATTAAGTATACAACTTAACAATTTTTGACAGGCTGGTAAATTTGTTTGATTGTTTTATTGATTGATTTCTTAATACTTGGTCAAATCTATACTTTTGAAAAAAGGGATTGATATTCTTAGTAATATAGATTATTTGACTTGGTGAATGACCTAGCACTTTATAGTTGATTGGTTGATTCTTGACTGATTTTATAGTGATTGATGTATTGATTGATATTTTGGACAAAGTGATTAAGTGATTGATATTCCAAGTTGACAACCAATCACTTAGATGATTGATATATAGATTGATTGATTGATCGGTTGATTGAATGTTTGTCTGTTTGTTTTGAGTTTAACTGATTGACTGATTTTGGAATGCTTGTCATTATATTATGGAGTGGATTATCATTTCATTTGCGCCCAAACCCCATCCCTACCCTGTGTATTTATCAATGCTTCCATTTTAAAGGATGTTTTGCGCATCACAAATTAATACACATAAATAAGTTGCCATAATTTAATGAACAGAAAAAGAGAAAAGGGGAGGGGGTCCAGGGATCATAGGACAAGAAGACAGAAAAGGGCGATTTTTTTGAAAAGGTATTTACGATAAGTATGCCCTATATATCTCTTACTGCCTCCCTTTGTCTAATTTTTTTTCTCTCATGCTCTCATTCAATTTTCTCTCTTGGCCCCTTTATCCAGTTTTCCCCTTTCTATTTGACTCTTTTATCCCCTGTCAATTCTCTCTCTCTCTCTCTCTCTCTCTCTCTCTCTCTCTCTCTATCCCCACCTCACTCTTCACTCCTCCATCTCTCTCTTCTTTAAACATTCTCATTGCTTTTATGACCCAATATTATAGTATTGAGGAAATACTGGTCAATAATTGTACAGTATTGCATTTTCCAGGTCTGCTGTGTGTGCATAAATGTTTACCCATTTAAAACCACATGACAGAATCCAATTGTATTTGAAGTATGAAAATAAGATCTTATATCCAGAGGCGACGGGGCCAGGGGGGAGGGGTACAGTGCCCCCTCCCCCCTCCCTTCCAGGTTTTTTATAGTGCCTCTTTTTACATGGAAAAAGTGCCCTCTTTTACTTCAGATAGTTTGTTCCCTTTTCCTATAAATGCCTCTTACCACCTCTGATAATTGCCCCCTTCACCTATGATAATTGGCTTTAATTGCCCCTATTAAATCTACTAGGTGCTCATTTTACTTTAACAAGTGTCCTTTTCTTTTGTAATAGGTGCCCCTTCCCCTTCTGATAACTGCCCCTTTTCATCTTTGATCAGTGCCGCTTCTTACCTCTGATAATTGCCCCTTTTTATTTTGACACGTGCCCTCTCTTCCTTTTTCATAAGTGCCCTTTTTTCCTTCTGATAAATGCCCCTTTTCGTTTTTAATGAGAGCCACTTACCTTTCTCAGAAATGCCCTGTCGGACACCAAACTCTGATAGATGCCTTTATTAAAATGTCAGAGGTGCCCCTGAGTCCTTTGACAAGTGCCTAGTTTCCTTTGTAATAAGTGCCCCTTTCAATTCTCACAAGTGCCCCTTTACCTCTTATAATTGCCTCTTTTCAAATCTGAGAGGTGGCCCTTATATTTTGACAAGTGCCTCTTTTCCTTTGTATGCCCTTTTACACGTTATATCATTAGGACGATCTTTCCATTTTATTTATCATCAATGGTAACACCAAAGAATCGGGTTGAATAAATGATTGAAATTTTGAAAATTTTAAGTATGTAAATCAATAATATCATCTGGAAAAATATTTGTATTATTTGTTGGAAAATCATAGGCCTACATGTCTTATCAATATACTATTTCAATTTATTGGCACGATACCTTTCATGTATCTTTTGTAATTCAAAATCTAATTCAAACACTAAATTGTTTGAATCATTGTGGGAACTAAAAAGGGTTGTATCATTTGCAAAAAGTATTCTATGTAATGTATTACTTTCATGCTGAAGTTTAGTTTTAAGACGGATATAAAATTCATTTAATGAAACAAAAGTACTCTTTTTCCTTTAAATATAATACCACTTTTATACTAGTTTCATAAAAAAATATTTTCTTTTCAAAAACAATATTTTAATTATACCATAAAACATTTTCGTCAACATGTTTCTGTGCCTGACATTCAACTGTTGTGTAATTTATTTTATGAGGTACCATGCATGTAATATTATAATATAAAAGTGTGGCACATTTCTAAGTTTTAAAGGCCCACTGCACTACTTAAGCTACTTGCGCCCTCTATATAACAAAAATGCATAATCGGTGACCATTGGTCCCCCATCATCCTCTTTTCCTTATGTTAACTGAGAGCTGAGTTGATGAGATAACCACCTGTCCAGTGACCTTGCAGGGCGCTCTAATCCCTCCTGTAAACTATGGCAGATAAGCTTTAAGAGATATAATGCATCATCAATAAAATTGCAATTCAGCATGCAGTAGATGCATTCCCCCAAACATTCAAACCAATGTTGACTATATCTTTCTATATTCCTTTTTGTATTATCTAAAATCATTCCAATCCACTTCAGCCTATAAAACTAACCATTTGCCTTTTAACATCGATCATTCTTATTCCGGTGTCACAATAATCCTGAGTAACAATAAATCGTTTTACCTTTTCAATTTTACATTTCCAAAGATATTACAAAATGTCAAGCTATTCAGTTTTGTTTAAAAAAGTAGACGGTATTGTATCAACACTCATTACATGAATAATAGGACTAATTGCAAGTGATTCAATAATAGTCAAATCCGGAACATATAGTCAGGTTTCTTTTTCTCCAGTTATTCAGCAGTCTTTGCATTTTCTCTAATCTATATTGTCAATCCATCTTTAAAGCACACTGCAGATCAGATGCGATATGATGTCCTAAGTATTTTACTGGTTCATCTGCCCAGTGTAAGCCGAAATAAGATATCGACCATCGTTGACAGGATTTTCCAATCCAAATCAAGACAGTCTTTTCTCTATTTAACTTCGGTTCTGCAACTTCCCCAAAAAACTCTAATTCGTTTAAAAAATTGTCAATAGAATTTATATCAGAAATATAAAATAAAGTGTCATCTGCATATTACAGCAGTTTTAGATCAATACCTTTATCATTATAAAAATATCCAGACCTTTAATTTTATTATTTTCTCTCACTTTATTTGCCATAAGTTCTGCGGCCAGTGCAAACGAGGCCGAGAAGGGACACCCTTGTCGTATTCCTATAAGAAAACTCTGGAAAACAGGCCCAAAGTTAAATTTTCTCTGACATTTTTTGATAAAGGTTACATCAATTACAACTAAAGCTTTAGAAAAATCTGCCATCATAAGAGCATGGTTTTTACCACGATCAGTGAGTTCGTAACCCCCTTTACCCCGTGCTATTTTCAGCAATTCATTAATAACTTTTCAGGTCTATTAAACATCTGTTGTTACATCATTAAATCTTTTAAAGAAGTAACTACGTTTTCTCTTTCTCACTATTAACTTCAGTTCTGACAATTTCTTTCTATATGGTGATGGGTTATATATTGATAAAAGTTACTTTATCATAAACATTTATTAAATATTTATGATAAAGTAACTTTTATCAAATTGCATAACTTTTAAAATCTATAATCAAATCAATGTTTATCATTTTTCTTACACTTATTTTTTGTAAATATATCTGCATGGATAGCATTCGTTATACAGGTTCATACAACTATAAAAAGAAGTATTCAATAAGTGATCAATAAGTGATGCTATAAGATCAATTATCCTAGTTGGTTTAAATAAGTTGCACAAATACAAAAATGCTAATGAACCTAGAAATATGTCAAGATGTGTAGAAAAAGTACATCAGTAAGCACTCCTTTTGCTCATTTGTTATTTTACAAAGAGAGGGTTCTAAATATAAAAAAAATATAAAAAATTCTTTCTGTTTTTATTTTTTTTTTCTGAAAAATTAACAGAGTAAAAGCAGCAATATAAAATATAATATCATCTTAAAACTACAAAACAGGCACGCACTCATGCACCCATAAACACGCACACACACACACACACACACACACACACACTGGTTCTAAATAATTGTTGGTATGTTGTTTTTTGCGCGCTTGCTTTACCTGGTTGGCAGATATGTTTGTGGTATGCATTATGGACAGTTGGACACCCACAAATGTGCCACAAACATTTTAGGAGCGATTTGCGATGTGGTTTTTATACAACTCCTTTGCTTTGCGCATTACCTCTTTTTCTTTAAAATAAATTTTGAAAAATATCTGCAAGTATATGATTTTACACAGCAACAAAACAGCAAAAAGCAAAAAAAAAAAAAAGAATTTCAGTTAGAAATTTAAGATAACGGTAAGATTTGTGTCTGTATATAAATTATAAATTCAGTACACAATAACACCCATGTGTATCTCCATGTACCGATTGGAATAGATAATCACTGTAGGTTACAAAAGGTGTTTTGGAAAATTTAGCAATGCATGTCCTGCATTTTAACTGCTACTTTAATAACTGCTACTAATTTTAATAAAACAAACACACACTTTAAAATGGCGTCGGGTGTCATTTGTGGTGATGTGCTACCTACGGACTGTATTTTAAGCTAGCTAGAATTCGATGACTCAATGTAAAGGCGTCACCTTAATAAGCTCCCGAAGCCGTGCTTTCAACTTATTGAAGTCTAAATACCGGTAGCCATTTTCTTCTTACAAAAGGATGCACGCTGATCCTTGGCTTTCGGCATGCTGTAACGCTCTATCAGCCACCAAGGCAGGGCTCAAATTAATTTTTTGTCCACGGGGGCTCTTCCCCCCAAAAAAGAGCCCCCGTGAGCCTTCTCACGGGGGCTCTTTTAGTACTGACGGGGGCTCTTTTTTATACAAATATCCATTGAATTGGTACCTATGATACTCCTCAATTATTTGCTGTTTCATCATTATCATTTTAATCAGCATTTTCCCTCTTACAAATTTACAAGCTACATAGCTGTTACTGACTTTCATCCCGTGATGACATTCTCTCGATGTCTTCCCGTTCTGCACATTATTTCCTCCTCATTATTAAGAGCAACCTTTACATTCTTTCTTTACTGAGCCGCGTAGCGGCGAGGCGATTTTGTGTGTGTGCTATTTTGGACAGGCGCGGATCCACAGGCCGATTGTACAAGCCAGCCCCCCTCCCCCTACTCTCCCAAACCGGTAAAAAAATAGGATAGTAACGTAAATTTTACCTTAAAAAATAAAATAAAAAACGCCCGCCCCCCTGACCTGCCAGTGACACAAATGCGGCATCAAAATATTTGTGCTTCTCTGACCGTAATTAAATGCCTAAAACCCCTGTCCCCCCACACCAATTTACGCTCGCTACCCTCTACCTGATCGTAAATACTTTAGCCCCCCACTTTGATAAACGTTCCGCGGGGCCTGTGTATATAATATATACGCATACAACACTGATCTTTATGATGTCTTTAACGTGACATATCTTCTTCTCCCCTTGCAAACGAGAAAGAAAACAAGGTCATTAAAAGGGATTAAGCGACAAATAATGATTGTGATTCAAATTGATGCGAATATTTGTTTGAATAAGCACTGCTATTCACCCGAATCTTCTTTGTAAAAACAACTTTTACAAATCTCAGCCTTGCTTACTGAGTTGAGACGTTCCATTTAATGTAAAATACTAATTAAAGAATACACTTCTCCTAATCTGAAAGTGATCTTACAACACAGTGGCAGAATTGCATGACTGAGATTTGTAAAAGCCGTTTTTTACAAAGAAGATTCTGGTGAAAAGCATTGCTTATTCAAAAAAAAATCCTTGCACAATTTGAATCACAATGATTATTTGTCGCATGATCCTTTTATTAAATAACCTTGTTTTCTTTTTTGTTTGTAGGGGGAGAAGAAGCTATGTCACGTTAAGAAATCATAAAGATCAGTTGTATTATGCGTATATACATAATGATACCAGAACAAAATGTTGATTATCAGAATGTCATTTTGGAATACCTCTATACAAATACCACATTGTCTTTAGCCGGTATCAGTATTAGTATGAGCCAATATAAAGCTTATATTCTTTATTCAGTTCAGTATAATGCTTTTTCTCAAAAATAGTTTCGCTTTTTTTTTAGGGTTGAGACGCTAAGAAATGGTTTCAAATGTACATTACACAAACCCTAAACCATTGCAAAATGATGGTGGTTCTCTCTCTCTCTCTCTTTATTTTAATCATGCATTATCAACTACATATAAAGCAGCAACCAAAACTAAGGGTTATCTGAGATAGGTGAAAGTAAGAGTAAAATCATGCTAAAATGGCGCTTCACCTCCCCCCCCCCCCCCCCTGAAAAAAAAATAGTGGTCCTCCTCTCCAGCATTCCCCCCCCCCCCCCCACACTTTAATATTCACCGGCCGGCTGAGTCGGCGTAAAAATGTTCCCCAAAAACTGGACCCCCCTAAACTTATGTGCATTTATCCAGCCCCCCCCCCCCCCCCCCGCTCATTCGCCGATCGCCGGCTGGCTGATTCGCCGCTAAATATTTTCTCAAGATTTGGGCCCCCCCCCCCCCCGTCTTGCCGCCGGCTGGATCCGCCCCTGATTTAGGACCCCCGTAAGCGATGTTTTCCTGGCATCTACTTACATGCGAAGCATCGTCCACGAGCCGCATATCGGCGAGGCGATTTTTTGTTGTTGCTATTTTGAACCCCCGTATTGTTTTCCTGGCATCTACTAACATCTTACTGTGTGGGTCGATCTGGACACATAATGGCGTTTTTCTATGCACATCACATTTTCACTTGGCAGGCCAAGGGGGCCGGGGGGAGGGGGGAGGAGGGGGTTAAACCCCCTACCCCCCCCCCCCCCGTAGATCTGCCCATGTTACCATATCATTCCACGACATCTTGGTCTTCCTCTTCTTCTCAATAGGGACTTTTAGATTTGCGTGGACGTGGACGTTTTCTTTTAAGGCACTGGCAGTCACATGTGCCTTAAAAGGAGGTCACACGTTGCAGTCCACGTTCTCATCGTGCAAATCTAAAAGTCCCTAATATTGATTTACTGGTCGAGGTTCATTATTTGCTGGTCATTTGAAATCACCAGATTTCAGCGGGTTTACGCTTTCACAACGAAAAACTTCTCCATGACCATGTTTCTGCCCTTGCGCGATCGCCTCCATAGCTCCAGCAGACATGGCGCGGCAGCGTGCACACGTACCGTTACTAACGGCGCAGTAGGCCTATGACCACTGCTGACGGCGGCACTGCACTGCGAGCTGAATCGGTAATAATAGGCCTAGTCATAGAACGAGAAATCTTGCACGCTAATCTAAGTTCCATTTCATTGATTTAAGGTTTGTAAATTGAAACTAAATATTGTGTTAAAGTTATAACAGAAAAGATAATCTTTATTTTATAATTCCACGGGGGCGATTTTTAATTTTGCAATCGCCCCCGTAAGCAACCTGACGGGGGCGATTATGTAGCTCACGGGGGCGAATCGCCCACCGCCCCCGTGTATTTTGAGCGCTGCACCAAGGTACACTGGTTGAGAGCTTCCAGCAATTCTACATGTTTTGCCACGTCTTGGATGTGATTCTTCACTGTGTAGTTCTCGATCTCGAAAACGTATTGGATTTCCAGACTGAGAAGGTCTGATTTGAAATGGCTTACCGAACCAGACGCCGACGCCTTATGCGTTATAATAAAAAATTGGAGGTACTGCTGTATAAAAGAAATCACAAATAAATGCATGTGAATGATGACAATGATGCTTTAGAATTTAAAATATCGTTACGTCACTGCAGTTATAAAGCCTAACTTCACAGATGCTCTCAAATGCATGCCGTACTAAGAGCTAAAAACAAAACAAGCGTCGCACAAACTGCAATATTCACTGGAATAATGATGGGGACTGTGCCCCCTATAACGAATATAAAAATGAAATAAATTTAACCGGACATGATGGCTCAGTGGATAGAGCGCCCGCTTCATGAACGGGAGGTCGTGGGTTCGAACCCCGGCCGAGTCATACCAAAGACTCATAACAATGGGACCTTCTGCCTTCTAGCTAGGCGTTCAGCATATTAGATTGGAGAAGGGCAGTAATAACATATTACGCTGGGAGAACAGTTTCATAACTGAAGTGGCTACCCTGGGTAAATAAAACGTTATTATTATTATTATTATTATTATTAAATAAAGAGATTTTACTCCAAGAAATTGGGGGAAAGTGTGAAAAGAATAGAAAAAGGTAAATTACATATATTAAATATAGAGATATTAAGAAAGAAAGGGTACTTTCCAGGTCTTTTAATTATGTTTCACTTTAATTTGGTGTTGATTGTCGATGTTATTTTAAACTTTGCTCAGTTTATTATCTATAGATACTATACAGTGCGTCCCATAAAAAACGAAACCGAATCATAACTTAATCACAATTATGATTAATAAATGACACATATTTGGAAAGCTTAGAATCTTCTCTTTCACTTGATGCAACTCATATGATGCATTTTCCACGCATGAGTGATTAAAAGCAATTTGAAAAGAGGAAACCAAAAAGTCATTTGGCGGGCGGTCTCTAAATTTCAAGGAGAAAATCACATTTCTAGAAAGTTTAATTTCTTCTCTTTCATATGACACCTCAATCAGGTAAAATGAGCCAGGAATAACAAAGTTCTGTTTGTTTAAAGGTAATGCTTGCATTTCCATAATTTGATCAAATGAGTTCGTTTTCACTGGCTGCCTGCCGTAGTAACTAACAGAGTTGACAAAAGACTTAACTCCGTTTCGTTGACGGTCAGCCATGGACAAAGAAGACGAAAGACCTGATGCATATGGCTGATTTTCTCCTTGAAATTTAGATACCGCCCGCCAAATAACTTTTTGGTTTCCTCTTTTCAAATTGCTTGTATTCACTCATGCGTGAGATATGAATCATGTGAGTTGCATCAAATGAAAGAGGAGGATCTAAGCTGTGTCATTTATTAATTATTATTGTGATTAAGTTATGATAAAACATCGATAATTCTCGGTTTCGTTTTTTCTGGGACGCACTGTATTAGAGAATGTGTTGGAAGTAAAAAGCAAATGATACATGCCATCTATTTGATAAAAGAATTAAAGGTAGAAATTCGCACCTATCTCGATATGATATGTAATCAAAAGAAATTCGATACAAACGAAGTAACAAAAATGTTTTCATTATTTTAGTTATTGATTATGTCACATCAGTTTCATGTTTTGTACTATATATGATATGTGACAATAATCAATTCTGTGTATAAACACTGTTGTAAATAGATGTTATTTTATGATATGAACAAATAAAGTCCCTCGAAAGAGGATAAATAGAAAGAAAAAATATTAATGTATAAGAGTATAAATGCTATCATAAACTAAGGTTTACAATCATCAAACATTATACCTGTCATTCGTCTGATAGTCTGGACAAGGTCAGCTAAATCAGCCGCTTTAACAAGAAGGTTCTCTCCACTATATATATATTTAAAAAAAAACAATAATAAGGTAATGAAACAAAAATGTGAAATGTAATCTATTTTAAACAAGATGAGATACAACTCGTCATAATGAAGGAGATAACAATTTCATATGCCTATTTAATTTTGATATATTATGATTTAAAAAATTAAACTCAAATTGACGTTTAATTTTTATTTCTGAAGTTATCAGATTAGTGTAAAGCTTCATGTTTCTTAAATAATGAATTAAAATTCTAAAGAGATTTCCTTGTTCGTTGAAATCAAGGCCATAAAAACAATGCGAATTATATGCGTTTATATAAGATCTTTATTGCATCTGATATAATTTAACCCGAAACGAATTGCCACAACATTTAGGCAACTGCCAAGTATTTCAATATGGTAACCTGAAGAACAAGCTAAAAGTTAAAGAAAAACTAAGATGTGGAATGTATTAAGCTACATATGATTTTTTTGTTTGTTGCAAATACACTGTTGCCCATAAAGGTGGCACTGTTAAAGAAGATTTGAACATGCATGCGCCTTCTTTTTTGGTGAAAGTTCAAAAAACGTTTTCATGGAAGAATATGCAATGACATTTAAAGAAACACTAAAAAGTTCAAAAATTGACAATTTGAATGAGAATAAAATGGATATTAATACAAAACATTATGTAAATGATTTTTCATAAAGTTACTGACCGAGTAACATTAACACACTTTCCGTTGCATACGTACAGGACGTTGCTAGTAGATAATGACTAGTAGAAAGGGGGAGGGAGTTGTCAAATAAAATTATTGTCCAAAAATGTTTGCTTCCTGCCCCCCCCCCCCCCCTCCCCCATGTTTTAATAACATTTCGTACGGAGTGTGCAAAACACCTTTTCCTCGTACCCGGACACCTACCCCTGGGCAACCACACCTCTAGGACAACTATCCCTAGGACAACTACCCCCCCCCCCCTCACAACTACCCCCTGAGTTAACCATCCTCCAGGACAAGTATCCCCAGACAAGTACTCCATAGGGCAACCGCCCTTTAAGACATTTACCTCCTTGACATCTACCACCTATCGTAACTTTCACCCAACTACCAGAATAACCACTTAGGGTAATTATCAATCAGGGGTAGTTGTCGTAGAGGGTGGTTGTCCTAGGGGGTAGTTGTCTGGGGGAAGTTTTCCTGGGAGGCAGTTGTCTTTATAGAGGGTGGTTTCCTAGGGGGTAGTTGTATACTAGGCGGTAATTGTCCTAGAGGGTGGATTTCCTAGGGGTAGGTGTCCAAGAAAAACAGAATTTCGGTACAAACTGCAAATTAAGATCGTGTACCTGACAACTATTACGGCACAGTGGATCTCGGATAGCTTGTTGGTAGATTTGGACGTCCTCAAACTGTTCAAGTAAGCAACTAGTCGTTCTACTCTACCTTTATCCCACACAACATGTTCACCGTCACGCCTGACTCCTTCTGCATCAGATGAAAATAACAATTATGCTCATGAACACAAATTTTAGCTTAAGACACATATTTGCTTCACTTTATAATATAACGCATTAATTTGTGTTTAATGTTATGATAAGATATGCGGCTCGAAGATGATCTGTTTTGCCAAGCATAGGAAGAATAATGATTAATATGAAACAAAATTAAGTAACATAATAGATAGTAAAATCACAGCGACTTTTTCTGAATAGAATATTTCTCCAAGATTGCAAAAGAAGTAACAATTTATATAAAAGACGGTGTAAAAAAAAATAAGTCGCATGGACCTCTAACTTTGTTGACATCCACGGAGTTCATCTGTTTCATCTCTTAGAGTACAATATTTTGTTAATCGTAAATAATATTTATGTTTGCATTCAAAGAATAGATTCAAAAATGAAGAAGAAAGGACTATTAGGGCCTATATATACAATGTGATTACGAGTTTAGTTGTACCAATATGCCTTTGTGTGTTTTTTTTTGCGTAGAACACATTGTGAAAGTAAGTTGGAAGAAAAGGATGACGCAGGTTAATACATATATACACACACACACATTCATTAACAGGGGCGTCGCTAGACTTTTTTCAGTGAGGGGGGGGGGGGAAGGGGGAGTAGAGGCCACCGAAAATCGACAAATTTAATACTAAAAGTACTAAAACTAAAAATATAAATATATATATACAACATGATATATAGATATATAACTATATGTTTTATGATTACCAAATCAAACCATGATCCCGACAACTCGACGCTATTCCTATTCCACACTCGTGGGAGACAATGAGCATGGGAACAAATAATGCTTGTACACTATATTAATAAAACATCCCTCAAAATATATTATACTCACCTATTTGGTATTCAACTTCGCCCATGAACTTTTGGCTGAATTCTACCATGCCCCGATTGTCACAGACAACAAGATGATCGGTCAAGTCGTAAGCGTCTCGCTTCATGGTGGTAGATTGCTGTTCTACGTACCCTTCTGGAGCCTCATGATTCCACGATTCCCCAGTAACGTAGAGAAGAGAATTGATGAAGGCCGACTTCCCTACACCAGGTGCCCCAAAAATCCCAATCCTCGTCTGTTTTGGAGGGTTCTTGGGTCGTTTCTCCTTTGATCGAATGGTTTGCCCAGGACTGTATTTTTTCAAAATTGCTTGCAATTCCGCGACTCGAGTTTCGTGAGGGTTACATATTCCCGCCATTTTCCTGTAAATTTGATTCTTTAATAGCAGAAAATTTTGCAGACTTTATTTTTGTATGTAACCGCCTTATCTACGTAGACCTTAATATCGTGCTTAGCGGAATATACTTGTAAATGTTTTAGCGGGTTGCCGCGAAATGTCAGTCTACCCCGCACGCACGGGGAATTCCAGGTAACCTTTGAACTTCATGAGTCACATTCATGAGTACCTTCCATTGTAGGAACATTAATGTCGGAACAGACAATGGCGTAGCCTTTCCTGTCCCTTTTTATGGATGGGGAGGGGGACAATGATTTTCCTACATATCATGTTGCGTGTCGGGACTTGGCATTTACTTTGAATTTACCCCCCTCCCCCCGGCCCCTCCATAATTTTCTGCTTTATCCGCGCACTACCTTGAATTCGATTGGTGGCCGAGCCATGCTGCCTATATATCCCCCTCCCAACAGTAACATTTACATTATTTCATCATCTTCTAATTTCATTCTCTTGTTTACATTAGCTTATTCAGTTTCCAAAATTATACCCTTTTTAATACAGAGTTATAGTACTGAGAACACACGGCATGTAAAAATCATTCAACGTTGTGATTAATTACATCAAGTCAAGTAGATGTAAAAATATTTATTCAGGAAGTATATCAATATTTGCATGTTTCACTTTCTATATGGGTAAATTAAATGTAAGGTACCGGGAGCAGGCGCGTACGCAAGGGGTGGGGGAGTTTGGGGTCAACCCCCCCCCCCTCAAAAAAAATTGTGTGTGTTTTGGGGTCAACCCCACCCCCCCCCCCTCAAAAAAAAGTGTGTGTGTTTTGGAGGAAACCCCTTCCCCCTCATTTTTGTTTACCCCCCCCCCCCCCCCCCCCTCAACGGAACGAAATGTCGATCGGTCAATTTTTCAAATTTCCGGACCAAAAAAAAAATGTGTTCTGGCTGAGTCGTTGCGAAATTTTCAGCGCGATTTTAAAATTTTAACCCCCCCCCCCCCCTTTTCGAAAAAAAGTCCTGCGTACGCGCCTGACCGGGAGCCGTCTTGTCATTCTCTTTTCACCCTTAAAAAAAATACTTTGTGACATTAACATTTATTTTCTCCCTTGTTTTCTAATTTTGTTCATCTGTTTAATATAGTTAGGCTTTCAAAATATCGCCCACACCCTTTTTGTCATGAACGTACTGGAGAAGACAAGTATTCAATGTGATTAAATAAATCAAGTCAAGTTGTGTTATAATAATACTTAGGTATATCAGAAGTTTTAAAATTCTACTGCAAGTTGACTTTCAGAGCACCAATTCGACAAGAGCTAAATAGTATCACTATAATTGTACCATTCGACATTGTACAAAGTCATTCACTGCCTGTAACACTTGAATGTTACATTTCCCAAGATGCTTTGTTTTTGGCTTACCCACATTTCCATTCCCGTTTGATTGACCGGTGGGGGGAAGGGGCACATCGTGGATGGGGATTTCCAGTAACGTTATCGCGAAAGGCCGCCATAATAATAAGAGTGGCAACATGAAAAGGGTGGGATGATACTAGTCTTACTAAGTTAGTTGACGAGTTACGATGGGAGCAGGGAGAGTCTATGAAGCACAGGCGCCGAAAAAGTGGTCGGACCATAATTTAATGCATTAAAACCCCTGAGCTTCGGGGGGGGAGGAGGGGGGGGGGGGGGGGGGGGGGGGGGGGGGGGGTAGTGAGCACTCATTTTTTTAATTTTTTTTTTTTTTTTTTGGGGGGGGGGAGCCTCGAAAATATGAAAAATCGCACCCCCCCCCCCCTTGAGCGGCAGAAGAGGAGAGCGCCAGGGGGCATGGGGTCAAAGGAGAGCGGCTTGATTCCAGTCCTTCTCTATCAGGTCCTGCTTTACCTGATCGTTAATACTTCACTTTCCGCGAGGCATGCATGTAACATGTAAGAGTGTTGGTGAACTGGTGATGCAGATTTTTGTTCTCCCCCTCCCCCTGGGCCCCTCCCACCCCCCACCTCCCACAAAAAATGTGTTTGCTCATTACGCCACTGCCCCCTGAAAGGTGAGCCCCCAGCCATGTTTGCCCCCCCCCCCCCCCCCCCCCCCCCCCATCCCAAACTGCTTATGGAGGCCCGGTTATGGAGCGTATTATCATGTTATTTTCTTCCCCTCTCTACCCCCCCCCCTGTTTATCTCTCTCTCTCTTTCTCTCTCTCCCCCCCCCCCCGTCTGCCGTTTCGTCTCTCTCACACACATCTACGCATACCCACTAATACATGTGTCAGCATTATTTTTTGCATTGTATGATTGTTTATATACTGTCATTATTGTGATCAGAGGCGGCGGAGTTACTTTCAAGGTGGGGCAATTCCTGGAAAAAGGGCACCTTCAAAGGGAAATCTCAAAGCGAAAATATACAATTTATTAGACATTAGTATATACCTATACTGTAATTACATTATCAGGGATGATTTCCATATTTGTTTCTCTTTATACATCATATAAGATATTGCTTAAGCATCATACTTTGCAGTTGGGTGTCATGGTCTGAAAATTAATTTGTAAGCGAGGAAAATGTTAAGATTTGTGAGGTCGCAGTGCGAAAAATTACATCTTATAAAGAGGAAAAACCCAATCCTGATGGGATTATAAGCACATTCTCAAAGACTGAACAGACCTTTGATAAGTTACATTATTATAACATCTATAACTACGAGCGAGCGTAGAGAGCGAGCTATGGGGAAAATTGATCTCAGTCGCTTGAAATCGGGGGCTATTTAATGACGAGAGGAAAAGGGGACGCTTAGCGAAAGGGTTAAGACTCTTATTAGAAAAGAAAAGGAGCACGTGTCAAAGTACAAAGGCTAATTATCAGAGGTGAAAATGGTGCACTTCTTAAAAAAAAAGAGGCACGCACCGGGGATGAAAAGAGATTTTATGAGAATGGGAAATGGGCATTTGTCAAAGGAAAAGAGTCACCCATTAGATTTCTTTAGGGGCATTAATAAAAAGTGAAAAGGGGCATTTATGAAAAAGGGATAGGTTCCATATTAGAAAGGGAAAAGGGGCAGTTATCATTGTTAAAAGGGTAATTATCAGAGGTGAAAAGGGGCACTTATTGCATTTGAAAAGGGTAACTGACCAATGAAAAGAGGCACTTATGAGAATGAAAAAGGGGCACTAATGATAAAGGGAAATGTGCATTTGTTAAAAGAAAAGGGGCACCGATCGGATTTTAATAGGGGCATTTATCGGAGGTGAAAGGAGGCTTCTATGAAAAGGGGGGAACTGGCTCTTATTAAAAAATAAAAAGGGGCACATGTTAAATAAACGGGGCACTTTTCAAAGATGAGAAAGGGAAGGGGCACTTATAAGAAGAAAAAAGAGCATTTATTAGGAAGGAAAAGGGGGACGTGTCAAAATAAAAGGGGCATTTATAAGAGATGAAAAGAGCACTTATCAGGAGGGGAAGAGGCACTTGTCAAAGTAAAACGAGTATCTCTCAGAAATGAATAGGCTTATTTACAAGAAATGAAAAGGGGGGCAATAATGAGAGTGAAAAGGGAAAATATTTCGTAGATGAAAATGAGCATTTATGAGATGGGAAAGGGGCTCTTTTTTAAATGGGGGCACTTATCATAATGAAAAGGGGCACTTATTAAAAAGGAAAGGGGGCGCATGTGAAAATATAAAGCGTGCTTATCCTAGTTAAAAAGGGTAGTTATTAAAAGGGGAAGGGGCACTTTTCCTATGTAAAAGGGGACACTTCTTACAAAGTTAAAGGGGCACTTTACCTATGTAAAAAGGGGCACTCAGTTTTGGGGTACTGAAAAAGTGGGGGGCACTGCGCCTCCCCTGACCCCTCCCCCCCCCCCCCCCCTCCGGAGCGCCGCCTCTGATTGTGATGTGTTGTTGTTAATAAATTCAAATTCTTCAAGTATTGGCAACAACTAATTCACTCGCGTTATACATCATGCGAGAATCAAGGTGCCGATTACTCAATTTTGCTTTACCCGATAATGTAGGAAAAAATGAGAATCGTTTTATTTTCAATGAAACAAAATGCTGGAATTCCTTACCAACCTATTAAAAGGCAATTCAGAAACATTACAAACTTAAATTTGAACTTCATCACTTGAGACTCGATCAAGATAAGCAAAAAAGTGACGCATGTATATATTTATTATATAGGCCTATATGTTCAAATTCATATACATTGATTAAATTCTTAATGAATGTAATTAGTGTTATTACTTTTATGTTGTTATTCTCAACCCCAAAGAAGCTTATCTTGTTTGTGCTTGTTTTTTTTTGCTTTTTCGTGTGATTATTTTATTTTATTTTTATAAAGTATTATCAAACAGACTTTGTAATAGGACCCCATTGTAAATACCGGTAAGCTTTTCAGCTTTCATGGGTCGATCATCCTATCAAGTTATCATAATTATATTGTTTAATTTTACTCTTTGTATTTATGTTACATCGAACTTGACTTATAAATCAAATAGAATTAAAATTTGTTTCAATTTAAAAAAAGACGCAGGCGGCCAGCTCGAGATGAATAAAAGGAGAGCTTTTAATACTAGAGTGAGATAGATAGAACTAGATAGTTTATTCCTCAGCACTCAGTGGCGTACCTGGGGTACTCCGTCAGGGGGGGGGGGGGCAAGCGACCGAAACAAACAAAAAAAGGCGATGCTACTTTTCACTTCTGGCGAGCGAGCGAGCAAAAAAAAAATCTTTAAGTAACGTTTGGTATATAAACTGGTATTGTTGCAAGTTGGGGTGGGAACATTCACTTGTTAGCGACGTTAATTTCATTTTTTTGCAAACGAGCGTAGCGAGCAAGAAAAAAATCACTTCTTTTTTAATAATTGCCACTTAAACTTGGTTCAATTGTCCCATGCAGGGCGCGGGAACAATATTGTGTTTAGGGTGATTTCATACCCATTTTAGCTAGCGAGCCAAAATACATCTTTCTCTCAATGAATTGCTAACTAAAATTTGTTTCATTGTTGCAGGTCGGGGGCGGGCACAATCGTGTTTAAGGCAATGTCAATCCCATTTTGGCGGGCAGGCAACCCCCTACATTTCTCTTTTTAATGATATTGTAGCAGGTTAGTGGTGGGCACATAATTCCACGAGCTAGCGAGCGTTGCGAGCGAGCGAAAAAAATCACTTCTCTTTTATAGGGAAAATATGGTACATAAAACTTGGGTTCATTGTTCCATGTCAGGGACTTGATTATTAAAAGCGGTGTTATTTCTATTTTGGCGAGCGAGCGAGCAAAAAAATCACTTCTCTTTTATAGGGAAAATATGGTACATAAACTTGGGTTCATTGTTCCATGTCAGGGACGTGATTATTAAAAGCGGTGTTATTTCTATTTTGGCGAGCGAGCTTAGCGAACGAGCAAAATTTTTGTAATGATAATTGGTTCATAAATTTCAGATTTTTTTGTTGCAGGGCAGGGCTTACACAATCATGTCTAAGGTGATGTTACTTCCGTTTTGGCGAGCACGAGCACACCAAAACTTCTTTGAATAACGTTTGGTACATAATTATTAACTGGTTGTTGCAGGTTGGGGCGGGCACGTTAGCGGTGTCAATTCCATTTTGGCGAGCGAGCATAGCGAGCAAGCAAAAAAAATTCCCTTTTAATAGAAATTAATAAATAAACTTGTTTTATTGGTGCAGGTCAGGATGGACGCAATCGCGTTTAACGCGATTCAATTCCTTTTTGGCGAGAGGGCGAAAAAACTCTTCCATTTTTAATGATATTGTTGCAGGTCAAGAATTTGTTATATCACTTATATTTTCCTATTTTCTTTTGTCTTAACTTTTCAGGGCCGTATGCGGAATATTTTTCTGGTGGGGGAGGGGAAAGATGCGTTAAAAGTTTTTGAAGAATCTCAAAAGCAAAAGGAGTGAAGGGAGTTCGAGCGACCGAACTGGTCATGAGGGTACTTTTGCATTTTCAAAAGTAGAATTGAAGGATTTGGTATAGGCCTACACTACATTTTCAGGAAAAAAACTGTAAGTTTTCAAAATATAGGGATCAACTGCCCCCTCCCCCCTGGTGCGTACGCCCATGGTCTTTTTTTTTTTAATTTCCCCATTTTTTTTCCCTTTCCTTTTCTTTTCCCTTTTTCTTCCTTTTCTCTTCTTCTTCCTTTTTTCTTTCCTTTTCCTTTTTTCCCTTTTTTCTCTTTCTTTCCTTTTTTTCTTTTCTTTCCCCTTTTTATTTTTTTCCCCTGGAGCCCATCAGGGGGCACTCTGCCCCCCCCCCTGCCCCCACCCATAGGTACGCCAGTGTCAGCACTACATCCTGACTTATGGATCCTGCTGAGTATCGTCGTAGACAAGGGTGTCGATTTGTATCCGCGGTTGGGGGGGGGGGGGGATGATAGGTGCCAAAATATTTTCGGCAATGGATCAAAGCAACCAAGAGGTAGAGGCGTGTGGCAGGTTGCACCCCCTCCCTTCCAAGTTATTAACTTTTTCAAGTCACCCTAAATAAAGATAACATTTTAGACCCATGTGGGTCACACGTGGGCTTGCTACCTGGGTCATTATCCTCTCAAGCATAAAGGCAGGATTTTAAATTAGGGGGGCGGTGGTGAGCACCTCCTAGGGGGTGGGTGCAGGGAGGGGGAGTTTCCGCGAAGCGCGGAAGCTCTGACGTTCCATAAAATTATCAAAGAAAGAAGACGATTCGTTGTACCATTCTCGACTCTTAATCCTTGTCTAAATTCAGTTCCCCCCTTCCCACCCGAAGCGCGGAAGCTTTGACGTTTTATTAAATTATTTAAGAAAGAAGACGATTCGTTGTACCATTCTCGACTCTTAATCCTTGTCTAAATTCAGTCCCCCCCCCCCCTTCCCGCGCAAAGCGCGGAAGCTTTGACGTTCCATAAAATTATATGAGAAAGAAGACGATTCGTTGTACCATTCTCGACTCTTAATCCTTGCTGAATTCAGTTCCCCCCCCCCCTCCCCGCGCGAAGCGATTAAGCTTTGACGTTTCATTAAATTATTAGAGAAAGAAGACGATTCGTTGTATCATTCTCGACTCTTAACCCTTATCTGAATGCAGTCCCCCCCCCCTTTCCCCGCGAAGCGCGGAAGCTTTGACGTTCCATAAAATTATTTAAGAAAAGAGACGATTCGTTGTACCATTCTTGACTCTTCATCCTTGTCTGAATTCATTCCCCCCCCCCTTCCCGCGCAAAGCGCGGAAGCTTTGACGTATCATTAAATTATTAATGAAAGAAGAAGAGTCGTTGTACCTTCTCGACTCTTAATCCTTGCTGAATTCAGTCCCCCCCCCCCCCTCCCACCACCCCTCTCCTTCCCGCGCGAAGCGCGGAAGCTTTGACGTTTCATTAAATAGAGAAAGAAGACGATTCGTTGTACCGTTCTCGACTCTTAATCCTTTTTCTTCCTACGTCCTCTTCGTTTCTTCTTCTCTCTCTTTTTTTTTGGGGGGGGGGGGGGCGACCGCCCCCACCACCCTCTGGCTCAGATGCGCCTGTTTCCTCTCTGTCTCTCATTATCTCTTTCTCACTCTCTCCTTCTTTTTTGCACTTTTGCGCTTCGTGCTTAACATTTACTAAGCTAGTTGCTTTTTAACGCTGGGGCTTTGCATTTGGCGCACTGCATTTCTATGATGCTGTTGCTTGAATAAATTGAATAAATTGATAAATTCCTGATGTCGATGAGCGAATATTCAATTTATTCTTGTCTCATATACGGTCGTCTCATTTACCTCGTTTTCTATTCATATATGTATGTATTATGAAAATGAGATAGCAAAATGTGTATATTGAGGGTCATCTTGCGAGTAATAACCATTAACTATACTCTCATCGGGCTCTCATCATTAATCTTTTTTTTTTTTTTTTTTTTTGATGGTGAATTATTGGGGGGGGGGGGGGGATGATTGTACAGGTCATCGCCCCCCCCACCCACCTGACATATTGGGGGGGGGGGTATATCCCCCCCCCCCCCATCCCCCCGGGATCGGCACCCATGGTCGTAGAAGTAGAAGTAGAAGTAGAAGATCCACTGACCTCTACACCTCTAGAGGTCAGTGGTTAGATCTCACTTAGAGAGGGCGTGGTAGTTATTTCGCGCAAAGTAAATAAAATGGGGCCAAACGGATTGTTCCCAGAAACGCTTCTACATTTAGCAAGATCATTGGCCCAAATCCCAGATCTGAAATGGCTAAAGGTAAGATGAAATGATCTGACATTCATATTTCATTGTATTTGTTTGTTTGTTATTTTAGTGGTGGAATACAGGTTTGGAGTTATGTTTTAAGCGCAGTGTCGATTTCAATGGTAAATTAAAGAAGTGTCCCATCTATAGAGTTTAATGTAGGTCAAATTGCAATAACATTGACAACATGAATTATGATGTGGAGGGGGGGGGGGGGGGTAATAGAATAGGATGTGTTGTGACAGCAGGGCAGCGTTTCTCAAAACCGTCATAAGTACAAGTTCACCGACATCCCATTGACACGCGTGTATTAACTTTAACACGTGTTTCAATGGGATGTCGGTGAACTTGTAGTTATGACGGTTTCGAGAAACGCTGCCCTGGTGATGGTGCAGACAATGTGACAACAAAGTAATTTAATTTAGTGGTCTGGGCGACTTTCTTCAGCTTGGTTCTTATTCTGAAGTTAAATTGTTGAGAAAATTATGACTGACATTACAAACACTCCAGCAAAGCATAGAGAGTCAACGCTAATGCCTGTATTAACTTTAACACGTGTTTTAATGGGATGTCGGTGAACTTGTAGTTATGACGGTTTCGAGAAACGCTGCCCTGGTGATGGTGCAGACAATGTGACAACAAAGTAATTTAATTCAGTGGTCTGGGCGACTTTCTTCAGCTTGGTTCTTATTCTGAAGTTAAATTGTTGAGAAAATTATGACTGACATTACAAACACTCCAGCAAAGCATAGAGAGTCAACGCTAATGCGTATTGACCTCTAGCACTGCATACATGCTGTAAGGCAGGGACCTAGAAGTCTACACACAAATATACACACCACACAATATCGCATAGACTCTACACAATTATGTCGATGCAGCTGTAATCAAAGTTTGACACTAGACTTACAATTTTAAGTTTTAAATTATTCTTTTTAACATCAGTAAGTTGAAAAAATGTATTTTACTGCTATTTAGGTGTCATCAATTGTTACTAAAGTACCGATTTTGAGTGAAATCAGTTGAGTTTTGTACAGTGGTGTTTGAAATGTTGAGAATCAAAAGCACAGCTTTTACTACACAGCCAGGATAGTGATGCTCCTATGTGTGATTACAAATGGCATTAAAATTTAGAAACTAACTGACTAAGAAAGTCTTTATCGATGGCCATGCCCATGTCCGTATTTTTTGGTGGACAAGATTAAAAGGACTTACAGGTAGGCAAATTCATGCAAAAAAATATATTCAAAAAATTGACTTGAAAACACATCACACAATTAGTCTGAACCGAGTCAGGAGCAAATTTGAAGAAATTATATTTTTAAATGTTGTAAAACCAAAGATATAAGAAGAAAACTGACCAAGTATCTGTACTAAAAATCGTACATGTAAAATTGGTCGTAGACATTCGACAGCTGAATATGACGCGCACGGTTGCATTACGTGCGTTCTCGAATCCAAAATTGTACCTCACACACACAATCTCGCCATACCGCGAATGGTCCGTCTTGGGGAGCTAGCCGGCTGAGAGTTTGCAGCGATACCAACGCAGCTTCGGAGCTCCGCAGCGCGCCATTTTAGCGGGACTCGGAAAGGTTTGCGATGGGAAGGCAGCGGCCTAGCTTTTTGCCCAAACAACGCTAGATCGGCTGCTGCCTGCTGGCAAAATGAAAATAACTATGATCGAGAACATCGTCGGTTTCTTAACTTTTCAGTGAGATAATTCTGAATTCTAATTGAGACTATATAATAAATTAAATCGACAAAGAAACCTCGGTAGAACTCTTATAACTATACAAAAGCTTGTTTATTTCTTCATTTGACATTTTGTTTTCGACCATTTTTTCGTGCGCGAGTCAATGTAAACTATGTATTACCAAACTTTCAACATGCAAGAAACGGGGAACACTCGCGGACCTCGTAACAAATTTGTTGCAAAAAAAAAGTTTCAAGGGTGATTTTGAAGCAGTGAAGAACATTGGCGCTGCAATGCGCAGAAATATACTTGAAAGAAACTTAAAAAATAATACCTGAATTTTCAGAAAATCGTATTTGTATTAGGGTCATTCCATGTCAAATCACCCAATGGTTTTAACCCAACCATTTTTGATTTTGATGAAACTTAGTGTACTTGTTGAGTGTGAATTCACAGCACCATATCCCAAATTTTAGGTCAATCGGGTGAGGGGTTTGGGAGATATGGCCCACCAAATTTTGAAATTTTTTGCAAAAATGGGGGTGGCGGGCCTACCTTTGAACCCTTGTATTTCGGGACCTAATGGGTCAATCTTCACAAAATTTGTATTGTTGGAAAGGGTATTCAATAAGGATTCTAAATCTGCCGCCATTTTGAAAATTTGTACATGCTGGGGTACTTTGACCTCTTGACCTAAGATTTGACCTTGAAATTGACCTTGTGGATCACGTGACCTTGACAATATTTTTCATGAAATGTAATCTCTGACATGTTCACTAAAACATATAAAAGTTTCAGAGATATAATATTTTTTGTTTAGGAGCAATAAGGATTGAAAGTTTCCATACTTACAGATATTCACAATAAATCCTATTATAATACATGCAATATGCACAGTACAACCATAGACGTAATACAAATGGACTTTCGACGGCAAGAGTAGTAAAAGTAATGATAGCTACCACCTGTTTTTATGTCTTACTTTCCTCTATGTTTTAAGTCTGACCGCAACGCTGCGGGCATGTTTTGATAAGCTCCGATAAGGGTCCTTTGGTCCTATGAGATCCACCGGGATTTTGCCGCCCTCTATCAGCCAAGTCGCTTCGCACTGACCAATGCTTCCCACGATTTGCGCTTCTCATTTCATGAATGAATCGTGACAGGAGAGCCTTCTGCCCATGCGCAGTCAATAGTGCCCCGGATGTAAATATGAGGTTTACGTCCTGTTCATGCTCGCCAATCTGTAAAAAAAGCTGTTGAAATCGGTGATTTCTTCGATTTTTTACGAATTTGTGTTGGTGTGTAGCAAACTCATCATATAAGCAAGGAAAGTCACCACACGAGCTTACAAAATACAGTTTAAAAACTGTTTTTTTCTCCTGTTTCCGTTAATTTCTCTGTGAAACCAACAACGTTGTGGTGATCACAAATCCTTCGTTTGTCAAATACAATCATTCGTTATTTGTTGCGTTTGCGTGCATTTTTTTTATAGGCATTGGAAGAATGGGGTTGTTTTCGTGAGTGCTCAGAAAATCTGTGGTAATGCGTGATTTCTTCGCATCATGACCACTAAATTGCCGTGCCTTTGTCTAATCCAAATTGCACACGTAGTCCCATTGATAGAGATCGGCGGGTGCATGTTTTTTTCAAGTTATATTTTGGACTTGTTAATCCGAGAGTGACTGCTTTTATTTTTTCTTCCCTCAGATTTTATCTTATTTTATCTTGATGTAGGCCTACTATATGTGTACGTTTTTTTTTGAGAATCTAGGAATTAGGATAAATATCTGTGTCCGTAAATTTGGGAATTGACCATTGCAAAATATTCAACATTTCCGTCGTCTAGACTATGTCGATATATGGACTGCCCATCATAATCATAAAGTTCTTCCATATTTATGTCATCTAATGATAATCCTGCCCTTCTAATTACTTTATAAACAACACATGACTCATGAGTACGAGACAAATATGTATTATGGAACAATACACACATCGAAATAAATAATAATTGTTAGTATAAATACAACGCTGAAAACAATAACAATAATATCGTCAGGCACAAAGACGAAAACATGTTCGCTACTACCGCATGGCGGAGAGCGCTCATACAATTTAACACTAGGTTCTCAATGATTTGAAGGAGCAGCGGACAACCCCAAATCGCGAGCTTGCTGTTGCGATTATGCAAGATTGCGCAAGTGATCGCATCCAGCTGTCGGGTTGCGGTGGGACCACCGCTGGGTTTTTGCATCGGCGCGAAATTTAAACCTTGCCGGTGGAACTCATAGGATCAAAGAAACTGCTTCGTCGATAGTCCATTCAATTACGTCTATGGTACAACATACATCTTCCACATGCTTTTATGTTCTAGGCATATCCATTCTAAATGTCAGCAGTACTTGAATAGAAATAAAATGACAAGTTCATATAAGCCTAAAGGGTTAACAGGATGTATGGCTTTAGGCCTCTGAGTCGGTTCTAGGATAATTACCCCCCTGGAAAATTAATCCCCAAGAACAATTACCCCCCCCCCCCCCCCTGAGGACTATCACACCCAGAGGACAATTACCCCCCCCCCCCGGACAATTATTACACCCTAGGACAATTACCCCCCGGACAATTACCCCCCCCCCCCCCCCCCCCCCCCTTTTCGTTTAAGGGGAAGTCCATCCTGATAATAAGTTGGTTTTAATCAAGGCAGATTTTTTTGGGGGGAGGTAATTATCCTTGAGGGGTAATTTTCCAGGGGGGTAATTGTCCGGGGGGTAATTGTCCTCGGGGGGGGGGGAACATTTCCTGGGGGTTAATATTCCAGGGGGGTAATTATCCTAGAACCGACTCTGAGGCCTAAAGCCATACATCCTGTTAACCCTTTAGGCCTATATGAACTTTTCATTTTATTTCTATTCAAGTACTGCTGACACTTAGAATGGATATGACTAGAACAAAAAAAGCATGTGGAAGATGTATGTTGTACTGTGCATATTGCATGTATTGTATACATTACAATAGGGTTTATTGTGAATATCTGTAATTATGGAAACTTTCAATCCTTATTGCTCCTAAACAAAAAATATTATATCTCTGAAATTTGTATATGTTTTAGTGAACATGTCAGAAATTACATTTCATGAAAAATATTGTCAAGGTCATGTGATCCACAAGGTCAATTTCAAGGTCAAATCTTAGGTCAAGAGGTCAAAGTACCCCAACATGTACAAATTTTCAAAATGGTGGCAGATTTGGAATCCTTATTGAATACCCTTTCCAACAATACAAATTTTGTGAAGATTGACCCATTAGGTCCCGAGATACAAGGGTTCAAAGGTAGGCCCGCCACACCCATTTTTGCAAAAATCTCAAAATTCGGTTGGCCGTATCTCCCAAACCCCTCACCCAATTGACCTTAAATTTGGAATTTGGTGCTGTGAGATTACAATCAACAAGTACACTAAGTTTCATCAAAATCAAAAATGGTCGGGTTAAGATTTTCAGATTTTTGGGGTGATTTGACATGGAATGACCCATTAGTGTACCTAGATGTGACTTGTTTATAAATCAGATTTTATGAAGATTTGTCGGGAAAAAATGTCAATTTTTTCCGTTTGGTGGTCATCTCTAGGCTAATATTTTAAAAGTTGCATCAGTAATGGGCCCGATGTTTCTCTTATCGTACTCGCATGTTATTTCTACATAGATTAAACATAGGATGGTTAAGGGTAAGACCAGATAACATTATAAAAAAGATATATCCTTCCACCCTCCCATATCCAAGTTTTGGGCTGATTATTGCCGACCCACCGCAGCAAGGCCATTCAGATTTTCGTACGCGCGCAAAGCGCCCTCTAGTGCCCCATGAATGTGCCTATTACAGGGGGTGATCCATGGCAAATATTGGTTAACGCCATCTACAACTTCTTTTGGAAAACTACACGTTAACGAATGACTTGATTAATGGTCAGCGTTAATGGTCAAGAAACAGACCGAAGTTCTCATCACGCTTCGGTTTCACATATGTTGCAAGCACGTGAATACTGCAGTCGTGTCGTCCGTAGTCGTATTATACCTGATTGGCCCCGAGTCAGGCCATGGGGAAAGACACGTAGTCTCGTCATGCTTCAACCCTTTAAAGGCAAGCTTTGTATTAAACAAAAGTAAATCTTGATTTTGAAGATGACAGATGGGAATTTCGACCCACTTTCTAACAAAGATATTACAACAAAAAGTATATATAAGAATATATTATAACAATTATTTCGTTGTTAACCTCTATGAGATGTTGAAGCATTTAATATTATCTATCCCATAATAAATATAATGTGACACGGGGAGGTTATGTGTTTTGCATAATGAGCTGATAATGAAATGTGTTTGATGATGATGCAGGTGCAGCAACTGTTGCAGATGTGTCCCCAGATACCCGCTGTGGGAGGAGGGCTGTGCAGGATAGACCAGCGTAGGCAGGATGCTATGGTGGCGCTGGGGGTCTTCCTACTCGAATCAGACCTCAAGGTAATCATCTACTTTTTACCCCCTCTCTGTTTTTGTCCCTCCGCTTTTCGAAGATCAGCGAGTTCATCGCAGTCGAAGCAGTAGGCTGTGTAGTTAATATACTGTATAGTCCTTAGTTGGAGGATATAGAGTGCAGCCGATGGGCATGAATTTTATATAGATAAAGAAGTGTCATCTTCAAAATAGAATCATTGACAGTGTAGGGAAGGGATGGATCATATGGCAAGAGAATTATAGCGCATGTCAGATAGGAGGGGTCCTGGGTGTTGGCAAGGGGAGTATTTGGTGCAGAGTCATACATGTACATGACTGGATCTTCTAAGTTCTAGGGCTAAAATTTATCAGCTTACCTTCTTCAAACTGGAATAATCACGTTTACTTTGTTTAATTTGTATTTTGGTAATAAAACATGAAAATTGTCCCTGAATATATTTTATGAATGGATGGAAACACTGTGGAATAGTTTAAATATTTCAAATTTGTATTGATAACCAGTAATTTGAATTCTTTCTGATGTTAGGAAATTGAGGAGTTTTATGGTTATTGCTTTTTTATTCATTTTATTTCATTTTTTGTTTGTGTGTGTGTGTGTATATGTGTGTGTGGGGGGATTATGTGGTTTGACATGCCATGTTAGTGCAAAAAAGAAAGTCACAAAAAATGTTCAGCATTCTTGTCCTTTGTTTGCGTGCATGTGATAAATCTGGGCTTTTAGCCAACCACTAGATGTGGGTCTTATTCAAGCTTAACAGAATCAGAAATATGCATACCGTAGATATATAAAATATTGGTTTTCCCCTCAAAATTGGTCATGGTTTTCAGAAGAGAAACAATTTATTTTTTATAAACATTTGGTACAAGTGAATATTTTGTTTTCCTTTTTATTTCCATGCAGTTCAAGGACAAGTTGGTTCCATATTTCATTAGTCTTGTGAGAAGCATACCCAATGCACAATGGATTGAAGAAACGGGATACAGGGTTATTGATGGTAAGAACCGTATCAATGTTTACGTTTTATTTCATTTCATTTATTTCATTTTCATTTTCAAACATTAAAAATAAACCAATATAACATGTTGACATGTATGCAGGGCATGGTTGATAATTTGTTTAAACAAACTTACAACTAATCAATGTGTAACATGACTTGGATCATGAAGAAATCAAAGACAAGTTGTATTCATTTTGAAGTTTACAAATTAGCAAGTAACCTGGTATATCAAAAATTGGTTAGAACTTTTATGTAGTGACCTTGGACTGTTTGAAAGTAAATGAAAATAGTTCTGTTTTTTACTCTCTGTACATCCAATGACAAAGGTTTTTTTTATGTTGAATCATTTCTGAATGGAAATATAGGCATTTTCATGTAGAAGTATGACTTCATTAAATGTTATACACTCAAGGAAATCGGCTGTGCCAGTTTATTGCAGTATTTCAAATTGACAATAAGCTATAACTTTTGTATGTTGACATAATTATTTAAATCAATTTTACCCCATGCGTTATCACTCCCATGTTTTTTGTCTTTGCAGTATTACCAATGAGTGAGCGCTTTGCATTCACCATCACAACTCTCCTTTCTGACATAGCGACCAAAGACTCACACTACAGAGATCAGGTAAATACTAGCAATCTCTCTCTCTCTCTCTCTCTTACTCTCTTACTCTGAAATGAAATGTATGTGTAGTGAATCTCTGACAGACTCGTATGAAGACATCTATTTTATACATGTACATATCTGGTTGCTCCTGCCCCCCCCCCCTTCCTCCACCTTTCTCTCTTGCTCTCTCTCTCTCTCTCTCTCTCCCGTTCATGATGTGATGAGTACGTTGTTCCAAACTTCTGAGATGACTGAGCAACTAGAATATCATTGAGGATCACCTAAATATTTTTTTTTTTAAATGAGTTATCATATTATCAATATTTTTTAATCAAGGTGAAATTTGCATTAGTCAGCCAAACAAAAATCAAGATTTGCATGTTCGTAGCTTTAATAAGTACCCTTTTATTTTGTTGAAATTTGTTTACACGGGCATCAAAAATGAATTTAAATGTGTTATTGATATTTGTCTGTCATAATTTTTGCACAAGTCTTTTTCAGAAAATGTGAAGCCAAGATAAACAAAAGAATTTGCCCAAAGACACTAAATAAAAGAAATTGTTGCCTTAGTTACAAAGTGATGAGCTTAAGGTCCCTCCATCAGACTTCACCTCTTTTAATCTACATAAATCTATCTTCTTTTTTTTAACATGCTGTGTCCTCTTTGGAATTTTGACTGGTCTTTATGTTTTTTTTTACTGTTCTTTCAGATTTTGTCAACATTAGTTGAAGTTTTACAGGCACTATGCAGGATCTGCCAACAGCCATCAGAACATCCTCAAGGTAATGAAAGACATAATCATGGGATAAACATATTGGTTGCCACGAACCAGCATCTGAATGAATATGTAGGACCATGCAATGATTATGTAATATTGAATGGCCTTAATTGGGATCCAAGGGTACAGCTATTTTTTAAACGTGTGCATGAATGGCAACTGTGTGTATCTAAGGTCCAGTGTATTACATTTTATGTCATCATAAAAAAACCTGCCTCAGTTTACCTCCTCATATCTGAATGAGGCTTAATATCAAAGGGTTAAACCAATATTGTTTTTATCTTTCATTCTTCTGAATAGTTGCTATATGCAAGCACGTCATGCCCGCATTCCTTGGGATGTCCCGTGCCATAGGGCGCAGCAGCCAGGACCCATCCTGCTCTCTCCTCAGTCGGATGTACCCCTCATCCAAGCACACCGCCTCCCAGACCCCTCCCCCATCCTCCGGTTTGGACCAGACGTCCCCCATGTACAGCTCCTTCCGACTCATCGTCTCCGACGTCATGGAGCAGAAACTCCGGCAGTCCGAAGGGAGCCGACAGGACGCATTGCCTTTGGCAGACGACTCCAGGGAGGAGAGGGCGACGGAGGGACCTAGCCATCTGCTGACAGTGGTGGGGTCAAGTTTCGGTATCAGCACGGAGACATGTGAGAGCGGGAGCGATGGAGCTCAAGTGGGTTCTCTGGACCTCACCACTCCACAGCTGCAGACCATCTTGAATGTGGTAAGTAATTAGGTTAGGAAACACGGGTTCAAAATACATTATTTTTATCACTACATGGGAAGGGTCTTATGTGATTTTAGTGGAATGCATATGAATGATGAGGTTTTCACATTCAAATTTAGGCTGGTCATGTACAAGGAGAGCTATTTTATTTGTAACGCTTACTGTGTATAAACCGCCCTCGTGTATTAACCGCACCCCTCTTTTTCGCCCTAAAAAAAAAAAAAAAAATTGAATTTGACTTTGAATTTTTTTCGGCAGCAAAAAGGTGTGGTTTATACACTGTTAATTACGGTAATAGGAAGAATCTAGCAGGAGGCCTGTATTTTTGTTCATGGTCATTGTGTCAACAGCTAATGAAACTTAATTTTACAGTCCGGTGTAATTTTGCTGTTAAATTTTCCTCTTTATGTTATGATAATTTGTCCTTGTGTTTTGATTTTACTTTTGCAACTTTTTAAAAATTTTAATTCTATGTATATTTTTTTATATTTTCCTTGCAAGCACATTTCAAAACTACCAAAAACTGGACTTTGTTTAGTCTTGATTTTGTCTTGTATGATTTTAATTGAATGCATATGAAAAGTGAGGTGTTTACATCGAAACTTAGTCTAGTCATAATAAAGATATGAGTGATATCTATCTCAACTCGTTACGTGATAGAAAGGTTTTGTTTCTCTTTCAGTGCCAAAAGATGATCAGCGGAACTCTGTTACAAAGTCTTGATGGGATGGCCCAGCAGTACGCCCTTCAACCAGGATCAAAGAAGAACCTTCCGTACAAGTCATATAGTGAAGTCATCAACGTGGTTCTGGTCTCTTTACTCAGACATCTCCTTCAACAGCATAAAGGTAGAGAATCTGACTCACATGAGAAAAATGAGATTAAACACGACTTGCAGAATCAAATGCTAGTCTTAAATAGGCGTTTCTGACCAGTGGAAAGTCAAGGTGCATTTGATTGAACTGTTCCTTGCACTAGACCCCAACGTTGATATTGATTTTTTTTTGTTAAACTGTTATTATTATTATTATTGTTATTATTTTTTGATGGGGGTGGGGCAAGATAAAAGGTAGCATGGGCTAAGCTCAAGGACTCGATGCATACCGGATGGTCTTGTCTCCCCGTATAATTGTGATATTCAATTGTGAACCCCTACTGTGACATGGGTGGCACATGCAAATGCCACCCCAAGAATGTAAGTGTTGAATTATTGGTTTGGACTATGAATTGCCACATTCTATTCACCTAAATGGAACAGGTACCCTCATTCTGAAGTTTATTCCCATGGACTTAATTTTAAGACCAATCTAACAAATATATACAAGAATGCCCAGTCCAAACTTTTTGTATAGAAAGGATTGTTTTGTAAATATTCCCTTGTGTATCAAATTTCAGGATTGCCAATGGGCTTCCAGACAGAGGTTCATGCGTTTGTCAGAGAACTCTTTCTATCGGGCCAAACGGAGCTGCAGGATCTGAGTGTGGAGAGCGCCACCCGTGGTCCATGCAGGTTCAACTCTCGAGAGTTGGCACTCAGGGCTAATGCAACATGTGTGGACCTTCTTGTGTGGGCAGCTAATGATGAAACAGGTAGTGATCTTCCTCATTATTCCGTCATGAAATTGCAACATGAAACTTTATATGTATGACATGCTAAATTGATAATTTTGGAAGTTGTTTCCTGTAAATCCTTTCAAATATCAGTTATTGGAAGATATTAAACAAATTTATTATCATGTAGTGACAACTGTTGTCAAACAAGTAGAAATTATTTTTAAAAATCAACCTTATCTTAATAGTCTACTGATTTATTATACATTCTTAAATATATTCACGTTATTGTAAATAGATGTCAGATGTCATCTACAACATGTTGTCATACTTTCTGATGAGATTACTATAAAGGATGGGTAGGAATGCTTCTTCATGCAATTCTTTTGTTTGTTTTTTCCTTCATGTTTTATATGCTAGGTGCTGATAGTCTTATTTCAAGGCTGACTGAGAAACTGCATTCCAGTGCTGGCAGCAAGCAACTCATAGCTGATATGCCTCTGCTTCTGTGCTCACTGCAGGTACATCATACATTAATTTTAATTTGAATATTCAATGTATATGAAATGTTTATATGCCAAACAAATAACATCCTCATGAAAACCTTGTATTTTATCTTTCTGAGTGACTTATTTTGTCAGAAAATGCACTTTGTGCAAAACTACATGTGTGGCAAACGACCTTGCAAGAGGCAGATAATATAATGTGAACAAAGTGTTAAAGTACTCTATGATGATAGAAACATTATAAATATTTGCTATTAGAGATAAATTTAAGTTCTGAATAATGTATTTTGTCAGTTTTTGTTGTGTTCAAAGTGAAAAAAAACTGACTCGATCCCTCCTCTTTTCATTTTGCATGATTACTGAATTCTATTCAATGTTTATCACGAGGTAATGAATGTGGATTTCAATATTCAATGTTCCAGGGTTTGGGCACTCTAGCAGAGAAGTTTCCGACGGTCGCTCACGCCACCATCGGCTCCCTCCGCGACTTTCTGATGGGGCCGTCCCGCATCATCGTCAAGCTCCACAAGCATCATGAAGTCGAGAGCAGCAAGTCTAGTGCCGGACCCACCATCAGGGTCATGGACTCCACCCTCCAGAGGGCTGGGGCTGGGAAGGATGGGCGCGGTGCTGGTGGTAGTGGTGGTGCCGGTAGTGGTGGTGGGAGTAGGAGCAGCAAGAGTGTCGGGGAGGGGTCACATCCGTATGAGAGACTGAGGAATGCGGCCATGTCTAACCTTTGCAGGTATGTGTTCGCAAAATCTTACAATCTTAAATCTGACTTAGACTGAGCCGAAATCTAGCATCTGGTTCAAATGGTTAGTGGTATACATCACAATGAATTTTAAATGTAGTTAAACTTTTATCTGTTTTGAATGACAAACCAAAAGCAGATACATGTACAATAGGCTATGATAATAATAGATAATCCATATGAGTATTTATTGATTTACCGGTAGCTGATATTGTTGATGAAAGTTTGTTATTGGGAACTAGTAGTAGATTCTCACTGATCCTTTCTTTTTACTTTTGTTTTCATTTTTGTTGTTATTATTTGCCGATGTAACTTATGCAATTTCTACTTTGATTTTGTTGCAAACCCAATCAGATCGCTGCGTTCTGGCCTCGTTGAAGATCCCGATTGCATTCAAGCCTTCCTAGCGTCTGTCTCCAATGCGCTCTACATTGCCGAAGCCAGCGATCGAGATTCCACCCTCATCTCCTCCAACGCCATCCTGGCGATGGGCCACGTGGCAGTTCTTTTGAGCGAAACAACTCGTACCATTGAGAGTGTCCAGCAGATTTTCCAGCAACGGTTCTGCACACCCCCTTCCTCCCTCGATGTGCTGATCGTGGACATGCTGGGATGCCTGGTACTGGCTGGAAATGTAAGCAGATAAATTCCTTTTTTTCTGAGACAAAATATAATCATATCAAAATATTTTTCCTGCACGAGTGTTAGTATTAATGCTTGTGTTTATGTTTATCATTTGTATTTGTGTTTATCATATATACTTGTGTTTTTTTTCAATGGTTGTTATGAGTGACGTATGATTCAAACTTGATTTATATATTTTGTGAGATGAAGCAATGAAGTGACTGATTTTTAAAATGATGATATCTCTCTTTAATGTTATATGCTGTCATTGGTCAACAAGTATGTTACTCATACTGGTCAATAATGATGTCATAGATGGCAGATAATATGAAATTGTGGAAATATGCCCACTAAATCATTTATCCTAATCTCTAAACAGGTGTGGTCACATTAATTGTAAGATAATTAACTGACATATGATATATCAACAGCACCTCTGTACTTAAGAAATAGGAATTTGTAAGTTTGCGAGCAGAGGACTTGGACTCAGTAAGCCAGTTCATAGTTGCAGTCTGAGCATGAGCAGATAAAGGTCATGGCAGACCAAATTGCGAAATACATGGAGACAAAATACTGGGTATGTGCTCATAAAAGTTATGTAATCATTATTCATTTATGCACAAGCAGTGCACTCCATGATACACAGGTGGAATTATTCTTTGAAAAGGGGAAACAAACTAGGCTATGTATCTATCACCTCCATCGCGGTAGGAGTGATTATTTTAAAATGTACAAAGTGGGACCTATTCATGTTTTGAAGATCTGTGGATATTCAGGATCATTTGGGACATGTGCTAAACGTGGACTGGTCTATTGACCAATCACCACTCTATAGGACCGAGTCCTGATGTTACATTTTCCTTTCCCTTCACTTTCCTTTGTACCTTAGTGCTGTCATTCCCCACTTGTTTCCCTCTTGTTTCTCTCTCTCAAGGCTGCTGTAACGCAGGAGGTGATGAATATGTTTATTCAGATCAGTGTCGAAGCTGGATCATCTGATTATGCACCTAACAGCTCACAGGCTTCACAGAGATTCAGGTAAGTCAGAGATTGATCTTTTAACTTAAGCGTTCAGACTGCCAAAATTAATTGTTTGGCTGTATGTATGATTCTCGTATAGCTATACAATTAATTACCTTTATCTTAATTACCTTAATCTCCTATAGAGAAATACATGTTTGAGCATCGTCTCGAACAAAAACTCGATAATGAATCAGGGTCCCTTTCTAGTCTGAACGTTTTATCATACAAAAGTTGTATTAATGTGCAGGGCTCATAAGGAGCGTGCACTAATGATTGTTGTGTCAATTGACCTGTTCAAAAGTAGTTTCTTTATAGTTTATACAATGATGTCTAGTGTTTATGCCCCTTTTCAATATCCAATGATTGTTCACATTACATTTTTTATACAAGTTAAATATAAATTGTGTATAGTCTGAATGGACTACAGAACCGTGGCTGAGTGTGGCTGCTTCCGGGCTTGATCCCCTTCCATATTCCATCTTGATATCTTTCTTTCTAGGCATTGCTCTATGGCTATCATCAATGACCTTGCAAACATAGCAGCATTCATGGATTGAGAGAACGAACAGCAGGAGCTCACTCTAAACCCTCTTTCATGTTCCATCTTGATATCTTTCTTTCTAGGCATTGCTCCATGGCTATCATCAATGCCCTTTTAAACATAGCAGCATTCATGGATTGAGAGAACGAACAGCCAGGCTCACTCTAAACCCTCTTTCATATTCCATCTTGATATCTTACTTTCTAGGCATTGCTCCATGGCTATCATCAATGCTCTTGCAAACATAGCAGCATTTATAGACGGAGAGAACGAACAGCAGGAGCTCTTAGTCCGGCTACTTGAATTATTTGTCCAGCTGGGACTAGAGGGCAAGCGGGCCAGCGAGAGGGCTCCTACAGCTATCAAGGCCTCCAGCAGTGCTGGAAGCTTGGGCATCCTTATTCCTGTCCTTGCAACTGTAAGTAAACTATGTTTTTGTTTCTTTACTTTTGTTTAAATATTTTATTTTGTTTATTCATTTTGTTGTGTGTTTTTATAATATTACATTTATTGAGCGCAGAAACTATCCAACATTAAGTATATAGTTTTGAGTTAATTCCTGGTAATGTCTTAACTGCACTCAATGGTTATTCCAGCACTCTGTAGTGAAATGATAACAAGAGACCTGAATTGGCATTTCTTGAAAGGATCTATAGCTTCTTCTTTTTTTTTATAAGGGAGAAGAGGAAAGCTGAAAAGTTTGCAAAGAGTCCATAATACTGGACGATGATGTTTTGAGGAGATATTGTACACCAGTGAGGAAAACTGAATATACAATACACACTACTGCCACATTGCTGAAATATATGATCAAACTATGGGTTCTTATGGGTACTATCTACGATTATTACAGCAATTGAGCATATGAGCTGGGACAGGAGTCGCATTTTGCATCGGCAGTACCACCCCCCCTCCCCCTCCCTATATTTTTAGTGCTGTAGATGGCTGAATCCCCAAAAAGAATTATACAAATGTATTACGTACCGTAATACCTTTTAACAGTGAAAAGCTTTTAATCCTTCTTTAAACTCCAAATAAGTTCATAGATTCTTATCTATACCATAAGGTATCAAGAAACAATACATGAACATTGTATACTTGTGTGAAGATGACCGATAAAGAAAACGATCTTGAAATCTTGTTCCCACCAAAAAATGATGTGATATTAAAATGCTTGTAATCATGGTAGCACCACATGGCTGATATCGTGTCATGCGGACTGAATTTGTTTCTTTGTAACTTTTAGTTGATCAAGAGACTGCCACCCATCCAGGACCCAAAGCCTCGCCTTCACAAGTTCTTCAGGGATTTCTGGCTTTACTGTGTGGTCATGGGGTTTGCCGTGGAGGACTCTGGTAAGTAGGCTTGTGATCCAAATCTCAGTTTGTCATTCTCGTCCTTCGCATCCTTCTGTTTTTCTCCTTCATATATCTTTTTACATCTATGTCCATGTATTGCTCCCCTTATACTTTGAAATTCATTTATCCAACATGTACATGTGTACTGTACCATTGACTAACTATCTTGTAGGTTTTCATATATACTTTTACCCCTATATTTGCTGTGTGCGGATACTGTATAATACTCTATCACCATTACCGATCTCTTACTGCTACTACCAATTGTAGTACGATGACCACTACTGGTAATACTACTACTACTGCTGCTGCTGCTACTACAACTACTACTACTACTACTACTACTACTACAACTACTACTTCTACTACTTCTACACTACTACTATTACTACTACTACTACTGCTGTTGCTGCAGCCACTACTGCTACCACTGCAACCACCACTAGTAATACTACTACTACAACAACCATGACATCTTCTTCTTCTTCTCCACAAGTATCACTGATCACTACACTTCTTTTGCTCCTACTACTATTAATGTATTTTGCTTATGTTACTGTATCGAACTGTTCCTTTCCTTTGTCACCTTGTCATCTAACCCCATTTACATTAAAAAAAAACAAGCAAACATATATTGCATGTATGTGTATTTCTCCTTTCTTTACTTTCCCAAGAAGTATTTTGTCTATGTAATATTTCTTTACAGTACTTGAATGTGTAATTTAAGGTCATGTACAGTATTGCTTCAAAGGCCCCACAAAGGCCCCACATTTGATTGTCAGATTACATTTTAGGCCACAGCAATATAAACAAAAGTGAAAGATCAGAATGAGCAAACTTTGAAATCACAAAATTACATAGCACCTTTCAATATTATGAATCAGCATTTATTTCTTTTGTTCGTGTACCTCCTGCTACATGTAAGAAGTTTAACTTTAAATAGATTTCAGAGTGCGTTATCATGGTACCTGGGTTCATGATTGTACAGTGCTAGGAAACATTTTATTAAGGGCTATATAAATGTTACAATTATCATTATCACTATCTCTTTAATTGTGATATAAAGCAATACGGTACATGGCTTTAAGCTATGGTTTTACATGTATCAATGCTAAATTGTGGTATATTTCTAGAATTATCTAATTACTGTCACCTCGTGTCCTGAACCTATGCAATTAATCCCATTTATTCAAATATTTTATAATTTATTTTATCACAATACTTATCTTTAGTATTCATTTGAATGCAGTCGTTGAGGTCTGGTAAATGATGAAACTTATAAAAAAATTGATAGAAACAAAGTCAGCAGGAAAAAAGATGATTTGAATATTGCATACAAATGAGGAAATCTAGGTTTGTTCATATGACAGTCTAGCGTCTTGTCTCATGTGTTCATATATGTCTGTGTGGGTCTTTTTTCAGTAATATGTTTGTTTCAGCAATTTTTGTTAATACTTTTTTCTGGGTCCAGATATGAGAATTCAAAATGACGGTTACACTTGACAATATAGCATCGTTATCAGACCTCAAGATTGCCTCTTATTGTGTAGATGTGTATTTTCATATATATACTTTTCACATTCATATCATATCTTTTAATTTAACCTGTCCATTATTATTACTCCAGTGAAACCCTATTTCCTACTGGAGATTCCTTTCTGTTGTGATTATTTCTATCAGATTTTCCTTTCTTTCCCTCAGGTATCAAGATTTGGAATATTGTACCTCAAACTACACGCCGTATGACCACATTTTTATTTTATTTTTATTTTTTGGTTCTTGTTATTTTGTTTTTCATCATTTCGTTTTTCCCTTCTACCATTCCTTTACATTGTTATGTTTTCATTTCCCTGCCCCTGCCATAAAAAGAAGGTAAATATTGACATTGCGATAACTGTCATGTCATAAACATTAATAGAAGGCGCATTTGAATAGTTGATTTATGTTTCTCTGTGACGATAATATTCACAAGATTTGTCACATGCCAGTTAGATGAAGCATTGTATATAATAGTGTTCACAGGAAATCATTTGTCAATTGAGGTTGTGTCCACACGGACAATGTGCATCCATTTCAAAATGTGTTTGATTATAAAAAGAAAGAGAAAAACAAATGATTTTCTGATTTCTTAATGTATTGCTTTCTAAATACATAAACAATTATGATCTCTTTTCACATTGGATGTATATGAACACATTAAGCCCTCTGTATATGTACCTCAATGCTAACTGGCTAGAATATTATATAAGCAAATATAAACTAGAGAGGCCATGATTTTGCCCTCTTGTGCTTATGTTAAGATTGACAAAAAGTAGATGAAGAACACAAAATTATGATGTTAATGTTTGCCTTTGTATTTATTCATTCCATCCATTTGCATCTGTAATTTGTTCTTAGTTTTACACAGGTCAATGGAATCCTTGTCTAATGACCCTTGGGATGTCCTCCTGTTATTTATAAGTCACACATGTCCATTTATTAATGATGATGGTGATAATGATGATGGCAATGATGATGGTGGTGATGATGATGACGATGATGATGATGATGATGATGATGATGATGATGATGATGATGATGATGATGATGATGATGGTGGTGGTGGTGGTGGTGATGATGATGATGATGATGATGATGATGATGATGTTGGTGATGATGATGATGACGATGGTGGTGTTGGTGATGATGATGACGATGGTGGTGTTGGTGATGATGATGATAATAATGATAATGATAATAATAATGATAAGGATGATGATAATGATAACGATAATAACAACATCATCAACACAAATCAACTTTATTTAGGACATCATCTTCCACAATAGCAACATCAACAACAATAATAATACAAATTAAGGGGGACGAAAGGAGGACTTTCCATGGTAAAACATGCAAACAAGACACACATTCCCTAAGGGTCATTGGATAGGATAACCATTGACATAACCTTTACCCAACCCTCAATTAACCCTGCAAGTTACTCAATCATACAACCTTGAGGAATGGCCCACATGATTGTCTGTTTATACCATTGTATGATAGAATTGTTCCATTTTAGACATGAATGTGAATGCTCGGTTTTTCCTATGCTAATATTTTGCTTGGAAGCTGTTGAGTATTTTTTAGAATTTTCTTTTAGGGTACTGAATTGTGCTCTGCCGTCTTGTGCACTTTGTACAGCTGTATGTCTTGTAAGAGAATGAAATTATTTGATTGAAGATTTTATTTTGTTGAACATGTTTTGTTTAATACTACTTTGTTTCTGTTAGGAAATGTTTGCCTGGAGTCTAGTTTAATTTGATTCGTTTGTTTGTGATTGCATGTGACTGAAATTTGAAGATCTGCTTGGATATCTGATATTAAAGAATTGACACACCTGAGTATTCTGTGCTAATATTCCAATATTGATAACTATGATTTGTGACTGAAATTTGAAGATCTGCTTGGATATCTGATTTCAAAGAATTGACACACCTGAGTATTCTGTGCTAATTATTCCATTATTGATAACTGTGATTTTAGAATGAATTTCAATTGTATTTTACTCAGGGACACAACATTACATCATATATTATTAGATTGTGTAATCAGCCTAACAAGGATTGGAAGATTACTAAAGAAATTAATCCTTAAAAGTTGAACAAATGGTACAAAAGTTGGACAAATGGTACAAGCAAATTGGTAATAAAAGAAGTTACATATATGATGAAAGAAAATGTGATGCACCTCAGTTTTCAAGTACTCATGGGTCTGGCATATTGTCTGTTTTAAGCCAGAAGGGCATTCACTCTGTTCAAGCCTGGGGGGGGGGGGGGGGGGGGGGGGGACGGACAAAATAATAAATTGATGCCCTCCTACATGTAGCTCCGAACAGACTTTTCACTGCATAGAGACAGATGTAGATGCAATCCCACCGCACACTGAACTAAACAATTCTTCTACGATCTGATTTTAAAAAGAAAGCATGTGAATTGGATACAGAAATTTAAACAAATTGCATCTGACTTATTGAGTTTGTGAATAGTGACAATTTTAGTCAATTTATGACTTCTATTCTGTGTGAATGCCAAATTGGCTTCAAAACGTAGACGATCACAAGTCTGAAATGATGTCACTGCAATTTTTAGCCAATATGAGCTTTGATCTCTAAAGAAAGCTTTAATACTCATTTGAAGTATTCTGAACCTCGATTATTAATTTTATGTGTCTGAATGTTTATAGCAAATGCTATTGCAAGTTCTTTAAAAATCGGATCGTAGTCAGGCTGTATCGTGTGTGGTGGGCTTCAGTTGTTTGTACATTTGTACATTTACATGGTTTGCTTAATAGCAATGATCGCTTTGTGCTTAAGACAATTACATGTACATTTAGCAACTTGGAATTAAGCAGACAAGCATTTAGTACCATTTACAGTTCAGCCTTACCGGTATTCTGTGAGGTCCAACAAATGCTGTTGAAAGTGAATACCAGTCATGTACCGATTAACATTTAAAACTTGTATGACATGAAATGATTTCAAAACAAAGTAGACTTTCAGATAACACACATTGCAACAACAACAAAATTAATGGTACATGACTTGTACAGGTGTACTGTATGTAGTCTAAAATGTATTGTAATATTGCTTAAAATTCATGCCATAAATTTAAAGATCTATTAGATGTTGGTAAAACCATGTCATTTGTTAGCTTTGTTTTAGAATGCGATGTATTATCAACACACATATTTAGTTCAGTTAATTATTTCTTTGGTCACACATTTTATTTTGTTAGATAAAATTTGTGACTATTTTTTTAATTTGCTTTGAATGAAGCACACTGCATGGATCTGTTCTTGACACATGTAATGTGTATGTAGATACTCTGCTTCACACCATGCACAGCCATAGGACATAATAAAGAGAAATATAGTCAAGAAGTAACCCTTAGAATACCATTCCTCTCTGTTACAGGTCTCTGGCCCAAAGAGTGGTACGAGGGAGTCTGTCACATCGCTGCAAAGTCTCCCCTCCTTACATCCAGCCCTGGTGAACATCTGAGATCAGAGCTACAGTACAACTCTGCTCTCAGGAACGATAGCATGACATATGTGAGTGTCACACTCCACTCTTCTATTGTACTGTTTTTCACATTCATGGTTGAGTCCAGAAAAAGTCCAAAGGGAGTACTGCCGACCCACAGCCAAATCTTGCTATCTTTCATACTTAAACTTGACAACATCTTATCTTCTATGCACTTTTGTGAATATTTGGATTGCATACAAGACCATGCCTTATTCTTACATTTTATGATATTTCTCACCTCTACAATCCTGTTGTATGAACATACATCCCATCCAGGAGATGACATTTTGATTAACATCATTTGTTTGATTCACCTGACTGCTAAGAGAGCAAGTGTATGCTTCTATAAAGTTAAAGCAACCAGGGGAATAACAGCTTTAAGTCCTCTCCAAGGGCCTTGGTAATGAGGATTTATGCTTTACCAAAGGGCACTAGCATATCAAATTGGTTTCAAACAAACATCACGGTTACGAGACGACTGTTCTTCCAATGAGCCTTCGCGCCTCCTCAAGAACGCCCTCTGGGGTACTTAACTTATTCTTGTTAAACCTCCATTGACAAGTTCCTTGGACAGGATCTAAAACCATAGGCTGTATGGGTTACTCACCTACAAGTAAATGTATGCTTTTTTAGCATTTGGGCAAATAAATCATCAATCAAAATCAAGGCTGATCTTTATGCTTTCTGTCCTCCAACCAGAACGACCTGAACGAGCTCCGTCAGAACATCCTGGGCCTGATGGAGCATTCCCCAGAGGTCACCGTTATCGTCAACAAGCTCAATTTTGCCCAGTGTACCTACCTGCTCTCTGTCCATCGGCTGGAGACCCTGCGGGTGAGTAACGCCGTCCCCACCAGCTTCGCAGCAGTCTTCAGCTACCTGGAAGACAAGGCGATTATCAAGGACAAGGCTGGCATGTGGCAGTGTCTCCTGGCATCCTTCGACAAGGTCTTCGACATGTTCTTGGATATCAAGGCCAAAATGGTAAGTTTTTTTAATTATTTGCTTAAATAAATAGAACAAAACATAGCTGTTTATCACATTGTGTCTGAACCAATGTTAAAAGTGAGAATGCCCTCTTTATCAATTTTTTTTTCTTGTGGTAAGCACTTGAAGGCCCAGTTATATAAAAATTAACTATTAATCTTTTTGGATCAATCGTAACTTTATGATGGTAGTAACTTAGGATTGGTACCATGCTACAGATCGATGTAAGATACAATTAAATGCTGCAAGATTGGAGATACAATTGACTTAAACGATTGATGGTATAATTCAATTTTTACGTAACATGGCCCCGGGAGTGTAGGCGGAGGCATGTCCATGTACTTGTTGATGAATGGTTTCCAGATGTCGTTAATTTATAATTCTGAGTCTTGGGGCACAGTGTTGCATTTTTTGTTGACAATTGCTCCACTGTCGATTTCCTATAGGAACTGAATTCTTAATTTCACCCCTTGACCCAACGCTATTATCAACTCTTAACTGTAAACCTAATCTAAAACCCAATAGCAATATCTATCTATATCTTTGATGAAATAAAACTCTGAGAATTGTCACCTAAGCCAACTTCACATCACCAGCGCTTGTTTGTGTTTGTACCGTTTTTAGCCCCGTACTGAAGAGAGGGAGAAGGAGCTGGTCCATCATGCTCAGTTCCTGCTTGTCAAGTTCAATCATGTCCTCAAACAGATCAGGAAGGTTGCTGATAAATACCTTTCAAGACTTGTAGACAGGTAAGGCTGCATCTCATACTGCTACTTCTACTACTACTACTACTACTACTACTACTACTACTACAAAGGGGAGCCGTATGTCTGCACTTTAAATATTTCTCTTGAAAGTAATGACAAATTTCCAACTGTATTTCCCTTATGCAGGATCTCATCTTATTCAATATATTCTAGACAATAAATGTGCCAAAATATTTATAAAAATTCAAGCAAGAACAAGGTCATGTTTACAATACTATGTGTGGCGGTGTCATTTTGGCATTTGCAAAAAACAAAGGTTCCCATGTCTGCGCACTTATTCATTTTCCGCTCAATAGGGGTTTTAGAAATGAAAGGCGTTTCAAGACCTGTGGATAAAAATACTAAAAATTAGACATTTCATGTAGCTATAGTAATGACCGAATTTCATGTTGGTTGCGTGTTTTATCAGGATCGGGCAGTTAAACGTATACACAGACATTCTTCTTTTCCTTCTTTTTCTCGTCCTCCTTCCTTTTCTCTTTCTCTTCTTCTTCTACATCAACATCTTGAAACAGTCGTTGAAAAAGGTCCCAATATTTTAATTCTGCACCAACCCTGTTAACAGTCAGTGCCTTCTCGTTGGCCATATCTTTCTATCAGGTTTCCTCAGTTACTGTGGAATGGTGATGTCCTTTGGAGCATGTTGGATCTCCTGCAGCTCTTGTCCAAGGCTGCTGCAGAGGAGAGTCTTCAGGAGGTCAGAGAGTTCCCTGTTTTCAAGGGCATGTTCATGCTGACAGTCATGGACACCAAGGAATCAAGAGAGGTACGGCTAGATTTTTTGCTCAGCGTTCAATTTCCATGACTGCTAAGATAGCATGTGTATAAAGTACCGAAGTGTGATGTCATAAGGGCTAAGTAGCAAGGTTGCTGGTTCCAAACAATTTTGTGGTAATGGTGATCACACCAGCCCCAAACATTGAATTGCCCTGCTCCAGCCTGTTGCTTGAATGATTTTACAGTGGACCTCATGAGCAGGCTCTGTTGTTTAGAACCAGTAACCAGGACGATGAGCGAGTATGATGTTAGCACTTTGTTACTCTATACTTGTAAATAAGCAACCAGGGGACCGATGGCTTTAAGTCCTCTCTCCGAAGGCTTGGTCATAATATAATGATTAATGCCTTACCTTAGCACATAGACATGGTTTTGATCCCAGGACCTTACTTTTACAAGACCACTGCACGACCACTTAACTATTTCACCTCCTATGCATAGCTATGCCTAACCCTATATCTTTGATTAAATAAAGCTCAGAGCAAAAGTGGCAAAAATATAAACAGGAAGAAAATGTGTAATTGCTTGTAAAAGTTGTATACAAATTATTTAACAATGTTTGAGTTTGAGTTTGAGGTTATTGGTATTTTGATCATGAATTGTATTTGTATATGTGTTGAGATTTGCCAAATATAGAACTGAACATTATTTTATTCAAGATGATGATTTTGATGATAATCATAATCTTCTGATTAAACAGGGCATTGTCCGTGACTTTGCAGCCCGTTGCGGAGGTATTTTCCAGGAGGCCGTGAAGTGGGCGGCCTCTGCGACGCGCTCTCACATCCAGCAGTACATCATCCATCTGGAGAACTCCTCGGACAGTCTCTCACAGCGTAGCACCCTGGAGCTCGCCACGGAGAGTGCCCTCCAGTGTGCAGGATTCAACAAAGGACTCACCGCATCTGTGAGTTTGAAATCATGCTTCTTTTCATATACAGTCAACCTGCTTTAGTGACCACCTGTCTACAAAAACCACATTTTTTGTTTCCCTTGGAAATGGTTTCTTGTTGAAACGTGTACTAAAGGAACCTGTCTACAAAGACCACATTTTTTGTTTCCCTTGAAAATGGTTTCTCATTGAATCATGTACTTGTCTAAAGGAACCTGTCTACAAAGACCACCTGTCGACAAAGACCACATTTTTGTTTCCCTTGAAAATGGTTTCTCATTGAAACATTTATTAAACGAACCTGCAGGATTCAACAAAGGACTCACCGCATCTGTGAGTTTGAAATCATGCTTCTTTTCATATACAGTCAACCTGCTTTAGTGACCACCTGTCTACAAAAACCACATTTTTTGTTTCCCTTGGAAATGGTTTCTCGTTGAAACGTGTACTAAAGGAACCTGTCTACAAAGACCACATTTTTTGTTTCCCTTGAAAATGGTTTCTCATTGAATCATGTACTTGTCTAAAGGAACCTGTCTACAAAGACCACCTGTCGACAAAGACCACATTTTTTGTTTCCCTTGAAAATGGTTTCTCATTGAAACATTTATTAAAGGAACCTGTCTACAAAGTCCACATGTCTACAAAGACCACATTTTTTGTTTCCCTTGAAAATGGTTTTTCATTGAAACATGTACTGAAGGAACATGTCTACAAAGACCACTTTCTCTTGTTTCCCTTAGGCGGTCGCTATAGACAGGTTTGACTGTATTTGTTTTTGCCACATTCTACCACTCAAAAGGCATTATAGAAGTCTCCCTGATTGTAATGATAATAGTAGGATTGCATATAATGCCTTTTGCTGTAGGATACAAAGGTCTTATCATTAACCTTTTTTCCACGCGGGCTGATTGACACAATATGAAACAAATAGATGATTACTCCAGTGAATTAGGAATGTTACTTCTAATATTTTGATCTATTTCCATTCTAACTTCTTGATAAGAACTTAAACGCACATTTGTGAACTCCATACAGACTGTATTTATTTGTTTGTTGTTGTTTTTTGCTTGAGGGGGAATGCATCAGGCCTTTGAATAAATGTATAATCTTGTCTTTAACAGGGTACCGACAGTTTGACCAGTGAGTCAGCCAACTTTGTATCAGTGATGAGCCTAAGGAGCAGGTTCGCTGGAGAGGTAATATAGATTCTCCTTTAAGAGAAGGTTGAATAAATACTTCCTAAGTTACATAGAAAAGGGCCTTGCATCATGATTCATGCCCCTACGTATTACTGCATTAAATGCACTAAATTCAAATGAGCTTGTGCTTCATATTGAACTTTTTCATAACTTTAGACTGTCTAACTCCAATTGCAATTTTCATCTTAAAGGCATTGTTAATGATGTTAAATCTGAAATGCATGGCCCTACGTGTTATTGGTTTCTGTGATATGGTGTAATATTGAAGCCCTAAAAAAATTGCGCTTCAAAATGATCATGAAGTACCTCAAAAAAGTAAAAATCTTTGAGTGATCAGTTTTACCATACCGGTACTCTTTTTCCCCAATAGACTGTAGTGTTGTAAAAACCGTTAGGAAAACGAAAAATTTAATTTCTTTATCCAATCATATATATTTTGAAAATCAGACAGGCGATCGGCTGATAAAAGTCATTGGATTCCTGAATAACCTACAGGTTTATAATTATGATTGCAGCATGAGCTAAATCCAGGATTTTGTTTCAGAATCTAAGGCAATTTTACTGAGTCACTTTAAGTGCAGAGTACCATTTCCCTTCTGTTTAACGTTTCTTTCAGGTATCAGGCATGAAAGCAATCTACACCGACGCAGGGCCCGGGGGTTTGAGTCTATCTCATGTACTGAATAAACAGCTTGACAAGGCGTGTGATGCGAAGAAGATAGATGCTTTCACTAATTCTATGTTCAGAGTCTGTGCCCTCCTCATCTCAAGTGAAGGTAAGAGGTGTTCATATTGTAGAGGTGTTGTGGTCTAGTGGATAAGTCACCTGACTGCAGATCACAAGGTCAGGGGTTCCAGTCCCCCCACGGCACTAGTGTCCTTTGGCAAGACGTTAATCGACATTTGCCACTTTCTACCCAGGTGTTAAAGTGGTACCTGGTAGTGTGCGAAAGTTAGATGAGCAAATGTGCGCTTGCAAAAATGATGCCTGACTGGAATTCTCCCCAGGGAGTTGAGAATGTGCATACATTGTGTGCGGGTAAGCCTGAATCCAAAGCCGAAAATTATTATTAATATTAATAAAGTACAGGCAACAATGATTGTGGATGACCGAAGATATGACAGGGAAGAAAGAGTGAGAGGGGGGGGGGGTGAAGATAGAAGGAAAGAAAGATCGAGGTGATTGGACAGACAGAAATAGCAAGTATCAGCATCACAAAGCACTTTATAGAGGTCCACAAAGAGAGGGTAGAGAGAGACAGAGAGACAAGCAGTCAAAGAGACAGATGGGTAATCTAGCAGACAGAGAGAGACAGAGAAAATAGAGATAGAGACTTTATATTCATATTTTTAGACCTGCTTTTTAAACAAACAATTCATATTTTGTTACGAACTGATACAAGGCATGTAATCCATTCGTATAATGTACATGTGAGTGTGTCATTCATATTTGTCACATGTACACCATTTAAATGTAAGTATATTATATGTAATTTGTTTAAGAAATGTGCACACCCCATCTAGCGGCACCCTTTTATCAAAGAATCGTATTTCCAATGTTTACTCTATTGTGACAAAGTTTGGTAATATAGACCTTTCATTCATTCATCCATTCATTGATTTACTTGATACCCTAAAGGTGTGGATAGATACCTGTTGTATAGCCTGTGCAGGGCGCCTGTCAGGCTCTTCACAACACACGCTATGGAGAAGGCTGTTGCATGCTGGGAATGGCTGCTGGCTGCCAGATCGGACATGGAACTGCAGGTAAAGAGAAACAAATCATTACTACAATCATTGCTCCTGTAGAGGTGTCTTGGATGATTGGATATGTCACCGGACTGTGAATCACAAAGTCCACGGTTCAAGTCCCACCGCGGCACTAATTTATTTGGCAAGACATTGATCTACATTTGCTACTCTCCACCCAGGTGTTAAATGGGTACCCGGTAGGATGCAAAAGCTAATGTGCTTAGATTAGCAAGTGTGCGCTTGTAAAAATTACGCCTGGAATGCTCCCCAGGGAGTGGAGAATGTGCATACATTGCGTTACGGGTAAGCCTGAAATCCGATGACCGGGGTAATAATATGATTGCAGGGCCCTCGGGGAGAACAGTATGAATACTGATGAGGCTACCCTGGGTAAACAAGATATATTATTATTATTATTATTATTACTACAGGATAGAAGAGATATTCTGAGAAAGCCCTAAGTTCACCTGCTAAAAATAGATTTATCCCAGGACAATGTTGTTGTTTTTTTGTTTTTTTTTAAACAAACTATTCTCACAATCATTAAGTAAAATGGCTATTTGAATTGCATAGATTTTTAGACACACAATTTTTATAATTTCTTCAATATTGCAAGGGATGAGATTCCTGGGCCAATCGATTGGTGGAATAACCTTTCCAAAGAGAAGGAATTTGGGAGCTCCTGTTTTTATAATGCCCCAATAAATTGAGACATTTAAAATTAAATTCTGTGCCAAAGAAATCAAGATATACATGTATGAGAGATAAAAGTTTTGCTTTCAATGTACCGGTACATGTAGTAAATTGGAAATACAACTGTATTTTTTCTTGTTGATAGTTAATGCGTGAGATGGCCGGAGCATGGCAGATGAGCATGGACAACAGACTTGGTCTGTTCTCTATTGATGTTGAAGATCCCAGTCCTCTGGCCGCCATCAGTGGCGATGATGTCCCTGACCCCAAACACCCAAACGCTACACCACATCACATCTGGACCCAGGTAGGCCAATACAATGAAACCTGCTTCAGCAAACACCTGTATAGAAAGGGCACATGTCTATAAATACTGTATACCTTGTCTCCGTTGTTGTATACAGAATTCCACACATGAGCACTATGTTGAATAGTTGACTGTTTTGACATTTTTAGTTGGTACCAGGTACTTTTGACATGCCATGCAAAGATTTTGTGATTTGTGTACAATGCAGCCACTCTAGAAAGAAGTAAACTCTTCTTCTTGTGCTTCTTGATCTTCTTCTTCTTCTTCTTCTTCTTCTTCTTCTTCTTCTTCTTCTCCTTCTACTCCTCCTCCATCTTCTTTTTATGCCTCCGTTACGAAGTAGCCGGAGGCATTATGTTTTCGGGTTGTCCGTCCGTCCGTCTGTACGTACGTCTGTACGTACGTACGTCTGTACGTACGTACGTACGTCCCGTTCTCGTGATCGCGTTATCTGAAGAACCGATTGATGGATTCCTACCAAACTTAGGTCATGTATGTATCTTGCAGAGCCGATGAACTGATTAGATTTTGGGGTCACGAGGTCAAAGGTCAAAGGTCACAGGGCTCATTATGTATGCAAAAACAGCTCGTGATCGCGTTATCTCAAGAACCGATTTATGGATTCCTGCCAAACTTTGGTCATGTATGTATCTTGCAGAGCCGATGAACTGATTAGATTTTGGGGTCACGAGGTCAAAGGTCAAAGGTCACAGGGCTCATTATGTATGCAAAAACAGCTTGTGATCGCGTTATCTCAAGAACCGATTGATGGATTCCTGCCAAACTTAGGTCATGTATGTTACTTGCAGAGCCGATGAACTGATTAGATTTTGGGGTCACGAGGTCAAAGGTCACAGCGCACATTATGTATGCAAAAACAGCTCATGATCGCGTTATCTCAAGAACAGATTGATGGATTCCTTCCAAACTTAGGTCATGTATGTTACTTGCAGAGCTGATGAACTGATTTGATTTTGGGATCATGAGGTCAAGGTCAAAGGTCATGCGGCTCATTATGTATGCAAAAATAGCTTGTGATCGTATTCTCATTGGAACAGATTGATGGATTCCTGCCAAACTTGGATAATTTATGTATCTTGCAGAGCCAATGAACTGAGTAGATTCTTGGTTCATAAGGTCAAAGGTCATGGGTCATTATGTATGCTAAAATAGCTTGTGAACTCATTCTCATTAGAACTGACAGATGGATTACTATTTAACACAGGACATCTTGCAGAGCCAATGAACTGAGTAGATTTTAGGGTCATGAGGTCAAAGATCAAAGGGTCATATATGTATATGAGAAATTGCTTGTAGGCCTATAATCACGATATTCTGAGAACCTGTTAATGGATTACAATTGAACTTGAATTTGAAAAATTTCTTCTGTTTTGGTTTGTAAAATTGCTCTATGACGGAGGCATCATTTTCGACTGCGCGCAGTCGAATTCCATCTAGTTTTTTTTTACTTCTTCTACCTTTTTTTTCTTCTTTATTTCTTCTTTTCCTTCTACTCCTCATCCTCCTTTTTTTTCTTTAATATCATCTTCATCATTATTCAACATCACTCATACACTCTCTTTGCAGTTCTTACACCAGCGCCTGGAGAGCATCAAGTACAGCAGCATCAACGTGGTGGAGATCTTCATCTCCATCCTGCATCGCTCCCTACCCATGCAGGTCGGTCAGACAAAGGGCGCCCTCTCCAGGCACATCGCTGCCATGGGCCCCCGTTTCCGCCTGCTCTGTATGGGACTGTCCCTCCTGCAGGGGGATATCCTGCCCAGCAGTACGGGCAAGAACGTCTTGAGAGAAAGGATCTACTCGGCTGCGTTCGACTTCTTCAGGTGACTTTGCTTTGGTCATTTCTATATGTGATTCAGTAAACAATTTCCCTTTTTTATTTAGTCTAAAGGATGTACATGCATATATTTATTCAAACTTAACCAACAAATGTGTATTATCTCTTACATTTTTTTCTTTTTTTCATTAGAGGTGTGAAGTTAATTTACTGCAATTGTAAAATGTAAGGTAATAAAAGTAATAAATGCCCTTATTAGCATCAAGCATTTATACTGTGTCTTGAAAGATTATGTTTCCAATGACTTTATATACTTACAGCCATACATTGTAAATGTTGATTACAACTATTGTCTAAGCACAGAGTCTAAAATATATTTTAAAAATGCAGGCTTTAATACTAAACCACACACTTCTATTGTAAAATCAAAACTTGGCCAAAAGCTAGATACATATATGCAAGAATAATTGTGTGCTGCGGTCAACAACCAATCCAAAAGCTAATTAGCTATCTAATAATCAATCTCAATTTTGTCCCACTTGCTTTCCCTCACGTATCTTGCAGTGTTGCTCCAGTGTGCCCAACCCAGTCTGTGAGTGAGCTGAGGGAAGACATCAGTATTCTCATTAAGTTCTTCCATGCCATGCTGGCAGAGAAGAAATACCTCAGAGGCACCACAGCTGTGGTTCAAGGTTAGTGAATACTGTTGCTGCTGTTGTTGTTGCTGTTGTTTTAGTTGTGAGACCATACTATAATAGCTGAAAAGAAGGACATGAGAGCCTACACAGTTGTACACAGTAGTCCAATATCTTCATTTGCATGAATGATTACATTATTTGATGGAGGTAATACTTTTCAGTGTTAACAACATAACTCATGATCTGTGAGATGTCTCAAGTGTTTGATTCAGGTCAGATTTTCCAAGTACAAAGCTTAGAATTCACTGTCCATCATTTAATCAGTACTACATCATTTAGTGATGAAAAAGAATTTCTTTGTTTCTCTAAAATGTTTATAAACATATAGGATTGCCACACAAGAAACTTGTGTGTGCAAGAAAAATTAATGAGTGGTTCAGATTCACAAAATTTCCTGATTCATGAATCTCAAGACTAGAATTTAGCTATGCAAAAATGTTTCCAGGTTTACTTTCTATATTTCATGCCTTGTTTAATCTTTGTATTTCATAGTATTCCTTATTTCAATGTAAACATGATGTAAGCTGTACATAGTATACACTATCAACAGTAAGCTTGAAATACTTGGAACATTTAACTGTTCTTCCAAACCTGCAGAGTCCGAGGATGTACACACGCTAGGCATCATCCCAGCCGACCTGCGAGCCAGTAACGAGTACCTCAACGCCAGGCCAACAGCAGGGCGCCCTCAGGGTTGGATGAACACCATGCCGCTGTCCAGTAACATGTCCATCGTGTCCAAGAGGTCATCGGTCACCAGGAAGAGTGGAGAGGTCGGAGCAAAGTATGCCAAGGAGTACATGAAGAGGAGGAATCTAATCCTCTCTCTGCTGGTATGTTCACTCATGATGATATACTTTAGTAAATTTGCAAAACCAAACAGAGATGGATGACACTTTGTGCGGAAATTGACAATGAAAAGGAACAGGAATTCATATTTGTTAGGGCAAAAATAATTGTGCTTTCAATCATACAATTTATATACATGTAGTGTTAGATATAAGATTCTTTGATAGTGAAAGAATATTTCTGGTGGGATGATGTAAATTATACCAATGGTTTAATTAAGGCTCTTTATCTACCTACATGTACAGTATGTAAATGAGATGTTAAAGGTACTTTGTTTATGTGAAAATTAGCTTAGAATTGTTTGAAGCTTCATCTTTACAAAGATTTGGAAATTTTAAGCAAAGTGATTATTGAAGGTGTCAAAAACTATTTTGTGTGTTTTTAGACATATGTGTCACATAGATGATCTCCTTTGAGAAGAAACATTTTCTCTGCGATTGTCTTCTCTTTTTATCCCCCTGTTTATAATAAAGATGAATCCATATGGGTTTGGATTTCAAAGTAAGTTAAATGATGTCTTTTGGATAAATGAATGTAAATATATCTCTATAATGCTGGTGATTTCTACCTACTGGGTGAATGAGATGGAGGGGTGTTGCTCCTTGTGGACTCTCTTAGAAAATCTTGAGGGAGGCCAAGGTTTAAGGAGAGGAGCTAGTTGCTAAGGCCTGGGAGCGGGTGCCATAAAGAATTCCCTCCACGTATTACCAGGGTGGCGTAAAAGGCAACTAAAAGGGACTGCATTGGGCAGCAACTATGCAGTGAGAGTTCAGGCAGATGATCCTATCAGGGACAACAGCATCTCTCAGAACTGGGGTTCATGTGGATATATTCATGGTCACCACACTGCGGTGAGGAAGGCAACAGGAAACCACCTTCACTATTCTTCCCGAGATATACCATGGAAAGTCACTAGTTGCTAACTGAAGAGAAGATGAAACAAATATTTTGAAATGTCTCTATTCTTTATTCTTCTATCAGGTGAATGAGATAGAGAGACTGTGTTGCTGGTGTAATCCCTTAGACAACTCAGAAATCAAGCTACCAGGAGAGGAGCTGGTTGCTAACTGGAGGGTCCAGACCCCTACCAATGAACGCACCTGGAGGGACTTTGCTCACCTCGCCTGGGAGGTGTCCCCTCATCTGGCTTGTCAGCTTCCCGTCAGGTGAGTGATGTCAGTGATTGAGGGATGGATGATGGGTGGGTGACAGATGGATGGATGGATGAATGCTGTATGGAAGAATGAAGGGATGGGTGGATGGATAAATGCTGAATGGAAAGATAAATGGATGGATGGATGGACAGATGGGTAGATTGATAGGTAGAAGGATTAAAAGATTGGAAGATGAATGATTAGAGGAATGGAGGGGTAAATGATTAAATGGATTAATGGATAAATTGAACAGATGGATAGATAAATGGATGAATGAATCTCTAACCTATCCAGAATCTAGCCAGTTAGGGCAGGCATGCACCTCACATTACCATAATAAGTACGATTTCTCCGACATCCCATTGAAACATGTGTATTGTAATCAAATGTGTGTTTTAGTAGAATGTAGGTAAACTTGTACTTTACTTTGAAATGATGCCCTGATGCTAATGATAGCCGGCCCTCGCCAGCTAGATCAGGCAAAGAGCAAAGATGATTGTTTACTGTCAGATGCATTCCCTTGTAAAAAGCAATTGGAAAGATGTGCCTCGGTTGACTCTAACAGGCCTAATCAGATGTCTTTATTTATTTGACATCAGGTTCAAGTCTTCTGAGAGCCTTGTCAAGGAGGTGACGCGTATGGTGCGACTCAACCCCATGGCTGTCTCTGACCTCCCAAGTGCCATTCACTTCCTGGTCACAGAACACAGTGTGGATGCAGATGTCGCAGAGGTCAGTTTGTGCTTCTCAATTCTGCTTCAAGTATAATTATCATTCCTGTAGTGGATAGGACAAAACACATTTATTTGACCTTCGATTTGATATTTGATAATTAATTATGAATATCTTTAATACAAATTATCAAGTAATCACTGCCCCCCTCCCCCTCCCCCCCCCCCTCCCCAAATTGTGCCATGGAGGGATGGAATCACAAATGAGAAGGTACTGCAGTGCGTTCATGAGGAGAATGTGCTGCTGAATACGATCACAAAACGATAACAAAATAACAGAAGAAATTGTATAGACATGCTAAAGCAAAATGACAGTCTAATGATCAGAGTCATGGATGGTCATCTATTAAAATGGAAAGACTTTGAAAGCAAGATATCAGAAAATTTTCTAGAATACATCATTGAAGAAATTGGAGGAGTAGGATACAGAAAATGAAGCTGTTGGCTCAAGATTGTATCATCTGTAGAATTTGTAGAATTTGATCTGGTCACTAAACCTTTCATTTGACAGATCACTTTTGATGATGACCCTCCTAAAATATCTGACAAAAGGCATTCAAGGGTTTACCAAAAATGAACATGAACATTTGTCCTATGTAACGGATAGGTGTATATGGATCCTAAAGCTCCTTTTGTATATCCTCCATCTTTGTTTCACCATTTATTTATCTCGTCCCCATTTATTTATCTCGTCCTCTTCATCAGTTGAGTCACATCCTATGCTGGGCGCCCGTTCCACCTGTCACCGCCCTGTCATACTTCTCCCAGCAGTACCCCCCGCACCCCCTGACTGCCCAGTATGCCACCAGAGTCCTGCAGGACTACCCACCAGAGGCACTGCTCTTCTATGTCCCTCAGCTAGTACAGGCTGTCAGATACGATACGGTGAGTGATCCACAAGTCTTTACTCTTAACCTGAGATTCTGATTCTGAATCTGATTTGTATTTATTGATCCGTAGTTTAAAAAACCACAGAAAATGGGCCAACACTGGCATAAGAAAATTTCTACATAATACCATCAATACAACAATATAACAGCTACATGTACATAATAAATACCATCAATGCAACCTGTTCCACTCCACTACATCTGGCAGTGCGGTGGAACGGGTTGCACAGATGAATACCTGGCCCTTGTTGATGAGACGGCCATCGCAGCAATCAGGCGATGGAAGAACTTAATTTAATTTAATTAAGGAACTTTACATAGGTATCTTAGTCTAAGGAGACACAAACTAACGAACCATCAATATACTATTGTATATCATGTAACAAAACTATGATATTATATATCATGTAACAAACACACAACAAAAAAGGAAAGAAAGTGAAGATGAAAGTAGAGGGATAGAGAGAGAAATATTGTTGCATTATTATTCAAGAAAAATGAACAAATACTATTCACCTACTTAGAGATTTTTGTAATCAAAGGTTCTACAGAAGGTCAAAAATAGATATCGATCATTGGATGTTGCATTTGCTATTCATTAACTAATCCTATTGTTGACTATTGCCAGTAAAAATACACGTATTTGTTTATTTTTTTGTTTTATATCATTAGCACATTTGATAAAGGTGTTCAGTTATCGTATAATTCACAGGTAAGTTTGTACACGTACACAATTTGTGCCATGCAGTTTAATATCTTTTTAATCCCCACTTGACAAAATTCCACAAAAATTTGCTGAGTCATATGTTAATGAGCCTTAATCAATTTTTTATTTTTATTTGATAATGCAGTTTGGCTTTGTGACGGAGCTGATCCTGGTCCTGGCGAAAAAGTCCCAACTCCTGGCCCATCAGCTCATCTGGAACATGAAGACCAACATCTTCAAAGACGAGGAAGCCAAGGAAAGAGACGGTAAATAAATTGAGGCACTGTTGTGTTTGGTAGCTTTAATAGCTTGTGTTGGTTGGTTGGTTGGTACGTAGGTTTGCGCATACACATATTCTACGTGCTCATTTTGTTGCATCAATAAAAATCACACTTCATGAGCGATTTGTGTTCTTTTTAGATACAGCTCTAAATAAGGTACATGATGTAGAATATTTTTTTTAATAAAGTATCATCCAGATAAAAGATAGATACCTTATTGGAAAAATTCTTATTGAATGCTAACTCTTTGTATTTTCTGTGAAATTTCTTTAAAAGAAAATGATGAATGGATGAAAAATACAATTTAAAAACAAAAATAAAATAGATGAAAGGTATAGTTATTCAGGTGAAGGACTAAAAAAGAAAATCAGTGTTGCCAACTTAGAGAAGGCATTATGATTTGATCATTCTTTTAAAAATAATGGTATTTCTTGATATTACATGCAGGTGAGTTTGCTGATGCCCTGGAGGCCCTGATCGAAGGCATCATAGCCAGCTTGTCGGGACCAGCGAAAGACTTCTATGAGAGGGAGTTTGACTTTTTTGGCAAAATAACAGCCATCTCCGGCGAGATCAGGTGAGGCATCTTCATGAGTAATAATATAATGCATTGATATAGCAGAGCTAGTACACAATATTCATATTATGATATATACTCTGCTATGCTTAAAGGTCAGTGGAAACCAAATATGTGTGCAGGGCTGCATACAACTCATATTTTGTTATTCAAATATCTAAATATATTTCATAGATTTTTAAAATATTTTAGTGTTTTAGCCGAGGTGCTGGGATAAGGTGATAAAGTCTGCAAAGGAACTTCTTTCTTTATTTATTTTTTATTTTTTGCAGACCATATCCCAAGGGTGATGAAAGGAAAGCAGCCTGTCTGAAAGCCCTAGCAACCATTCAACTCCAACCTGGATGCTATCTCCCTTGCAACCCTGAAGCCGTCGTCATGGAAATCGACTACAAGTCTGGAACTCCCATGCAGAGGTAAGAACAACAAAAATGTCATGTATCTTTATTTGGAGAGTACTTGCTACTTCATTATGTCATCAATTGAACTTGATTTATATGTACATACCGGTATGTGTAGAATATGTTGTATTCGTATGGGTACCGTAAATCTCTGTGTATAAGGCCCACTTTTTTGCCGCCGAAAGTTAGGGGTGCGTCTTATACACAGGTACGTTTTTAGTTTTGATGTATGGCGCTATGCCTGGCAATGTCTCCCAGCTCAGTAATCGGTGTGTTGACTCACCACTCAGAAACTACAAAACCACTCAAATTTGTCTGTCATCTTGGTTTGAAAGTAATCTTTCTAATATATCTCAATATGTAGTTTATAATAATAATTACTCAAATTTTTTTTTCTATTACTCATGGTGTACCACAAGGTTCTATCCTAGGTACTCTATTGTTTTTACTTTACATTAATGATCTTACACATTCTTCTAAAAACAACATTGTTACTATTATTTGTGACAAGTTCACAAGCACAAATCGGCGCCTTCAACTGCACATCGATGTTAAATAAAGGTCCTTCCCCGTGTGGGTTTTCGGCGGGTTTTTCTTCTTTTTTTTTTTTTTGCCCCCAAAATAGGGGTGCGCCTTATACACAGGTGCGTCTTGTACACAGAGATTTACGGTAGATATATTTAGAAAAGAAAACAGATTGACCTGTATTCTTGAAACTGATTTATATTAGATAGGCTAAAGTTATTCCTCACTTGTATAGAATGCCAATTTCAATATTCTGTAGAAATTCTTCTCGGAATTCATTTAGTCATTATTGACTTTTGGCACTCCATAAATGAATGAACTGCATGTCACAGGGGTTCCTATCAATAAATATATTTTTGCTCCATATACATGTAAGGGATTCGATGTAAAAAAAAATTCCAATAAAAGTTTTTACAAAGAAATTTGCAAGTGTTAACATCAAAGCACATTCTAAGTACACTACATGTAGTTGACGTTTCGTTCTATGTTTTTTAATTTTCTCCTCAGTGCTGCCAAGGCCCCGTTCCTTGCCAGGTTCAAGGTGCAGAAGTGCGGAGTTCATGGGCTGGAGAGCCTTGGTATGAAGGGCCTCGATTCAGACGCTGTTTCTCGTTCCCTCAAAGCACAAATATGGGAGGCTTGCATCTTTAAGGTTGGAGATGACGTGAGACAGGTCAGTCCTAGATTAGAGACAAAAGTATATTTTACACACAGAGAGTGAGAGAGGGAGGGAAAGAGGGAGGGAGGGAAAATTGGTAGAGAAGGAAGAGAGAGAGAGAGAGAGGGGGTGCGTACATGTACTTGGGTAAGAGTATGAGAATGAGATTAAAGAAGGGGGAAAGAAAGATTGACAAATAGAAGTAGGAAGAGAGAGTACTTGTTGAAGAGTTTGAGAATGAGAGAAAAACAAGGGGGAAAGATGGATGGGGAGGAGAAAAAAAGACAGAGCAAATACTTGTGTAAGAGAGTATGAGAGTGAGACAAGTGAGGAAGAAATATAAGAGACCACATTATCAGATAAAAGGAAAGTTGTTTGTCATATTTTGAATATAAGGTGGTCTGCAGTCGGGTGACATACCCAATAGAAAACAACAACACCTCTTGTACCTCTACATAGCAAAAATGATACAAAACTATTCTTCATCTGTCACAATACTGAACCTCTTTCGTCTTTACTCATTTAATTTTGTTGTTGTTGCAGGACATGCTTGCGCTGCAGGTGATTGGTCTATTCAAGAACATCTTCCATCAGGTGGGACTCAACCTCTACCTGGTCCCGTACAAAGTGGTAGCAACGTCACCAGGGGTAAGTCTATCATGTGAGGGCGCTGTGCAAAAATGATATAATAATAATAATAATAATAATAGGCATTTCCATAGTGCCGTCTATCTAAAAATTCTATTCTGAGGCACACTAATTATTACCCCGGCTTCAGCTAGCTAGCTGCCATTACAGTGCTCCAGCATTTCAAGGAATTAATTCCTGCAAGGCACTCATTTACCTCACCTGGGTCGAGTGTGGCAAATGAAGATTAACGCCTTGCCAAAGGACATTAGTGCCATGTCGGGGATTGAACCACGACCTTTGAATTTCAAGTCAAGTGCTTAAACCACTCGACTACGATACTTTTCATGACCGATGATCATGATGTTCAATACTCGATTGAATCTTGGTCCTATTTGTATAATTATGCAGAAGACCTATCCGGACTTTACTTTATTGATCATTGTATTTATAAGCTGCCTCATTTCCTTGCCCTTTGATTATAGTTATGTGCGTGACTTTTCAAAATTGTTACCACTTATCCAGAAGATGTGGCACATGGTCCAGACTCACAAAACTCTATCACAACACTGTACTTTTGCCATTTTCAAGAATTTTCTTGCCATGCAAACAATTAAAAATTACTAAAAGTTTATGTTTAAAATATATAGGTAAGGCCTGCTTGCACGTCGACCCACCAGTTTTTGGTTTTAGCCGTCATATTCATCTAATTTATGTAAATCATTCAATCAATGCAGTTTATTAACATACGTTATTTTATATATGGTTTGTAAATATGTTTTCAAAAAAATTGTATTTATTTATATGTTCATCAAAGAGGATACAGAAATCAGATTAGATCTGGGCCCTGTTGCACAAAACTTACCATTGATGGCAAATTTACCATCAATGATAAGTTTTATGTAACGGGCCCAGATCAGGTCATGTCAGATCTAGTCAAATCAAAATCAAAATCTAATATAGTTGATTTATAACATAAACTCTTACATGCATTTCATCGACAGTGTGGAGTGATCCAGTGTGTCCCAGACTGCAAGTCTCGTGACCAGCTTGGCCGACAGACAGACATCGGCATGTATGAATACTTCCTAACCAAGTATGGAGATGAGACTACACCCGCATACCAGAAGGTAAAACAAAAAAAGTTATAAAGAAAACATCAAAATGAACCAACAAAAATCATGTGTGATAGAAGATGTCTTAGCTAATTGTTTTAAAACAGATGGTACAATATACAGTTGTTTGTCAAAGATGTCAAATCAGGCCAATGTTACTGTATGTAAAGCAAGACAACAACAGCAACCAGGAGTATTGAATTTATTTCCTTGAAAAAGTCCAAATATTTATCTAATCACAGCAAATTTCTTTTCTCGTATTTTACCTTTGTTTCATAAATCCACATACCGGTACATGTATTCTTTTTCTGTGCATACACACACCTAATAGAGTAAATACGCTTTACACAATGTAAAGTACTAAATTAATATGTGTACAAACATCTACAAAATCATTTTACAGCATTTTACCACGTTCAGTAAGAAGAAAGTAATGTTCTGTCAGTATCATTTTGACTGGGCATCAAGACGGACTCCAGCAGTCTCTGATTTTCGTCTGAGACAATCATTTATTTTGTGATTCTACAGGCTAGACGTCATTTCATCCAAAGCATGGCAGCCTACAGTGTGGTAGGGCACCTCCTCCAAATCAAAGACAGACATAATGGAAATATCATGCTGGATACCAGAGGCAACATCATACACATTGGTAAGTCTGTTACCCCTCTGTGCTCCCTCCCTCTCCTCCCATCTACCCCTCCTCCTCCTTCCTTCTCCTTCTTCTTCTTCATCATCCTCTTTATCTTCTTCTTTATCTTTTTCCTCCTTCTCCCTTCTTCTCCTTCTTCATCATCCTCTTTATCTTCTTCTCTATCTTTTTTCTTCTCCTCCACCTCTCGCTCCTCCTCCACTCTTCCTTTTCCTCTCCTCCTCCTTCCCATCTTCCTCCTCCTCCTCCAGTCTTTTTCTTCTTCATCTTCTTTCTCCTCCTGCTCCTCTCCTTTTTTTCTGCTTCTTCTCCGTCTGCTCCTCTTCTTTCATCTATAACAGGATGATGTTTTTATCCAGATGGGAAACAAAATGGTGAAATAAGTGAAAATGTATCGCCTGAAAGATTGTTAGTGATAAATTTATGTAAACTGAATTATCTGTCAGGGAAAGAGTCTGTCTTGTGCATCTTGTTTGCTCTTGCCTCTGCAAAAGGGCATCTTTGTGGTATTCCTTTCAAAGCAATAAACCTGCTGATACTTGTCCCTCACAATTTTTAACAATCATGAAATTATCATATGTCATATTTGTCACGACAGATTTTGGTTTCATGTTTGAGAGTTCTCCTGGAGGCAACCTGGGCTGGGAACCAGACATCAAGCTCACTGATGAAATGCTCATGATCATGGGAGGCAATATAAACGCGGCTCCATTCAAGAAGTTTGAAGAACTGTGTGTACAGGCCTACCTAGCAGTCAGGTATGTTAGAACTTACAAATGTCTGTTACTTATTTCTTTGAAGTTTGAAGTTTATTTATTCCAAATTTTTCATATAGGCATATAAGAGTAGATTTCACACAAGAAAAAAATGTTTAAAAAATTGAAGATTTCAAATCAAGTATAATGAACGGAAAATAAGTACGAAATTTTGAAGTCCACAGTTTGTTCCATTGGTTGTATAAAGTTGGTAAAGAATTAAACTGACTTTTAAGTTATTCATTTGTAGTCACAATGGTGGGCTGATAAAACACTTTATCTCTATTTATGGCAACTTATTTTTCATAATTGTGTAGCTTAGGACAAATATGATGCCCTTACAAGCTTGTAACGTTTATATCTGTAAAAGTAATGCCAAAGGCGACCTGTATACAGAACGTCATCAATGCTGTTAATAAGTTACAAATTCTGTTGCAAGGTTTTATTACACTTCCAACAATTTGTACGCAGGAACGATTCATTGAAATGTTTTTTTTTTTTTTTTTAAGAATCTACCCTTCCAATGAGGGAATTAATTTGTTTTCTTCTTATCATGGTTGTTTCTTTGTTTCTTTGTTTGTTCATAGACCATACCAAGAAGCCATTGTGTCCCTTGTAGCCCTGATGCTTGATACAGGACTACCTTGCTTCAAAGGAAAAACACTCAACTACTAAGGTACATGTATAGCTGATATAGTGCAGAAAGTTGATTGTTTCTTTTCATGTAGTTTATGCTTGTATTTTTCCACTAAAAAAGAAATAGAACCTTGTAGCTAAAAGGACATTAAAGTCATCAACAATGCATGCTGGCAGTGTCCATTTTGCAGAAAGCCGATGAAAAGATGAGATCCTCTATTCAGCATGTAATCCTGAAGGGGAATTCTAATAATAAGGCTTGAAGAATATTACAGGGTTCTTAGCAATCCTGAAACTCAAGGAAAACCTTGTGAAGAAGTACCCCTTTTTCCAGTCCATGAAGTCAGGGAATTTGAGAACCCACTCAAATTGTGGAAAAATCAGCCCCCCCCCCTCCCCCTAAAAAAAGTAGTCTTTTATTTTCTGGATTGTGCCCAAACTTATAGCAGAGCCACTGGGCGATTCCCTGCAATGAGTTTTTAGTGTGTAAATGCCTCCTTTATTAATCCTGGGAGTTTGGAACTCTAGTGTTAGGGAAATAGAGAAAGTCAGAGAATTCTGTTATCATAAAATGCTGGGAACCCTGCAGTTTAAGATTTCCTATTGATTGCATTTATATGGAGTATGTTTTCTGATTGGTATTCAATCAGATAATGTGGCAAATTAGAGGTCAAATAAGTGTCATTCAAGAGTCACATGCAGCTGGGATGTGCAATTCATAGACCTTGCAGTTCTAGTGCTAGAGAGTTTTGACAAAAGAGATATGACGGCAAATCTGTAAATTTGTGAATGTCCTCCAACAATAATCAGTGTGGAAACTGGGCATTGTAATTTGCCCAAATTATGTATTTTAATGTAACAAATACCTTAGAATAGATTAGTGGTAGCAGAAGTGCCACCAAAACACATGTATAAGAGACAGAAAAACTCAGAGAGAAGGTTGAGTTTTTGGAAGAGGTGAAAAATTATTTGTGAGCATTATCATTGTTATTATGCAAGTGTGGAAGAACATCAGATACAAAATGTTCCCTGCAGAGCATGGCTCTTCAAATGCCTTAATATTTAAATATAGCATGTAACATCATAAAAATCAGGAAGGATTTGTATGCCACATATTTTTGTAGTCCCATATACATCTTTCTGTGTACAGTGCTTGTAACTTCACAAGACTGGGCCAAATTTCTTATCATTTTGATGATTCCAGAACCTTGCAGTACACACCAATACTTATATGCTAGATGATCAACCTTTTCTGATCGATTCCACACCGTTTCTTTCACAATGCAATCGCATGACCAGAACTCAAATTTATCTTTAATCTTTCTACTGCATTATCTGTATTGTGATAGGACTCGCTTCAGCCCGAACCAGACGGAAAGGGAAGCTGCAATCTACATGGTTGGCATCATAGAAAAGTGTTGCCAGAATGTCAGGTATGTGATCCTTCTTTAATTCTCCTCCTAAATGTCACGTTTTCATCCAATGAATCAGACGATTTAGGATGTTTTATGATATTAATGAACCCAGTTCGGCAGATTTAATCATTTTAAGATTACTCTCCCCGAGTATACATGTAGAAGCTTTTACTTTCTGTCACATTTTTAAGAAGAAAAACTTTCATTAACATCCTTGACACATTCTTCATTTTTTGTGTTTGATCAGCCCTTGGTACTTATGCTTTTTTTGTGTTGGGGGGGGGGGGGGGATGTACACATGCATGTTGGATTGTAACCCCCCCCCCCCCCATTACAATTGCTGGTCAGTTTGCTAGCCCTTGTAATGTAACTACGATAGATGCTATTTGAATATCTATCCCACTATCTAATCCACTTTTCACCCCTTGATAAAAGCAAATGTCCCCCACATGGCGTGGCCTTTACGATTGAATACAAGAAAATGTTTTTATTACCGGAAAGCATTAATGCATGGATAAGAATGAAATACATGTACGGTACAAGTATGTAACCATTTCAAATTGGAGTATATGTTGCAATGTTAATTGAAGTCCTGTTTTCTCTGTGTACCTTAAAATATCCTGTACATATTTGCTTTTATGTCAACCTCTTAATATTTTTCTACCTGTTTTTAAAAATCTCAATCTCTCTTTCTTTACCTTTGTATCCATCTATTAATCTTGCTTTTTTTTCTTTTCTTTTTCTCACCTTTATCTTTCACTGTCTGCCCTTCCTGTCCCTATGTCCGTCTCTGTCTGTCTCTCTCTCTCTTTCCCCACTTCCACCAAATCACACCCAACTACTCACACTGTCTCCCCTCCCTACCTCCATCACTCTGTATCTTCTATCTCACGTGTCTTTTTCTTTCTTTCTTTCTTTCCTTTTGTTTTTTCCTTTCTACCAACTCACAGGACCAGAACCTATGACATGATCCAGTACATCCAAAATGAGATTCCCTATTAGAACTGTTTCGCTAGGGTACAAGATGATCAAAGTGCAATAGACGATGTATGTATACTCCAGAATCCCCCAAATAATGTTATATTGAGATATATTCCAGTAGCTTTGTAATGAGGATGTGCATTTATTCCATAAATAATACATTCTTCTTCTTCTTTTCTGTTGAAAGCCAGAATGGTGTTAACTCATATACTTTAAAGCAGGGCTGCAATACTTGTAGCTACTTGTGCCCTCCATATAGCAAACAATGCCTAAGCGGTACCCCCTTTTTCTTATGTTAATTGTGAGCTGATTTGATGAAATAACCACCTGTCAGTTACCACACAGGGAGGTCTAATTCCTTCTGGCCAAACTAGTGCTGATAGGCTTTAACACAGAGTGAACACCCTTCTAGACCTTTCTGGCTCTTGGGAGACAATTTTGAAGTCCCCAAAGAATGAATAAATAAAGCATTAATGACTTGTGGTAGGTTTAAACATTGGATCAATGTACAGACAATGTTTTATAATTATTTATATATCAAAAGAAAGGCATTTGCGGTAGTGTGCTTTTGCTCAAATCATTGGTTTATAATATTTTATTATTTAAGAGTTGGGCATGTGTGTAGCTGATTTCTCTTATTTGTTTTTGATATTTGGAACAAGAAAACAGTTAATGATAGTACACATACTTGTTTTATATATATATATATATATATATAATAATATATATTCATTGTTACAAAATGAAAAGTTTAGAGCTTTTCATTCATACAAGAAAACCATTTTAGACTAGCTTTTGTGAATAAGAAATCCATGATCCCTAGAAAGTGTGTAAATAAATACAAAAATGCATGTGTACATGTCTTTCATTCCTTCGCATCATTAACCTATATTTATTCCATCTATTTATTTGTAGTTTTCATTAAACAGCGTAGCATTGTTATGCCGGGCTACATTTCATGTAGCCCTGTATGGTACATTTGGTATCCAAATGAAATAATTAATTATTTAACATCATATTTGTTTTTAATACACATCAAGGTAATAAAAGCATTATAAGTTTGTTTTTTTTAAGTTATGTTCATTAAGATCAACATATAATTATATAATTAAATGTGTCCCTTAATTTGTTTCCAGTCTCACTGAGAAAAATTACTAGAAACTTGTCTGGACCAAACTGTATTCATTTTTGAATTTTTACAAGAATTATGAGGGTAGCCAAACGTTGGAGAATCTTGGTGATTGTGGGACTGCAAAATCGTATTTGTGTTTGAATAATTACTTATGACCATAATGCTATGTGTTCATGTCTGTCCTACGCATGCAACAGCAAATGCGACAGTAGAAACTAGACCCACAGCCCACAGGAACCTCACATGAGAAAACGTTGAGTGGCAAAGAAGTTTATTATACTTTATCATCAAGGTAAATCAAGCTAAATTTCTTGAGAATTTAATGATGCACGTTATTCTTTTATGTACAGCAGCATAGATTGATTGTAATAACAAAGCAAAGGCAAAATATTGTTCCTACAGGTACATTCCACTGTCTTTTATTCTTGTGAATAAAATAGATTAATCAATTATGCTTAATCTTGAATACATGAATTTATTAGGAGAATTAAATTCTTACATCATCTGTTTGGAGCCAGTAGGGACCTAACTCATTCTTAATAACACTGAGTGAATGCCCCTCTGGCTCTGAACTGACGATATATTTTATGCCAGAGTAGCAAATTTTGTATCTATTTGTACCACATTAAATATACAGCTGCTTGTGAATAGTCGTGTGATATGTACCATAATGAATAAACAACACTTATAAAGAGTCATCTGATAAACTGTATATAGAAGATTTTCCCTAGTTGTTTTTAAATGAAACATTAAATACTTCTTATTTTATTGGTAAGGTGTCATTTTATTTATGCTTAAGAGATTATTCAAATATTCTCAAAGTTTGTGTCTGTAAAGAGCTATTGTAACGCTTTGCCTGGAGGAACTGGGTGGTCTTTGTATTAAGCCTATGGGAAATGGAGAATGCAGTAGTCAACCGGTTAAGTAAGTTTGATCAGTGAATTCAGTGATTGGCAACACTAGAGCTTAGAGCAGACGAAATATGAAGTAAAATGACACATTTGACTTCAATTTGTGTTCAGACCTCACAAAAACAATGCAATGTTAATATCCTGTTTTTCATGGGAATTGTGTGTCCCTGTAATTCAGTAGTTAACAGGTTAAAGTATGAGACACCAAACGACCAAATATCTGGGACTTGCCCAGGTATGAGAAAAATTACTAAGCATGAATGTATATTATCATTCTCATTTTTCTGATCAAAGTTATTTACTGATCAAAGTTTAATAAATTTTATCATGTCAGCGTCTATATGTATGTCAGTGTATTATAAAAAAATATTTATTGAAAGGTCGTTTGGAGGTTATGACGAGTAGAAAGGTTTAAATTTGTGCAAAAGTTAATGGGAAAATATATGAAAATTATACCAAATGAGAGAACTGTTTGAGATTTTTCATGATTGCTAGTCCATTTTCTTTCATCCATTACCTGGCTAACTGATTAACTCAACTTCGACAATGGAAATACAACAGATAGTTTAGCCTATTTTGATCATCAAATAATTATACATCTAAAACAAATTGGCAACTGAGTTTAGTGACAGATTGTGCTCTGTTGCACAAGACATGATTTTGTAAATTTTAAACCATTGTCTTATTTTCAATAATGTGCATTGAATTCATCATTTATCATGATAATGTCATAAAAACTGATACTAGGGCAATTATATAATGAAAGTAGACTATCGACAACCTTCCAGATCTAGATTCGGTTGTGAAATCTTTGTATGGTTGAGTTGGATAGAGATTGTCTTCTGTGAAGCGATATTCATAGTGGCCGCCATCTTGGATTGTAGTGATACTCAGATCTAAATAGAAAAAATGGAAAGGATTGAATGCAACATTGTTCACATATGTAAGGCGATCTTCATTTTTATCATCATGATTCAATTAGGAATAAGTGTTATACAAGCACTGTAAAGAAAATACTATGGTTAAAGCTAAGGTGTTCAAGTGTGAAACCACTACTGAAAATTAGGAGTTACAGAAAACATATATATATTGGACTTATTTATATTTATCAATATTACAGATGCTGGAGGAAGGAGAGCGTTATACATGTACATCAAGCATACATATAGAATTATAGGTCTACTAACTACATGTATTCTATTCCCACTATTTTGAAGCTTAGGAGTGAGGATAAGGAAACATTCTCTTATTAAAAGGAGGGATCTTTCAAAAGTTGCCTCATGTTTTGGTATAAACATGCTTTGTTACCCCTACACAACAATGGAAAGGACTTATAATAGGATCCGATATATACATGTAAGGTATACGGAGGGATAGAGAAAGAGAGAGAGACAGAGAGATTTGATGTTAGTGGGAAAGAGAGAAAGTGTGAGTGTTTTAAAGAGGCAGAGAGGTATGTGTATGTGTGTGTGTAGTGTGTGTGAGAGAGAGAGAGAGAAAGGGAGTGGGGCAGAGAGAAGTATAGAGAGAGTAGGAGAAAGAGGGGTAGGCTCATAGGAGAGCGCATACAGAAAGACAAAGAGGAAGAAAATATGATAGTGCAAGGTCACCTGTTGGAAATATCTGTTGAGATACCGCATCAAATATTCTCCATGTGTATCCTCCCTGATTCATTAAACCATTTAGTTGGGTGATAGCATGATCTTCGGAATCCAATTCAGCTCTGAAAGTATACCAAATTATGAAAAGGGTTTGACAATATATCACACAGTCAACAGAATGAAGAACCTTTTTGCAACTTTAAGCTGACACATAGAAAAACGGGTCAAACGTTATAAAATAATAGCTACATTTATATCAAGCACATAAACAGACATAAACCATACCAGACGGTGCTCTACAAGGTGCCTACAAAGTACATGTGTACTACACCTGGGTGGAGGGTGGCAAGGGTAGATTAATGTCTTGCCAAAGGACATGGTAGCAGGCTAGGACTCGAACTGCGAACCACGTGTAATTTTTAACTTTGTAACTTAATACTCAAATTTGACATCCAGTCACACTCACAAAAACAATGTAATGGATTGATCATTTGCCGCCAACGTGACGTCATACAGTGTAGACGTCGCCTCTGTCAGAACCAGTCGCTTGCACACCTTTGATACGAACGTCCCGTTGGTAAACAAAGCGGTGTTTTCTGTCGATACCGATAGATACACGACTACATCAGTGAAAGGGAGAGCTGGTAGGATATCATCCACCGCAGAATGACATTCTCCTTCATGAGTAGGAAAAAGAAGAAAAAGTACTATCAAACTTTGTGAGACTTAAATTCACCATAGTGCCCCTATTCACTTTTGATGTACTGACAGGTGCACTCGCTTCGCTATTTTACAAAACCAAATTACAAGGATTTTTTTCATTTCTTAAAGTAATTTATTTCTTATATAGTTGTTTTTTACCAAAATGAGAGCTCAAAGTGTATGATTAATTGGTTAGTACTTTACAACCATTTCCTATACAGCTTTCAATTGCTTTATTTTAAAATTCTATCATTTATAAAAAGAGATAGGTAGAGAAAGACAGCTAGTGCATCCATTAAAAGTATTTCACCAAATTAAAATGGATACAGGCCTATATTTTAGTGGTATTCTAAAATTCTACTACCTTCTAGCTTAACTTCTAACATAAATATCAAGAATTTAAAGAAACTCTAATGACTTTTGATGTTAGCAAATTATGTTTGCCTCTCTTTCTTTTACAAGATCAGACCTATCAGGATAGTGTGTTAAAAAACCTGTTATTTACATTAAAGGCTATATAGATATCTGAACGGCTGCATTCAATCATTTAGTTGAAAAATGATACCAACCAGTAGAGTTAAACGGGTCGAATTCTCCATCTTCGTAGTCTGTATAACGCCAAAGATACAGATCATCAGCTTCGATGTGCAGAAGATCTACACCTGTTTTTTTTAAAACACGAAATAGAAAACACATATTAATATATAGCATGGATAATGATAATGATTATAATTATAATTAGAATATACTTATTATAATCATAATAATGATGATAAAATAGCAACATGAATAATGAATGACAGTAATAATATTTTGGTCTAATTAATTCAGTAATAAATGTAAATAAATACCATATTCTGCAGCTTCCAATGTATCTCCGTGGTGTAGGGCCCAATGAGTTGTGTCATGACCTTTCACCCCATTGATTGCCGTCACGTGATGACCAAACTGACTATAAGTGTCGTATTCATATCTACAAAATGATATACATGTCAAATAAATCATTAAAAGTCTAAAAAGAAAGTACATTTATTGAAAACACAAGAATGATAATACAGAATAAAATCATTGTTACCAGGTCTATTATTATTATTATAATCATTTTTATTAGAAGTAGTAGTAGAAGTAGTAGTAGTAGTAGTAGTTGTTGTAGTATCATAATTATCATCATCACCCCGTCATTATTAGGAAAGCAGGGGTCTAGGAGGAAATAATGATGGAGAGGTAAAACGGGTAAAGGAAAAGAAGAACAGGAGGAAGAAACAAGTAGAAGAAATATGGAAGTAAAGGGTAGTAAAAAAAAAAAACATTATAGGAAGATCATAATCTTTAAATTACGTGAACATTTTGATTTGAGGTAAGAAAAGAAGGGCAAAAAAGCAAGGCTTAGAAAAACAAGAACAAGAAGAAGGGAGGAGAAAATGAAAAAAGAAGATCAAATTCAATGGTTTTGATTAAGATGATCTTGATCATAATGAACTAGAAGAAAAAAAGAAACAAAGTTATAAAGAAAGAAGAAAAGAGGAGATATGTTAAGGATGAAGAAAGACAAAACGAAAGAATGAAGAAACAAAAATTATTGAAAGAGGGGAACGTAGATCTAGTTGGCAATGAAAACAAAGATCAAAAGATACAAACTTACGTGAAGTTGTCTCCGTGTTGCTGGTGAGCAGCTTTCATCCCCTGATAAACGGTTGCATTCAAGGGAACGCTGTAACGAACCCGGCATTGTGACGTATGTTCCTCAGCCTGGTACTCAACGGAAAAGAATGACGTCACTAATATGTCTTTGGTTGTGGGTCCGGCGTGGTTATAGTCTTCTGTACACTCTAGAAATTATGGAACAAAAACAAAAAGGAAAATTGTTTTCCCGATCTTTAAGGCACGTCTAAAAAAATAACAATTTTCCCCTGTAATTTCCCCCTTCGTTTAGAGTCATTATTACCATCGATTAATTATTTCAAATTTCAACTCGGGTGACTTATTTCAATAGATTTGTAACAGGATATACTATTTTTGCAAAATCAATTTGTTTGAACATTACAATGGCGCATTACGTAATTCTAACATGATTTCTATAGACACACAATATTGCCCTTGAGTTGATGTATCGAAAATAGTTGCAATCGTGTTTTGTAATCATTTTTTTTTTTGGACGGGGGGGGGGTTAAAAACAAATTATAGGCTTCGTCATTGTTTTGTGTTTTAAATTGGGGAAGGGGGTTATTACGATAAGATTTATTCATTCAAAATAACTCGGTTGTGTATATTGTGTACTCTATAATTGTGTAATTTCAAATAATTTGTATAATGATGTACATGTATTGAATGAATAAAATTTGAAAAAAATACTTTAAAAAAAATATATATTCACGGTTCTTATGGATTGTGTAATTTGCACCTTATTATAGTATGCCACTATGCCTTACCACAATAGATAAGTTGAAAAAAAGGAATAAATAGAAATCACTTTTTACAACTTTAATCAAACTTGATTGTCTTATTACACTAGTTTAGTAAGTTATCAATAATAAGCAGATATCGTTGGTTTGGTATTTATGCTTGGTGGCGTAAAATGTAAATAATTATGTCCGACTCTGTGCAGTGGCGGATCCAGGGGGGGGGCCCCGGGGGCCCGGGCCCCCCCCTTGAGAAAAAAATCATGTAAAATCACGTGATTTTTACGATTTTTGGGGGTTGGGCCCCCCCCCCTGGCGCTCAAGGGGGGGGTGCAAATTGAAATTTTTTTGAGGATCAAAAAAAAAAATATGTGCTTACTACCCCCCCCCCCCCCCCCCCCCCCCCCCCCCCCCCCCCCCCCCCCCCCCCCCCACTGAGCGAATTTTTGGCCGGCGCGTTTTTCAAATTTTCGGGAGCAAAAAAAAAAAAAAAAAAAAAAAAAAAAAAAAAAAAAAAAAAAATTGTGCTCTGTACCCCCCCCCCCCCCCCCCCACTGAGCGACTTTTCGGCCGGCGCGATTTTCAAATTTTCGGGAGCAAAAAAAAAAAAAGTTGGGCCCCCTCCCCTAAGAAATCCTGGATCCGCGCCTGACTCTGTGATACATGTCTGTAAAAACCAAATTACACACACTTGGTCAAGGAATGTGAAATTTGGTCAATTTCATATTCGCAAATTAAATTTATAAACGGCATTGATTGAAATAATGATAACATTCAATATGCGTGGCATAGTATAAGGTCCCTATTGGTTACCTCATATTTCGGTTTAATAATGCCTTCAAATCAATAAGCTGAACGCATCATATCACCTAATAAAATATCAAAGTTGAAATATTATAAAAAGTATGGCAAATCCAGTCATTGCTGGCTTAAGTTTTTTACACTTACCTTGTATTGCGCTGGAACACGTGCACAAGATGCAAACAAAGGCCAGCAGTCTTGGCCACCCACAGCTGACCAATTTGATCATGTTTAATCGCATTTCCACGTTTACTATCTGAACTCTTAATGATACCCGACTCTTATTACGGATGCAATTGCATCGACAACGGCATCTGAGACCTATCCCAATCAAATCATTACGTCTGTAAATTCACGGTTCAAGGTTCAATTCCTCAAATTAATAGCTTCTTCGTGATCATGAACACGACATAATAATAAGCATTTATGTAATATTTGTATTCATTATCATTAACATCAAAGGTTTCCATCAAATGAGATTATTTAGACGAAAGTTACAATGTTTAGTAGTAGGCCTACATGACTGTGAAGGCTCACATCCTCTCATTATATGTTTGGATTTTATGCAGTACTATTAGTTTGGTCTTTATGGGAAGTCTTTAAAAGAAGGACATATATATATAGAGGCCCCTATCTGACAATATTTACTTTATTTATTTACTGCGATGGATGAATAAACAGACTAATCAAAGTGATGATAACTGTATGCATATGCATGACAACAATTTTACCGATCAAAAGTAAATATTGAAGATTTAAGCGTCCAAAGATCACGACAAGAGCCCGATAAGGGTTGGAGTGGCGGATCCAGAGCAGGGGGGGGGGGGGGGGGGATGGGTACATGGGCATGTGCTCCACCCTCTCCGGCCTAAAAAGGAAAAAATAAGTACCCAAAAGGGAAAACTCAAAACTTAGGAAAATCACGAAGAAAGTTACCATAATACCATAGAGATATATACTACTAAACACTTATTAAGTATATATCTCTATGCATAATACGCACCATACGAACTTTCATCCAATCAGATTCGCGGATTACGAAACACGTATAGTAGGGCGCGTTGAGGGCGACAATCAACAGGTTCGATGAAATCTTCTAAGTTTTATCTCCAACAAAAATCAAGAAATGTGTGTTACAGCGTTCTACATCAATGCGAATCCATCTGCTGGTGGCTACAGATTCGTTATGATATTCAACAGGGATGAATTTCTCAACCGACCCACCAAAGCTGCCCATTTCTGGACTGATCATCCTGATATTGTTGGTGGTAAGTTACTTCAGTCCCATGTATTGTTAAACGTGATGTAGATGTAGATCTTTTAGTTCTGGGAACAGAGGGGGAGGGGTTGCTGGGCCGGGACCGGTGGGAGGGGGGAGGGGGAGGGAGGTACTTACATAAGACATACGGGGGTGTGTTGCTCTAGCTAATGGGTCACTTTTTCACAATTTCCAAAATGTTCTGGTTTTTGCATGGCATTGGCAAACGGTGAATAGAGTAAAGGAGGGGGTTTTCGGCCACTTAAGACAAAATCCTATTTGTTGGACCCTTTACTTCCTATTTATTATCATTTCTTGTTCAAATCATGAAGCAAATATTATTATTATTTAAACAAACAAAGAATCCCAGAAAAAAAATCACGAATTGCCATGACAATATTCATTTCAATTTTCACTGTTTTGGAGTCAGTTATTGGCATAGTGAACCAGTTTTCGGCCGCATGTACAAAGTCGATAGGAAGCGCGCGCGCTGTGCGTTTCTGCGCTGATCTATAGTACTAGCGGGCGGAGCTCACCAGGCCGAAAACTAGTACTGCAGTGATCGGAAATTGGAATCTGAATTAGATAGAGATATCATGTGTGCGTTGTGGTGTCCGGCTGCATTGATTTAATACATGCGGTGAGATACTTTTGAGCTTGCGACTGGCACAAAATCGGGCTTTTAATCTAAAAAATACTTGAAATAAAGCTCATTTTATGGTACCCATAAAAATACAGATACGCGTAAGATACTCAATTTTTCAGATTCGGGTAGCGGGACCGCCGATTACATCGCATTATATATATATATATAGGATATATTTTTCATTGCAAATGTGGTTCATCAGTGACTCTGGGATGGTATGGTATGTGTGGGATATGTGATATGCTATTATGCGATGTATTTTAAAGGGATGTTACCATGCATCCAACCAATCGGCCGAAAACTGAAGCTGGTCGATTACCCCCTCCTTCACTCTAACACCCGAAAATTGTGAAAAATGGGCCTTCGAGGAAATTTCCCCCAAATAACCTTCAAGAGTGAAATTCAAAGAAAATCACAAATAGTCTATGTCAACTATAAATGTATCACTAGAAACTAGTAAACTAACAGATGGCCATCGTACAAGTTTTAGGTCAACTACATATCGGGTGATTTATACAAATACAACCACCTCCATAGCAGCTGGGATATACGAGAGATTCGCTGGAAAAATAATGATGTTTTAATGACGTCACTTATGGACCAATACTGCCCAAGCAGACGACATCCCATGAAGAACGAATAGAATTGCAAAGCTATTATTTGTCGAATTATAATTAGTTTAGTGTATATAAATGTAATGGCATGTCAAACCATTCAAAAGGGGATATGACCCGATTCTGATAACTAAAATCTTTTGCTTATAAATACACAGGATAGGGGTTAATTAACAATCAAAGAAACCAGACTTTAAAATTGAAAAACACCCGGAATGATATTAAGGACAGCATTTGTTCCCTCTTGAAACATCGAACATACCGCGGTGTGTGCAGCTGAATATACAATGGCGACAGAATCCTTTATTTTTGTATCGCTGCATTTGTCATCAAAATAAAACCATGCGCGGGTTTAGAGTGAGGCAATAGATTGTACATTTAGCCTGACGGTAGTGAAGTAAGAGAAAGAACTCAAGAGAAGATGAAAACACAGGCACTGGAAATGTGTGAGATGTCATGGGACATCGTCTGCTTTAAAGTGCAAAGCATGTCCATACTGTGATCTCACACATCTCAGCAGCTTCTGGAGAGCTCTTCAGGTGCTATGCCGGGGCTGTATTTAAGCGTTTTGTAATTTATAATAATCATTACTTTGAAATGTTTCCAAGCATTGAATTTTGGTAACCTTGTCGAATTCAAAGTTTCAACTTTGCAATAATGAAAATAAAGTTAGTTTTTAAAATCAATGAATATCTACTTTAAAGATAAAGACCAATTATGGTCATGCGATTGCATTGTGAAATAAACGTTGTGGAATCGATCAGAAAAGGATGATCATCTAGCATATAAGTATTGGTGTGCAGACCTACTGCAAGGTTCTGGAATCATCAAAATGATAAGAAATTTGGCCCAGTCTTCGTAAAGTTACAAACACTGTACACAAAAAGATGTATATGGGACTATGCACACATGTGCGACACGTGGGTTTATCTCTCACACACCAATAGATAAACTAATTTACCAAATATATCAATTAGTAGGCGGTTTCCCGGCAAAATTTTTATCATCATGTATTAGTCAAAACATATTCTTTCACATGATTGGTAATAAGAGCTTCCATTTCATTTTTTGAAATTGGGGCGTTTCCAATACTGGTCTTTACCTTTAAAAATGGGTAGGGGTTTCGAGGCTTGAGTGGCACACCCCGTCCAAACCAAATATGAGAATAAATTGCAAGTCGGTGGAAACCTTCAAATTCAGACTCTGGAATCTCGGCCTCTGATTGGTCCAATTTTGCGGGCATGAAATTCACTTCGGACTGCAGGGCGGTATAGTGAAAAATATTGACCGGGCATAGAATTATGTCTTTGAACGCGCGCGCACGTACATGTAGCTATGGCAATTTAGCTACGCAGGCACGCTGCCGGCAACATTTCATACATGTACAAAAATTGTACACCGAACAAAATTTCTAAAGAGCAATCAATGAAAATTACGTTACGGTGCCGTATTTCATTTGTCTTTAAAATCACAGCTCACGAAGGATGTGGTCTATAAAACAGATGTTGACTGCTTCTTTTTTGCTTCAGGGTTAAAAACCATGGCTCTCGATGATCTCGCATTTCGCAACTGCACAATGCCCCTCGACTATCGTCTCGGGGGAACAGCACAGTTCCGAGCTCACCTCGGGCCATAGTTTTCACCGTGCCCCTCAAAGCAGTCAACATTTGTATAGTGGTCCCTGCATGATGAAAATTCCGGAAAACTTGGAGGGAAGCCATCGAAGAGGATGCCAAAACATCAGGTGTCGGTCGTGTGGATCCCACAGACAGGAAAGCTTGGAAGGCGGCTGTTAAAAAAATAAAATGTCCAACCCACAAAGTGGGACAAATGGACTCTAAACGATGATGAGATGATGATGAAAACTTAAATTCACATGATCATATTAGATTACTTGAGATTGACAGATAAATGTATGGAATTTTTATGTGAATTTTTCTCATCTTTCAGGTGTTGATATGAATCCAGGAAAGGAAGGAGGGACATGGCTTGGAATGAGTAAAAAGGGAAGGTTAGCGGTCATTCTTAACATCTTCAATCCTGGTGGTATCAGAGATGATGCCAAGGGCAGAGGTAAGCTGGAAATCTTTTTTTGATAATGATATTAATAATGATGATGATAGTAATAATGATAATGATAATAATAATGATAATGATAATAACAATGATAAGGATAATAACAATGATAATAATAATAACAATGATAATGATAATAATAATAATGATAATAATAATAATACATGTAGTAGTGATTACAATGAAGATGATAAGAAGAAGGAGAAAAAAGTGGTAGGATAAAAAGAGAAGGAGAAGAAGAAAGAGAAGGAAAAGAAGACTGAGAACAAGGGTACATAGGAGAAGAAGAAGACACATTTTTAAGGTCCCTAATACTACGACTTTAGGTGCCATGTTCCTGTTGTTCTTGCAGACATTAGGTATAATGCTACTTATGACCAATAGAGAGCTAGAACAACACTTTCAAAATAACCATGGTGCATTAAACATAATAAACAATTCTGATACTAGTTTAACATTTATACATTTACTTGATTCACATTTACTATGATGTTATAATGGAACATAGGCCTTCCACAAAATGAAAGCCTTGATGTAAAAGTGGTACATGTTCTTAGTAAGACTTGAAAAATGGTTTTTTTTTTTAGCACAGTTTTGAAATTCTGTATAAATGATAGAACATTTCAGATACGGGGAAGGAGGCTTTATTATGTATCGTAGAAAGTGTGCCAAAGAAGAGGCCACGTCAC